CCGCCGCCTGAGACCAAATGCCGCCACCAGACATCTTCATTGCTGCCTGTGAGATCGCCGCCGTCATCGGATGAAACGGTCGCGGTTGCTGCTACAACCGCCGCCGCCTCTGCTGGAACCCCGTCATGCTGTCGTGATGAAAGGGGCTTGCTTCGCCTCCCTACAAGCCGTCGCCGAGCACTCCGCCGAAGTCTCTTAACTCCTAATTCGACTGCCCCCTCTTCCTTCGGAACTCCACCATAAACTCGCCGGAGCTGCCATCCGTCGCTTCGTCCAGTCACTGGCCATTCGCTGACGAACGCCTACCTACTGCTGACGTCGGGAGAGACCCTGCAGCTGTGCCGACGAGCCAGATCCAGTCCAAGCTCCGCATAGGCCTCCACCAGAGTTTCCTGACGATCCGCCGCCGTTGTGCCGTTTTTAGTGCCGCCTAGACTAGGAGGGCTCAACCCTCCCTAGTATCGTTGGCCAGGATCGTCTCCTTCCTTTGCTCTGCTTCCCGGCACTGCCAGAGAAGGCCGATCCTTCTGGTGACAGTTGGGCTTCCGCCCAACCGCCGACGCTCAGCATTCCCCCCGAAGCGCCGCCGCCGCACGCGCCCCGCGCGCTGGCTCCTGCAGCCCGTGCACCCACCCGGCGCTGCCGCCCGTGTGCCCCGAGGCACGCCGCGCGGCTTGCCGTGTGCACCTGCTAGCGTGCCCTTCGGCCCATCAACATGCCCACGCCCGCATCGACCGCGCCACGCCTTACGACGACGACTACTGCGACTCTTGACCAGGACCGACCGTCGACGCTAAGCATCGCTCTTCACTGAATGTCTCTACTTACGTCAAGTCTTCGCTCCGTCACGACCCGCCGGGCTACGCAGCCCCAAAGGTTAGTTCTGTACCCCTTCTTACTTAAGTTTAATTATCTTTTAAAGGGTTTTCTCAACTCATTTCCACCGCCATCTAGAGAACATAGATAGGATAAGACGGGTTATAGAATCGTGACTTCTGACGCTGTATTAGACTCATCACCATTCGTGAGCTGCAGCCCTAGGCTACTTCACGACGACCGTTCCGCCGTCTGTCCGAACGTGGACCGAGAGGGTCTCACACTTACCATCATCGAGTGTTTCTCCGAGTTGTCCTGAGTTGATAGTGCATATTGATACGCCCACTTATACTTAGGTTAGGTGGTCAGACCTAGAGTCTAGAGTCTATACATTCTTATCGAATTAGTCCGACTACCCTATCCTAAGTCTTAAGTTTCATTGATCAAGTACAAAGGTTCTCGCCCGTCCTACATCAATGACACTCACCAATATCTTTATTCCGATGATAATACTTCATCAATGAATCAATAACATCTTTAAGAATAGATGTTATACTATCATATAATAAAGTTATAACGAAATGATCAAATAAATCAAAAATATGAATGAGTAGAATAATAAATTTTTTATTATTAAAAAATAATTTTATATAAATAAGTTATTTAATAATTAATTAAAATAATCAATATAAGATGTCAAATCATCTCTTGATATGTGTAATTCAAATAAATTTTTATTTAATATCAATTTACTCATCATCAACTTTGGTATACATAATCTCTCTAACTTCTTCTAAAGTTTCTTGAGATTATATTCATCTATGATCTATTAAAAAGCCTAATTAGATAAATATATACAAATAAAATCCTCAACTTTCTTTTTCATTATCTCTCAATCATCATTATTGATCTTGTCTGACTTTGGTACATCCAAAGTCTTATATAGGTTCATCTACAACAATGCATCATGTGTGAAAAACATGACCACATTGGGGGATGTCAATGAACCTAGTAAATTAGAAAATACATACTTTGCACGTTACTCATTCACAATTTGTGCAGCAGACTTTGCTATCATTTCCTGTTTTGGCTTCAGAATAATTCCAAGTTCATGGCCAGCAACGGCGAGATGAAGATGAAAGCATTGCTTCCTACTCATTTTGCTTCGGAGATACGTTCAGGAAACCATTTTTCTAGCGTCCCTAGTTAAGGGACGCTAAGGCTATGAATAATCGGGAACGCAGGTAATAGCCTTATAAGACTGTTCAATACTGGATGTAATGTCGAGAACCTGCAGAGCCGTTATCCAGAAAAAGATGAACGGAACCTTGACATTTGAATCATGAAAGAAAATCTGCAAAACACGTTACAACACAAAATATTAAACGAAAGGCAGGTCTATGAGGAAACCTAGAAGAAGATAATTAAACGACGACAAAATAGGCAAAATCATGCGGTGGATCGGAGAATAAAAGGACCTAAATAAGTTGAAATCAGAGAATGCAGAAGGGTAATGCGGAGAGGAGGGAGAAGCTCACGTAAATCGGGTGGTGCTGTTGCCAATGGGCTTAAGGTCGACGACCTGCACTATGAGCTCGGGAACGGCTTCCGGCGAGTCCGGATTCGGATTGGCCAGGATCGCGGAGATGGCTCCCGCCGTGACGGACTTCGACATGTTCCACCGGCGAGGCTAAGCTCCAAAGAGAGAACGAATCGAAGAAAAGGACAATCGCTTGGAGGGAGAGAGGGATGGAGCACTTCGAGAGCCGCAGGGCAGTGGAGAAGAACGAGCAGCTCCCCATTATTGTATTGAGCCCGCCGTCCTTTTGCTGATCTCCTTGGCGGGAAAGTTTCGCGTTAAATCGGTGGCGATGGCTATGGCGATGCCGCGCACAAGTCAAACTCAGCACAACATCACGATCACGAACCTACGCTCGATACGCTCGATACGTTTCCCCTGGGCCTTGGCCCATCCCCCCTTATCGGCATATTCTTACCCATTTATCCGGATCCGGAGAGTGAAGGGGATGGCGCCCACAAGTCAAACTCAGCACAACATCATTAACCTACGCTCGATGCGTTTCCCCTGGGCCCCGCCCATCCCGCCTTTCGGCATATTCTTACCCATTTATCCGGATTCTGGAGATGTCGCTGTCAATCACTGGCGCGACGGCGCCCACAAGTCCAACTCAGCACAACGTCACTAACTTACGCTCGATATGCGTTTCCCCTGGCCCCCGGCCGAACCCGCCTTGTCGGGATATTCTTACTCATTTATCCGGATTCGGAAAGTGAAGGAGATGGGGCTGCCAATCGTAGTCTGGCGGGGTCAGACCGTTGGGCCGTGGCGACCGGCGGTTGGCTGACCAGAGGAAAATGTTTTTGGCCTTGAGGGGTGGGGACGGGAGGAAGAGGCAGAGGGAGAGGGGCTCGACCGGCGTCTATGGAAGGGTACATATAGAGAGGGAGGAAGGGGGGAGGTGAGAAAGATACAGAGAATTTTTGTCACGAGCTGTAGGAGAAAGATCCTCTCACGCAGCCGTGGGGTCGACAGAACTGTATATCCGGAAGGTTTGGGTGATCTCCCACCCCCTTTTTTGGTGTCTCTTTCATGGCTTCTTCTTGTCTCTCGGAACCCTTGATTTCTTTTTCTTCCTTTTTATTCCCTTGCCTGCTTCCGGGAGACGTGAGAGGTAGGCGGAAAGAGGCCTTGTTCTGCCCTTTTTTCCTGGATCCACTTTTGCTTTTTAGAGGGAATTGAGATATGGTGAGTGGAGCGAAATTTTTCATGGCGGCGGCTGTCTCCTTCCGTCACTCCATCTACATTTCCCGTAATTCTCTGTCAATTTTTTCCTCGCCAAATGAGCTTGTGTAGGTGGAAATCCTGCCACTCGGGAACTCTGGAACTTATTTTCCCAAAATTATCCGTGCCTTCTGTCCGGTTAGTCCTCTTGTGTATTGGGGGCGAGGCAAAGGTTACCTGAGTCTGAAATCCTTGTCTCGTGAGAATTTCTTTGTTTGCAGTTTTCCTTTGGGAGGGGCAACTTTCCATCATTTGAAGTCAGAATCAGTATGCGATTCATTTCGATACGGAATAGAAGAAAGAATTTGTTAATTTTTTATTTGATACCCTCGTAAATTTCTCTTACTTCGCTTGAATTTCCCCAAAACCATCACTTCCATTGGTTTTCCTCTGCCAGGTTCCTTTGGACTGTAGCTCCATCCCGGGATATTGGAACCATGGCTGGAAAGGTTTCCACCGGGACAGGAGGAACGATTCAGGGGTTTGGGGGTTTCTTCAGTACCTTCTGCGTGCCTAAGCATTTGTGTTCGTGTTCTATCTTGATCCTATTTACATGTCTCCCTATTTTATCTGGAATGTATCCATAATTCTTATGCTTGCCTTTATCGTGGAATATTGCCGGTTGCGTTCTACTTTTCATTATGTTGCAATCGCGTTGTACAAGGAGTGGCACTGGAGTTAATGATTGTCTGGAATAAAATCCCAAGTTAGTCCTTTGGATAAATAGAAATCGGAGAAAGTAGGGAAAATCGATGTGCCCTTTTAGTGGCAAGCTTGTTTGCGGCAGAGTTCGCCATTGAGCCCACACTAAGGCCTTCATGGAGTTGGTCTAACTAGATGATGAGACTGTGGTTTGCAAATAGTTTTCCGATTTATTCTTGTTTTAGCTTTATTTTTGTTTGGAATTTTTCCTTAATTTTTTAGCAGATTAGTTAATTGATTCTTCAAGTGAAAATATGCTTTTAGGTTTAATATTATCTATTTTATAAAACGATGTCTTATTGGACACAAAGAAAATGTGGCGCACAGTGCGCTTTGGGTAGAAAAAAGACCGAATATAAATCTGTTCTCACCTTTCGCTAACAGTAGTTAGAAGCTCCAGACCATCATCTTTCCTTCTTCATTTCTACTTGTTGAGATGCTGAAGTGCAGCTCTGCCACTACCCCTAAAGCCCAGATCATACTCGTACCTCCTCAGTCCTTTTGCCCCTTTTTGGCACCATTTAACCCTACTGCAGCCATACCTAGCCTACCCAGTTGGATGAAGGATGACTTCGTATTTTCTGTCTCCTTATTTTTAGATACAATACAAGTTAGTTAATACAAGTAATAAGTTCAAAAAGCTTCTCTCTGATAAAATGATACTACTTGTTGGAGTGGCATGATGTCCATGTAGCAACTAAATTCCTCTTCTATTGTCAATTTTATGGCTTAGGATAGAACGATGACCAATGCTCTTAGAATAGGGCTAAAGAAAAAAACATTTTGAAAAATAACTGACCAGAAAATAATCACCTTACTTATGTATTTATTGTGAATCTGAATGGGATTGTATTTCGTCATGTCAGATCCTGGTTCAAATTGGAAACTTAATTCTTCTAGTTCTTGATACATCTAGAAAAAATATTTATATGATTCCTTTCTAGAGTGGTAAAAAATCATCCAGCTCTTTATTTGGTTCGTTACATAGATTTATAACACAGAATGCCCTACCTTTCGATAGTTACCTCCAGGTGAACTCCCTGGTATGTAAATAGTAATAATCATTCTCACAGTATTCTTTGCAATGTGACAACTACAGGGTTTGTCTATGTCCTACTTCTAAACCACTTTTTGGGATCCCTTGCGAGACCACTTTACCCTCTTCCCAGCAAATTTAATACAGATAAGCAACAATTGCAAACTTTTCGTCCGTTCAACATTGCACATCGAGGCTCAAATGGTGAATTTCCTGAGGAAACTGCTGCTTCATACGTGGTACGTGACATTTGACACTTTATCATTTATTATATATACTATCTGGAATCAACTGCAAGACGAATTCTTCAGAAAAAGACACAAGACCATATCAAATCGGTAAAGTCACTGAAAAAAATTGTTATGCGTGTCTGATTTCATGAGATGGGCCTGAAAAGAAAGTAGCCTATTTCTTGGTACTCTAATAATGTCTTTCAATTAAAAACTTCCTGAATAATGGATTGATTTAAAATCTCTGAGCAATCACGTTGCTCTCACAGAGCTGGCAACATGTTTGATAGGGCAAATCACTGGCAACTTATGGCTAGAATTGTATAGTAGGGCACTATGCTAATTTACTTGAATGCAGTTTGCTTCTGATTTCCATTAGTGTGACAACTGAATTTAGTATCAAAATTTGGGACAACTTTGCACGGCTGCAGAGAGCTATTGAAGAAGGAGCTGATTTTCTAGAGACTGATATCCTTGCCAGTAAAGACGGGGTACTCATATGTTTTCATGATGTGATCCTAGATAATACTACTAATGTTGCTGATTATAAGGAATTCAGTGATCGTCAAAGGACCTATGAAGTTCAAGGAGATGATATAACTGGATGGTTTGTAGGTAAGCATATGATGCAGCATTCTCTTCCTTGTTCGGGTATTTTTTTCAATTCACTAAATGATATCTATTATCTTTTTAGTAATCTTTATGTTTTCTTAATTTATGTATCTAGATTTGGAAATTGAATGAAAAAGATTTATCGGATAAGACATTACGGACATGACTTTGAATTTTATTTATTCTGCTTGCTTGTTGCTACTTATGACATGAAAATACTTTTTTATATTCTGAAAGTATAAGGAGACCTATTGTCTGTAAATTGAGGATCCATGAACATGTTTGTTTGTTAGTTCTTTTGGTTGAAATGATAACCGATCTGTCATCAAGTTTTTGAGTTTTTTATGATTTTTCTGATCAACTGGTACACCTCTCGGCTTTTCTTCTATTCAGTCCCACTGGCTCCTTGGGAACATGAGTTTTGTTTTGATTTTAGTGCAACAAATGTCAATCGATCCCTTCAACTGGTCATTCATCTTCTTTCTCTTGTGCATATGGACAATCTATGTGGCTTTCTTATGGCATAAATTTCTTTTACTGCTACTACAGTAGAGAGAAATTATTATTTCTTCATAGAAGTAATTTTCTATTGTTTTTAACGGAAAGGGAGAAAGCGTGCCACCAGATTAGTGTGTCTTTGCAGCATAGTCTAATATTATTGCATAATTATGTGACAGTTGACTTCACAATTGCGGAACTAAAGACATTAAAAGTGAAGCAGAGATACCAATTCCGTGATCAACAATACAATGGTTAGTTGCTCTCTAGAAGCACATTCAAGTGGCAGATGTGCAATGAGATTTATTTTATTTTAGATATTATGTCTTTATTTATCTCGATTTTCACTGCTTCATTTTGATGTCCTCTCGAGCAACCATTGAGCAGAAGTATTATAATGTCGGCGAATGTAAAAAAATGATTAAGGGTATTTTCACTTCATCATGAACAGAAAAAGTTAGCAACCACTGCAACGTCCACCTATATGTGATAGGGGTAACATGAAATCCTTTTGAATGAGTTGTATGCCATAAGTGTTTTTTCTATATTTTGTTTTCAGATGATGTGAAACATTGTAGACTTCCCTAAATCTGCTGGCCTTACCTTCTGAGGCCCTAGACAAAAGAGTTATCATTTATTTAGGCCCTTTTCTGGCAACGTAATTAGTGGCCTATGAGGGGTCTGTAACAGCATCAAGGTGCTTCAAAGCGTCATTTGACAGCCAAAGTTGGAGCATTCGGTGAAGAGAGAATGAGCACCATTCACCTTTCCAAAAATAGAAAAACACTGGTTATTTTTCTCTAGCATAATACATTTATGTATGCCAACCATTCTTTTGGCTTAGAGAAAAATTAGGATGATGAAATATCCTATCCTAACAATGATCAAATAAATAAATACCAATGTCAAATGTCAAACAAGTTGTTTCACTTTTATGTCATGGAAATTTATTTCATTAACGTTGTTACTAAGCATGTTTGGCTGCTACTTTTCTGCTACTCTTTTGATGTCAACCAAAGTATTGTTCTTTTATGATTCTCTGGTTGTGAATTCGTAAGTCTCTGCTGGAATTTTTTTCTATAATTTGAACGATAGTGCCCATTATAGGGGTGCTATCTGTCAACTGGCTGTCACTTTCATATTTCTTGCCTGCTTCCCTCAAATGGAGCCTTGATCGATAGATCAAATGTTCTTTCAATCGCAATGCTAGTGTCTTTATGTTTAATTATAAAAATAAAGGAAACAATAGCAATGATCCCTTCTTTCTCACAGATCCTGGAAATGCCCTCATTACTTCTTAAATTGTAGGGAAATTCTCGATTATTACTTTCGAAGAGTTCATTTCAATTGCATTAGACGCACCACGAGTCGTTGGGATCTACCCAGAAATAAAGAACCCAGTTTTCATCAACCAGCATGTAAGTAAATTAAGTCTCTTTTTCTTTCAATTTCAGAATTTGATGTATATTGTCGTATCAGATTATGTTCTTCTAAATTCAAATCCTTTGAAGAAGTAATGGTTTTCTAGGCTACACCTGATTGCATTAAACGGTTCTTCCTTGGTTCATACAAGGCAGTTCAAGTAAGGTCGCAGAAAGAGAACAATTTTCTGGTGTTACAATATTTATTCTATCATTATTTGTGTGTAAGACCCTGCATAACAAGGTTAGATTCGAGACAAAAAAAAAGTGAAAGAAAAGTAATATGATGACATGTTTTTCCTAGGTTTTCTGCAACTTCTGTCATAGTCTTTCAATCTACGTATAATCTCTGCATCTGGTGTTGTCCACTGGAATCTTCTTTGCTCGGGGTCTCTGGTATTGAAAAAGCTCGAATAGTGTCAATAATTTTAGATTGAGAGTCAAGAACCACATGTGTCTTTGACTTTTGGATTTATGTTAAGAACTTGAGAAATCTTTTTGTAGCCAAAACAAGCAGCGCTATATTAGGATATGGATTTGCCCGTCTTTGTTGTTTGTGGAGAGTTTATGGTCGGCATTTTTTACCCAGTTTATTCACTTTTCAGTTTTTTTAGGGTTTCTCTGCTAATCCTTTTCTTATTAATGCATCAAGACACTGAAATGTTGTCAATCCTGACAGGTTAAATGGTTGGGCGGAAAGAGGTTTGAAGACATTTTTGTCGACATACTGCTGAGAAATGGTTACAAAGGCCCTTACATGTCAGACGATTGGCTAAAACAACCAGTCTTTATACAGTCTTTTGCTCCAACATCCCTTGTTTATGCTTCAAAGTTGATTGATTCCCCAAAAATTTTATTAATTGACGATGTGACAATTCCAACCCAAGATACAAATCAGGTTCCTCCTTAGTCTCTACTGAGAGAAATTACCTTTTTTTAATATACTCAGTGAAACTCTGCAATCAGATCAGAAGTTGGATGAAATATTCATTTTCTTCAATAATCAGGGGGCTAAAGTTTTGTTTTTCAGTTTCATGCGTTTTTTACCATATTATTGGTTTCTAAGGAATCTGAGGTATATCGTATTCAAATCATCGAAGAGACAATTTTTTTTTTAATGTTCCATCTCGACAGCTCAACAAATGAACTTTCTTTAGAAAAAAGTTGACCAACCCGGACCCCAGGGTTCTGAGTGAGAACCATTAAAACCAGAGTTTGGTAGGATCGCTGTGGTTTGGTATGTGTATTCCTAATATTAAAATAAAAATAAAATAGATTGCATGTGGTTTGGTATGTTACATTTATGACATGTTCAGGTCATAAAAGCACAAGGCTTACTTGGTCATGTGGTGGTGACATTCTTCTTTGCAGTCTTACTGGGAAATCACCTCAGAGAGTTACTTTGAATACATCAAGGAGTACGTTGTTGGCATTGGTCCATGGAAAGATACTGTTGTGCCCCCGCAGAATAATTATTTGTCCACGCCTACTGATCTTGTGGCCAAAGCACATGCGTATGATCTACAGGTACGTTTGATTAGAACCTACGGTGATAAGAGATCGGAATATTTTTCTTTTTCTCTGAAATGAAGTGATTGGAGTGGTAGATTTCTTTTGTGCTATTTTGTTGTATGCTAAATTTCGATCTGTTATACTAATTTAACATTGGGAAAAGAAAAATAAAATGCTGTGATTATACAGATGGTTCTGTCATTATTGGCAACTAATTGAGTTAGATGGTATAATTTCTGGCGATTGCTCATAGCTCACATGTAGTACTTCATTTCTGTTGTGGTGGAAACATTCTAAACTCGTATGGTCCAATTGGTGTTATCCATATTATCAATTTGTGATGCTCAACCTATTCAAGCTGTTGACTTCTGATCAAAACTTTTTAAAAAGCATCTCACGTAGAAAAGCGTCCATTTTTAGGGCTAGGAAGGTAAAATCAGGGTTTTTTTTCCTCTCAATATTCACACTATAACTAGATATTGTCAGAAGAAATATTCATGTATATCGCTCTTATTGTTATAATGAAAGCATTTCCTATCACAAGAATGCGATTACAATGACTCGTGCTGGTTTTATTTCCTGGCATTCTATCCGAGCCTTCACTTATTTCTCGTTCTTGGTTTTTAATATTAATCTTTATTTTATGAATTACTATATTATTGAAAAACATTCTTTGAACTTATTAAAAAGTTATTTAGATCATTTTTTATTACTCAGATTATCTCAATTATCAGAAAACGATCTTACTAACTATTTATCGTGCTTGAATCAAAAGGTTTTTATCCCTTGCCTCTTTTTGTTGACCTGAGTTGACTTCATGATTGGTCGTTGACTACGTGCACGAGTAAGTTTATCTTCATCTCTTTCGCTGGCTACGCACGAGATGCTTTTTCTTGGCTGCCCGCTTTGACTAGCCTTCTCCAATCCGACTTCTAATAAGATCCGAGCAGAGTCTTCAGGATGAGAGAGAAGTAGTGAGCCTGATTAGTGGACCCCAATGGATCTTCCGCAGGTGCACCCCTACACGTACAGGAACGAGAACCAGTTCCTGCACTTTGACTTCCACCAGGATCCGTACGCAGAATACGAGTTCTGGATAAACCAGATGGGCGTGGACGGCTTGTTCACGGACTTCACCGGCAGCCTCCACAGGTACCAGGAGTGGACCTCTTTCGCGGCCGCCCCCAACGCCAGCGCCGCCGATCGGCTGCTCCACAGGATCTCGCTACTGATCGACGCCTATCGCGGGAAGTAGTCATCTTATTTATTCCCCACCTTCCTTCGCGTGGAAATTTCGTGTGAGTGGTCGTATTCTTAGGAGGCGTGCATCTGCCTACGATTCGATGCGCGCTCACCTGACCATTTTTAATGGGTTGCAAAAGACCACTGCTTACCAAGGCTTCGTTACAAAATATCATGTTAATAAAATCTACACTGTAAAAAATAATGGCTTTTTAATGCACAGTGATGACTCTCATATTGGCAGTCTCTCTTTCCCTCTCTGAGAATGGAAGTTTAGTATCGACGTATGCGTGGTCAGTGGCCCAATGCGTGATTCCATACATGCACTGAAAGTTCAGCATTTGGATTAGGAGATTACATGTCGAAAATGAATTCCTCGACGAGATGTCATCACTTCAGATCAGCGAGATTATATGCTGAGAACGAATTCGATCCCGTTCCCTTACCCTTCTGTAATCAAATGCGACGCAAAAAATCCGAGCATCAATATATAAACAGGGAATTGGTGATCCACCTGAAAGACGCGTCTCTCACCGAACACCGTATAACCATAGTCTACTCGTCCATTGGCTTCTTTCTCTCCTGTTCACGGGGGGAAGACGAAGATCTTCACCCCTCGCGCCAGTCCAGTATTTAGAGGAGGAACGAAACGTTCCAGCGCCTCGAAGCACAGTCTTACCATGACAGCACCCCAACTAAAAGCACGTCAAAAATTCGTCATCGGCCTACTCTGCAACTCTTCCATGCACGAGGACACAGCTCTGCGGCAGATGCCTCCGAAGATGAACACGGGATGACAAAAAAAAACCGTCCTTGGAAATGGTCAAATATACATTTGATGGATTTGCACTTGCCGAAAAATGGGATGAGAACCGCCATACCAGAGAAGATAGTAGAGAGAGAAAAAGTAGAGAGAGAGAGAGAGAGAGAGATCGAAGGCTAGGACATACAGGGTGGTAGCAGCGGCGGTGGTGGTTGTGGAGGGGGGGACCGGAGCTGTTTGAGGCGGTGGATGACGTGCTTCATGATGGGGCGGCTGGACATGGAATCGAGAGTAAACATGATGTCCTGATGCAAAGTCTCCACCAGGTCGTCATGTAGGGTGGCATCCCAGAGGCAATTGGCAAAGAACTCACCTGGCCTTTCTGTTAGACCTGCGGACGTCATCCATGTACCCCAAAAGAAGAGGTCAACTCCAGGAAGGGCTCGGCCCAACCCACCACTAGTTTCCAAGGCTTCTCTACCGGAGTACATGGGCCATGTTACACTGCTGCATGGATAACTGCCTCCTATATGACCTATAAATGGAAGGGAAGTGGAGTGGAGAAGAGAAGAGGAAGAATGTTAGAAGAGTCCAAGCCTGCTCAAAATCTCAGGAGAGAGGCATCCACTGTCGGGTTCTCTCCCCCTCTCTCTCCCTCTCTCTCTCTCTCTCTCTCTCTCTCTCTCTCTCTCTCTCTCTCTACCTTGCTATGTCTCTCATCATTACTCTCTCTCTCTCTCCCTCTGGTGACTCCTTGTCTCTCTCTAGTTACTGTTCACACATCTAGTCGAGTTATCTAGTTCCTCTAAATCTTATAGTCCCTCTCTTCGTTCAGCCATGAAAGAGAAACAGTGAGCATTGTCATGGGTCGTCATCCTTTAATATAGCAAGCATTATTCATCATGTATTTTATTCCATCTAGCTTCGTCCCTCGTCTTCTCCCTCTATTATCGGGGTATCTCAAGTGCAAGGATTATCGGCTCTAATTGTTTTGGTGGGTTCGATATGGTCAACGAGGCAGCAAGGTCTTAAGGTTCAATATTAGAGCCCATCTCTCCGCCACATTTCTCTTTCATGGCATCCCACCAACCAGATATACATGTTGAAGGCATGGAGAATGATCTTGACAAACTCCACCCATGCAAGCACATCCCATGTGTCCAGCCAACTCTTCTCTGAACACTCGTCATCTCGAGCTTCCGGTCTTCACATGTCTCAACCCTCAAGGCTGGGTTTATCGTCAAGATGTTTTTCTCAATACATCCGCAAATTGACGCTGTCAAAATTGTCATGGCTGGTATCAGCTTCAATAATAAGACATTATACTGGTTCTAATGGGCGAAGTGTCATGTTCCATTCACCAACTGACTTGATCTACACCAAAGTTTGTTCATCCATTTTGGGTCTTCCTCTCAAGACAATGTGCACGAACAATTCTTCAATCTACAACAGCTATATTCTGTCACAGAATATTTGCGAGATTTTGAGATCATGTCGGGCTCAGTTACTGATCTATCCCTCAATGCTTTCAAGGATATTTTTCTTAAGAGGCTCAAACTTGAAATTCAGACAAAAATCTACCAACTTGCCCCTATAGATCTTCATCAAATCATGTAGGTTGCTCAACACACCAAGGATCGTAATCTCTTCTTGTAGACCATAACACCATGGCCTCTATCCCTCCTGATTTTGACCTCTTTGCTCCAACATGTTGGGTCCTCCACATTCCTTTGTAAACTGACAAAGTTGCCTCCACCATGGCCAGCATCGACTATAGGTTCACCTTGACATTCTCTTTGATTGACAGACACCGAGTATCAAGAAAGATAGTCTAAGGACCATGTTTCACTTGCAATAAATAATTTACTCTTGACCACAAATGCAGGTCTGAACTCCATATCTTTATTGTCACTAACAATGAGCTTTCTCAATAGGAAGCATACGAGCTTATATTAGTTCATTCTTCTAAGTCGCCCATTCCATAAACACTTGTAGAAAAAATTGAACTTTCTATGAATTATATTTGGGATTTCAAAATGAGTACCTCGAAGCTCTATGGGAAACTCTCACTTAAACATCATTGTCGTCATCGACTCTGATGTTATTCACAATTTCATTTCCATTGAATTGATACAAGAGATGGCCATCCTCCACCCCTCCATTTGGCATCCTCACTGGCACTAGCACTTATATTCCTGGCCATGGTATTTTTCAAGTCATTTCTATCTAACCACAAGATTTTACCATATATGAAGATTTCATTATTCTCCAACTAGACAATGTTGATTACATTTTTCATTTGTAGTGGCTCTGCAGATTAGGTAAGGTGGAGTAAAACTATCAAAACCTCCTTATGAAATATCAACTAGCCAGCTCAATGATTAAACTTCAAGGTGACCCCAACTTATCTAAATCAAGCATTTTACTTAAATCTATGGCTTATGAGCTCTAATACAATCAGGTGTTCTTATTGAACTACAGTAGTTCACAACTAGCAATAATTATTCAGCCATATCCTAGGTCCCAAAGTTCTAATGACCCACTCTCTACAACTATCACAATTCTTATTCTCCTAGTTTCCACAAGTCTTTATCACCCTACAGCCTTTTGCCTTGTCATGTTGTAAATCATGTTATTGACTTGCTTTTGAATACTCCACCTGTCTATGTCCACCCATATCATTATTTTCACATTTAGATGACTCAAATTGAAAAATTAATCAAGATAATGTGCCAAGAAAGGATCATTAAACCATTTATAGGCTCATTTTCTACTCATGTGCTCCTTATTAAAAAGAAGAACTACATCTAGTGTTTATATGTAAACTATTGAACTTTAAATCCAATAATGATTTTGAACTGTTTCCTAATTTCAATTGTTGATAATTATTAAATGAATTATAAGAGGCTTCAGTTTTCTCCAAACTAAATTTGAAATTTAGGTATCATCAAATAGGCATGAAGGACACAAATATTCTCAAGATAGCCTTCCACACTCCTCATGGCCATTATGAGTTTTTAGTCATCCCATTTGACTTGTTGAATGCTCTAGCTACCTTTTGGTCACTCATGAACCAGATTTTCTATAATTATTTGCACCACTTCATGCTTGTCTTATTTGATGATATCTTTATTTATAGTCATGCTATGAGTTCACATTGTCAACATCTCCAACACTTGTTTTCAGTCTTTTAGGATAATCATCTGCACATTAATAAATAAAAAATATCTTTTTGGGTTATCCTTGGTCGATTCTCTAAGTTATATCACCTCTAGCTAAAGTGTTGCTATGGATTCTTCCAAAATCGTAGTTATTCAAGAATGGTCGCAACCTAGTAATATTAAGAAGCTTTATACCTTTTTGGACCTCACAAGTTACTACCAATGTTTTATTTTGAACTATGGGTGTAATGTATAGCCCCTCACTCAACAACTTAAGTGAGATTCCTTTCATTGGAACGATGCCATCACCACCACCTTCGAGCAATTTAAACAAGTTCATTTATTCACTTTAGTGTTGGTCTTGCCCAACTTTCACCTTCCTTTGAATTAGAGGTTGATGCTTCTAGAATTGGCCTAGGTGTCATTCTCATGCAGAACAAATGAATCATCACTTATTTTAGTAAGGTTTTATCTCCTCAACACCAGTTTAAACTAATTTACCAATGTGAGCTAATGACAATCATCCTATCTATTGAAAAATGATGACATTTTCTATTGGGATGACTTTTTCTCATCTATACCTACTAGCACAACTTAAAATTATTGATGGAGCAACATTAAATCTCTCCCAATTATCATATATAGTTAATCAAGGTTTTGAGATATTTATTCAATTTATAGTTTAAGTTCAACATTAAAAATAAAGGTACTAATGCTCTTTCTCGTATGCCACATCACACTCATCATATGCCTTATCTTATCTTAGGAGCATTTCTTTTGACCAATTACGAACCAGCCTTCACACTCATCCAAAGGCCTATTAAATTGTACTCAACCTCTCCAATCATTGTTGTGAATGACCTGAGTATTTCATACAAGGGGATCTTTTATTTTATAAAGGTCAATTATTTATGTCACCAACCACTTCCCTCACCTCATTAGTTCTTCATGAATATCATAAAAATACCTTGGGTAGCCACTCATGATTTATATGCACATATAAATACATTCATCAAGAATTTTATTAAGGAATGAAATATGTTATCCAAAAATGTGGCCTTGTACTCTATTTTTTAACAACATAAATACGAAGTCTTGTTTCTTGAGGGCCTCATACAACTACTCTCGATTCCATAACAGATTTTGGATGATATCTATCTTGATTTTATCAATGGATTATATTACTTTGGTGGACTCAATCCATTGCTAGTTGTTGACAAATCACGTAAATTTGCTTATTTTTCACCACTAAGGCACCCTCATATACAGCTCATGATGTCACCACAGTATTCTTATGAGATGTAATCAAGCTACATAGGTTCCCTCTCACAATTGTCTTGAATTAGAGCCATATATTTCTCAGTCATTTTTGGAAAGAGTTGTTCCAATTACAAGGTAAGAGACTTCATGAGACTATTGCCTATCACCCACAAATGGATAGAAAAATTAAAGTTGTTAATCATTACTTAGAATCTTATTTATGGCGCTTCACTTTGGAGCATTCAAATCAATAGTCACAATGGTATTGCTTTTTTAGACAAAATATTTGCACAATACCAACTATCATATCTCTCTAAAACTCACTTCTTTTTCAGTGGTTTATGGTCGTGATCCCCCACTCTTCTCATGCATCAGCACCCAACATACATATGTGGCTTATCTTGATGATCAATTACAAAAATATGATGTAATTATACTATATCTAAAGGATCATCGCCATCAAGCTCAAAACCATATGAAGCTACAACATGATAAATATCAATGTGAATTATCTTTCAATGTTAGTGATATGGATTATCTCAAACTAAGACACTACTATTTAAATATTCTATCTCAATGACCCAATGAGAAGTTATCTTTAAGATATTTTGGGACAAATTATATTATTGACCACATCCATATAGTTGCTTACGAGTTAGGGATTTCTTCTTTCACCAAGATCCACCTAGTATATTACTTATCTCTACTACGATTGACAACAAGGTCATAGGATAACCTTCACCTTCCTCTTTTTCTTTAGAAAAAGAATATGATTTGGAATGTAAAACTTGAGACAATTGTTCAATTGCATACCTCTAGTGTGGGCCATGAACTTTTAATCAAATAGAAAGACTTACCTCATTTTGAATCTACTTGAAGGCCATTAGATAGTTTTCTATCTCAATTTCCTCACTTTGACCTTGAGGACAATATTCCTATCGCAAGAGAGGGTATCGACTTGTGGACGTCATCTACATACCTTGAAAGAAGAGGTCAATTCCATGAAGGGCTTGGACCAACTCACTTCTGATTTCTAAGGCCTATTTACTAGAGAGTGTGGGTCACATTACAATAATGCATAGATAATTGCCTCATGTATCACTTGCAAATGGAAGGAAAGTGGAATGAGGAAGAGAGGAGGAAGAATATTGGAAGAGTCCAAGATTTTTCAATGTCTCACTAGAGAAGCATCCATTGTTAGGTTCTCTTGCTTCTTTCTCTCTCTCTCTCTTTCCATTATTATTCATACACCCAATCAAGTTAAGAAGTTTTGCAAGTTATATAGTTCTTCTAAGCTTTACAATCACTCTCTATGTCGAGCCACAAGAGACAAATAGTGGACATTATCATGATTCGTCATCCCCATTTCAGAAGCATTGACCTATGTAATGATGTTGAAACCATTCTTCTACTATGATGATGAATTCAATAGCTTCTTATCTATCAGCATTTTCAATAACACCATACTATAGTGATATACATCCACCTTGTCAGAGACCTTACAGATGATGGCAAACTTCAATGCCACATACCCAATGGTTCCCACCACACCAATGGTGGAGTGTGCCGTCAAGCTCCCTAATAGCCTCACTTACTTGAAATACGAGAGGTACATTAAACTTCATGTCAAGCAAGATGTTGTTGGGCTTCACATCCCTATGGAGGATTCTAGCAAGACTAGGGCCAAGTCACCCAAAAAAAAAGAGGAACTAACAAAGACATATCATATGGGGGTCAAATGTCATATGATGAATTATTGACCTAACTTCTTGAATGACTACTTATGTAATTGAAAAACAGTCTTAACAATTCTAACAACAATAAAATGGGTTGAGTCGTTACATAAATTGAATAATAAAAGACAATAACCTAATAAAAATAAATTGGTATTAATGGTTCATATATTCTCTAAAAAAAGTAAGAGAAGGGTCAAGATGAAAGATTCTTAGAGGAAGTCTAGCCATGAGGCTAGTGATCTTGACTTTGGCCTTATCTCTTTTCTATCTTTTCTTTCAATTGCATGTTTTATTTTGTATTTTGTATAAATGAGACAAAGTTTATCAATCAATTAAAATAACAAAACTATTTATAACCAATTAGATCTATAGTCGATATAGTTTATCATTCGATTCAAGTTAAGTTTTCTAATTTGAGATTCTCATCAAAATTAGTATCATAGTCAAAATTATGTGTCCAAAGACTAAAGATTTGCACAATGATTTATTAAGATTTACAAAAACATACAACAACTATGTTGACAAGTGATATGGGACATCTCAAAGAAATATCTACCATTAGATACTAGTTAGGTTCCATCCACCAATCCTTATAATGGTTGCGGAGACTGTCTAGAGTTTCATTGCAATACGAATTTATACACAATTGACCAAAAGACTCACTTCACCATTTAACTCTATAAGATCAAAGAGAAATAAGAAAATAAGTATTTCAGGGAAGTGGATGTCAACAATATGCTATTGCACATGAATCTCACCATTCAATTATCGGCCTAAGTTTTGGGAGAAAAAAATTTGAGATGCCTATATTTTTTGGGGAAGATCTAAAAGAATAGATCTACAAGGCATATCTATATTTTTCTACATTCTTATTTTCAAAAGATGAAAATTGTGGACAATTAGATTAAATTTTAAGATAAGATCACTCAAGTGATTTAAATGATAAAATACCAAAAAATAATTAAAGAATTGAAATGTCAAAGAATTACTATTGAAAAGATTTAGAATTCTAAAATTAGGGTCAGCTTGCTAATAGTTTCTAAGAATCAAATAGACATGGATGGTAGTTAAGTATCATGTAAGACTACATGACATTTAGGTAGAAGGGATTATTTCTAATTATATGAAGTTAATTGTTGTTATAAAATGGCTCAGCATATAGAAATAAAAAACAACAAGATCATAAACTACAATCTAAAGAAGAATAAAGATATAAGAAACAATTGTTAACTTGTAAATTAGCAGTGCACCAAAGGTGATCCATGAAAATCATTTCCCAAGGGTAGTTGGCATTCAAAGTAATAATATTAGCATGTCATCTAGCATGAAAAAACCTCCATTAGAAAGAAAAAATCTTAATTTGACTATGTCAAGATTCAAACTAAAAGGGTAGAAAGAATTTGCTACTTCTACAATCAGAAGTATGACTTTAGTGATTAATGTCCAAAATCAGATTTCAATATTATTCATTCAAGAGTAAAATGGTTCTCATTCAAGAAGAAGAAAAATTCTTCAATATTCAAACTAATAGAGCTTTGCTAATCTAAAAGTCTCTTAAACTTTCTCACAAATTTTCACCATATCACATGCCCAAATTCCAAAATAAGATATGTGATCATCATGTTACAATTTTTGTTAATGCTTTAATAACTCAAAATTTTAGTTCTCAAAGGTGTAGTTAGTTCTCTTAAGTTCACGATAAATTCTACTTTATAATATCAATTGGTGACAAGAACATGTGAAATGATCAAGAGATTGAAAATAGTCAAGATGTTATTCTTGAGTTTTCTCACCCACACTATATGTGAAAAATATATTGATCGTACCACTAGCAATAGTCTATGTTATCTTATGAATGAAAATTATTGAAAGAGAAAAATAAGATGGAGTTATATTTTTAATAATAGACTCTTACAACACCTTCTAACATAAAATAAGAGTAGATAGCCATCTTGGAGCTCCATCCAAATTATTATAAAGATGAATTGTATGTATTAAGTTGTACCAATTGGAGTTATGGAATGAGAAAACAATTTACAACAAAAGTTTTCAAATCCATTTTAGAATTCATTAAGCCTTCAATTGAAAAGATAAGTAGATCATGTTATTCCATTTAAAGACGTCACCTTGGTCATCAATATGCCCAGTTAGATACCCATACCTTCAAAGGTCTAAAATCTAAAAACTAGTAAGAGAAATACTTGAAAAGAGATAATTTAATAATCTAATAATCATTTATCTAGTATAATATTATTGGTAAAAAACAAAAATAACTTTTAGGAGGTTTTGTGTTGAATATTGTGCACTAATAAAGCAACAATCCTCAATAATTTTTAATTCCAATCATTAAAAAAATTATTTGACAAGTTATATGATGTAGATATATTTTTAAAGCTAAGCTTACATTATGAATATCATCAAATCTATGAGTAGAAGTGGGATGTGTACAAAACCACATTCATAACACACACAGAGTACTACAGATTTTTTGTAATACTCTTTGACCTTACTAATATTTAGGTCATGTCTCAAGGTCTAATGAACTGACTATTCTATAAGTATCTTAATATATATATATTGATGTAATACTTATTTTTAGTTAGGATTGAGTAACTCATTAACAATATTTGTTTTGAGTCTTCAAAATACTCAGCTCAAATCAGTTGCAAAAATCAATCCAAATATGATGATGGATTCAAAAAAATAGAAGATGTTCTTCAATAGTTGACTCTAAAAAATCTAAAGGAATTATGTAATTCTTTGGGATTGATAAGGGTATTATTGAAGATTCATTAAGAGTTACGATTCCATTACCCAACCCTTGATACAATTACTGAAATGTAATATATTTAACTAAAATGAGACCAAACCTACTTTCAAGTAGCTCAAAATTTCTATTACCACCATTTAGTATTAACACTAGTAAATTTTCATTAGATATTTGAAGTTGAAGTAAATGATTTAGAAATTGTAATTGGATCAAAAGGAGTATAAAATATCTATTGGAACAATGACAAGTCTATTCAGGACTACCAAAAATGATTATTCAAAATTTTAGCTTTGAATTTGAAGTCAAATTTAAAACAAGGTCTAAGAATAAAGCGAAAGATGTCTTTTATAGACAACCCAACTTGATTGAACTTCAAGTCCTAAAATGTCAAGGCTTGAACTATTAGGCATCAAAAAAGTCATTTAAGAAGTATTAACATGAGCTTGCATTCATCTCAAATATAATAGGGAGTGAGATACTAACCTGAGGCATGGCTTCAATATAATTTACAATGAGAACTTCTCTTCAACTAAGGTCATATAGCTTTGTCCAAGAATTTGAGTTTAATTCTAAAAAACTTACATAAACTTTATAATTCCATTATGGGTAGACATTTTGGACTTTTTTAGACCTGTGAGAGGATCACCAAAATCTTAGATTGAGAGGAATGAAGATAGATATCAGAAAATATGTCAAGGCTTGTCACATATGTTAAAAAATAAATCAAATTGTTTATCTCTAACATGTCTTCTTCAATTGTTCCCTATTTTGGCTCAAATACGAGAAGATATAAGAATGGGTTTCGTGGAAGACCTATCACAATCAGAAGGTTGTATTCTCATTTTGGTTGTGGTTGATCATCTCAACAAGAGTGCACATAATTTATATATAAAATATCATTTCACTACACCTCAAGTTCTACATTTTTTGTCAAAGACATTATTCAGTTGTATAAAATTTTAGCATCAATTATCACCATTAGAAACAAAATTTTCATGAGCTCTTTTGGACAAAGTTATTCTAATTCCCCAAAAATAGTGTTGCAACATAAGTTCCTTATTATCCTTAAAATGATAGTCAAATAGAAGTTGTGAATTGAGGACTAGAAACTTAGATATTTCTCTAGAGACCAACCCCATGTAATGATCTAAATAGATTCTTTAGGCTGAATTTTTGATTTAATATCAATTATAATTTGTCAGCTAGTTCTACTCCATTTCACATAGTATCAATTAATATCAATTTTGATCCTCCAACTTTGTTTTGATCAGTTTAGTATCTTCTCAAAGAGAATGAAGTGGGGCAACTTTTAAAAGAATTAGACTTGATGATAGATCAAGTTCAATATCATTTATCATGTGCACAGACCCAAATGAAATAGTATGCCAACATAAAATGGTGGGACGTTTAATTATTAGGTGGGTGATATGATTTATCTACAAATTAAACCATGTCGACATAATTCACTATGATGTAAACCTTATGTAAAATTAAGACTAAGGTTCTTTAAGCCTTATGGAATCTTGAAAATCATGAGTCAAGTAGTTTACTGGCTGACTTTATTATTGACGATGAGCATCCATCCCATATTTTGTCTCACAACTCAAAATGATTGAATGGAACTTATGTCCCAATACAATCAAGTCCTCTAAGCATAGATTTAGATCTGCAATGGACAACAAGGGCATTTGAGGTAGTAGCCATATGGCAATGTGGAAGTCTACTATGCTCATCAAATAGAATTTTCCAGAGTTTCTTCTTGAAGACAAGGTAAAAGCCATGAGGGGGAGAGGGGGTTATTGATGGATTACTAGTAGGAATAAGTCACCCGAGAAAGAAGAGGAACTAATGGACACAGACCATATGGGGGTCAAAGATTATGTGATGAGCCATTGACTCAACTTCTCAAACGACTTCAACAGAATTAAGTATTCGTCTAACTAAACAATGGCACTAATGATTTTAATGGTCAGGTAATGGACTGGGTTGTCACATAAATTGAATAACAGAAGACAACAACCCAATAACAATAAACTTATACTAACGGCTCAGATAGCCTGTAAAAAAACAACAGGATAAAGGTCAAGAGGCGAGATTCTCAGATGAGGAAGTCAACCCATGAGACTAGTCATCTCAAGTTTGGCTCAATCTCTTTTCTTTCTTTTCTTTCAATTATTTGTTCTGTTTCGTGTTCTCTATAAACGAGACAATGTCTACCAGTCGATTAGAATCCATAAACTGTCTGTAATCAGGTATATCTAGCTATTACAGTTCCATCTTTCCATTCCAATTTGGTTTTCTAATTTGGGTTCCCATCAGTAAGCCAGCGCCTGTGTCAAGAGGCGAGATTTCTTGGCGGCAGCATATTGATAGTTAAATCTTCTCTTCTGCTGGCGGCGCCACCGTGCTCTCACGGCCACCGTCTCTCTGAAAACCCCATACTTTTCTTCTGCTGCACCCTCCGGTTTCCTCTGTCTCTTACGGGAGCTGCCACCGGCGACAGCGACCGGGCGGCCGCACCGCGGTCTCCATCTCTCCAAAGCGGGTCTACCGAACACCGCCGTCCGACTCGAGCCCACTGATCATCCCACCCACGGTGACTCCCGGAATTAAAATCCGGCGATTGGTGGCCGTCGAGATTCTACTCTGCGTGGGGCAAGGACGAGCTCTGATATTTAGCATCGTTACGCCAGCTAATAGTTTCTGCCCACCAAAAAATTAAAAAGCGATAATGCGAAGGCCCATCAGAGTAGTCAACGTCCTGGGCCAGCCCTCTGACTTCTCAAGCTCAAGCTCAGGCTCATCCATGTGTGAAGAGGGCAGCGCAAATAAATGCGGGCAATGTCGACAGTGAATGGACCGAGGATGCCGTGACCAAGAGTGGGGCCCCCTCTGCGGGGCTTGGGGGAGGCGTTAGTCTCTGTACATACCGAGGGGGAGGGAGGGTCTACGAGGGGGAGAGCTTCAGCTTGGAGATCTCCTCGAGAAGGTACCTTGACTCGGTCAAGGAGTCAACGGGGGAGAGGGCACGTAGAGTGATCCTCTGTCTCCTCTCGCCCATGAACTCGTGGACAGCCACGCTGACCCGGAACAGGTGGGGGACCCACGTCGCCTCCTTGAGCATCATCTGTAGTTTTTCGTCACCCTCCTGTCGAACCAGAGACGTAGCAGCAAGAGAGCGAAAATCAATAATGGCGGAGAGCCGGAAAACCAGTCGGTCGCTGGCTTATTTATACCTCTGTTTTGACCCTGTCGAGCTCGTCAGCTGAGCACCCGATGATCTTCTCCGCCTGCTCGTTGAACACAGAAAGCCAGGCTTCCCCCGTCGGGTCCGAGACCTTGACTACCAGGATGTACCTGCGTGAATGATACACACATTGAGAAAGAGAGAGAGAGAGAGAGAGAGGGGGGGGGAGAGGGGGGGAGGGAAGGGATGCTCATGGGGCGCTCATCAGCTTGTTTACCTCAAGCTGCACTCGGCGTCGTTCTTTTGACAGCCTTCGCACCAGAAACCAGATTCCACGGCCTCGGTCACCTTCTTGTTGCAGGTCTTGCACGCCCGGTACCACATGGTCTGGTCGGGCTTGATGAAGCTCACGTAGGCTTTTACACTGAAATATGCTGGCTGCCCATTTTAACGGCAGAGAGATGCGGGTCAGCGGAAGAGCTTTTAAAGTGGACCGGTTTCCCTGGTTTGGTACCTAAATGAGTTAGTAATGCACCTTTTCTTGACCCAGAGTGGGATCTCCGGTGATGTGAGAGAGGGTGACCCGGTCTGAGTACATGGAGGCCGGGCTGTTCCTCGAGGAAGCGTTGACCAGGCCGGAACCGACAGAAGACATTGCGGTCTCCCTGCCTTCGGAGTCGTACCTGTTGATGAAACACAGGCTGACATTAGGAAGATTCCACTTTGAAGAGGTGAGATCGAAGGAGTTGGGTTGGAGGATTCTCACCAAGATCTGAGTTTCTTTGACTCCGGCACGTCTGGGTTTATAAGCACAGAGCTTCTGCTTATGGATGAGAGGGTCACGCCTACAGAGAGTACTTCAATTTATCAGACCCACTGACAAAGGTCAAAAGAAGGCTAGAAGGGTAGAAAAGAGAGAAACGCGCCTTGGAAGTCTCCGACTTTAAGGCACTTCATTGCCACAACAGGAGCCTCGCTGGCCATGTCCAGCAACTGCTGACCCACGTCCGTGGCAAGCTCATTCCAGAGGGAAACAACGACGGTTTTCTTCCTGTCATTAGAGACAATCTGATAAGAACTCGATGTTGAAACTACAAGAAGCTAAAGGAGAAGACGTAATTTTCCTTACGAATCATCAGCAATGGTGACGTCTCGCTTTGGAACAGACTCGTTATTGCTCTTTCTTCGGACACTCAATGTAGATGAGACATTCTGCACAACCCCGATGATATCTGCCAGATGCATGAGTACAATCAGGAGATCCAGGAAAGATAGGACAAATACTTATTATATTATCATTACTGTTATTATCATTAAGCTGAAGATTCTAAGAGGAAATTTACCAACAAGTTCCCTCCCATTGACGTATGAGCCCAGCTGGTCGATCTTCACAAAATCAAATTTCATCTCTGGAATGAATGCTCCTTCACTAGCAGCCTCTTCAACTTCTGAATTCTCGTTCAGGGTCATCTCATAATCATTCTTGACTGTTTTAAACAGTTTATTCGCAACCTTGAGAGATCCTTTGGAAATATAATACACCTTTCCAAATTCAAATTTGGGGTAGAACTTCTTCGCCGCTTCATTAAACATAGTTGCTTGTATCTGTGTGCCCTGAGATCAAAATTCACAGAAATTGATGAACTTGTAAAGAGATGTATCTGCTACGGAATATGAAATTGTTTAGATGGGCTGTATGCGGAGAAATCGCAAAAAGGAGGTAGGGTCGGAATGATAAAAAGTATTAGCAGGGGTCAAAACCGAGAAAATGATCCGGTAGACTTCCAATTTCTCTCTTATGTGCGTATTTTGTGAATGAAAAGACAGATATCAAAATGAGTGCCTGAAACTAAATGTCCCACTAGAATATGCAGAAAACAGGCCACGTAATCGATATGACGTGCCAGTATTCTTTTTTTTTATGGAAGTTATGTGGAAAACAGCAAACTTACATCTTCATCCGTCAATTCTACATTGAAAACATGGCCTTCCCCCCTTGCATTCTTGTATGAACGCATATTTCCCTTATTAGTTACTCGAACCTTTATTGTCCAATTTCCTTGGTAAGGATTCAAAGAGACAAGCGGATGTACTCTCCTTGTCATGGCCATTCTAGCAGCAGGAGCAGCACTGTAGCGTGGAATCACCATTAAATCAAGATCAGCTATAGCATCTTGCGTCAAAAGCACAACTACATGAGGATGTCAATGAACCTAGTAAACCAGAAAAAACATACTTTGCACGCTGCTCATTCACAATCTGCGCAGCAGACTTTGCTATCACTTCCTGCTTCGGCTTCAAAATAATTCCTAGTCCAACGTTTTTAAGATCATCTTTGATCTCTTTCTCAAGAGCAGGAGATGTCACCTCACATTTTGTCACTATCAAAGCCCTGTAACAATCCGCATTTCAAATGACAGGAACCGCAAAAGAATTGAAACAAACGCGGAGGCGAGATATTACTGTACTTCTCTGACTGGTTGGGTATAGAATTGCAGGTGTAATCCAGGATGCGAACAAGACCTAGGTTTTGAAGGTTTCCTGAATGTATCTCCGAAGCAAAATGAGTTGGAAGCATTGCTTTCATCTTCATCTTGCCGTCGCTAGCCATGAACCTGAGATTAATAACAGCTGTATTTAAGATCAAATCATACAGCGTCATAAGTCAGGGAATACAGATTCGCACCAATAGTTAGCTCCAAAGAAAATATAAGAGTGGCAGAACATCAATGTCTGACATGAAACCGACACAAATAGAACCCATTTTCCAGTGTCCCAAGTTGAGGGAAAGCAAACATCATGAATCAGAGGAAACGTAAGCAAAAGTCGATACCGAAAGTAAATGTCTACAACCTGCGTAGTCATGATCCAGAAAAAGGTGAATGGAATCTTAATATTGGAATCATAAAGGAAAAATCTGCGAAACACATTACAACGTAAAATATTACACAAAAGCAGGTCTCCTAGGAAATCTGGAATAAAATAATCAAACGACGAAAAATAGGCAAAAATCATGCGGTAGCTCGGAGAAATAAAAAAAACGATCTAAAATAAGTTAACATAAGAGAAAGTAGAAGGGTAATGCAAAGAGGAAGGAGAAGCTCACGTAAATCGGGTGGTGCTGTTGCCAATGGGCTTAAGATCGACGACCTGCACTATGAGCTCGGGAACGATTTCCGGGGAGTCGGGGTTCGGATCTGCCAGGATTGCAGAGACTGCTCCCGGCGTGACGGACTTCGACATCTTCCACCGGCTAGGCTAAGCTCCTAAGAGAGAATGGATCGACGAAGAAAGTACTATCGCTTGGAGGGAGAGATGGAGGGAGCACTTCGAGAGCCGCAGGGCGGTGGAGACGAACGCGCAGCTTCCCAACTTTGTACTGAGACCGCCGTCCTTTTGGCTATTCCCTTGGCGGGAACAGCCCTTTGGCGGGAAAGTTTCACGTTAAATCGTGTGGGGATCTTGATGGCGCCAACGAGTCAAACTCAGCACAACATCACTAACCTTCGGCTCGGTTGCCTAGGCCGATTCCATCCGTCGTACCGCGACATTCTTACCCGCTTATCCGAAATCGGATTCGGAAAGCGGGTTTCCCACGCGGGCACGATCCGAAACACGAGTGAGTGAAGGAAGTGGACCCGCCGATCAGAGTCTACCGACCGTGGAAACGTGGCGGCCGGCGGCTGGCTGACCATATTAATATGTTTTTGGTGTGGAGACGAGAGGAAGAAGACGATAAAGTGCTTTGATCGGCATCAATGGAAGGTCACAGATAGAGAGGCAGGAGGGAGGGGAGGGGAGATAGAGAGAAAATTTACAATTCCAGCCGCAGGAGAAAGCTCCTCTCACGTAGCCGCTGTGTCGACTGAATTGTATCTCTGGAAGGTTCGGGTGATCTCCGTCCCCCCCCTTCTTTGGTTTATCTTTCCTGTCTTCTTCTTCTCTAGGAACCCTAGATTTGTTTTCTCCTCCCCCTCCCTCCTTCTTTCCTGGATCCACTTTTGCTCTTAAAGGGATTTGTGATGGTGAGTGAAGTGAAATTCCACACCGGCGGCTGTCTCCTTCCGTCACTCCATCCACTTTTCCCGTAATTCTCCATCAGAAATTGTTTCTGACTTCGTTGACAATTGTTTCCCCGGAAAATTACCTTGTGAAGATTGAAATCCTTCCATTCGGGAGATCTGGAACTTATTTTCCCGGAATTCTCCGCTGCCTTCTCTCGGGAGGCCGGTGGAGTCTTGTGGACGAGGCAGAGGTGACCGGAGCCGGAAATCCGTGAGAATTTGTTCGTATGCAGTTTTCCACCACTTAAAGTCGGAATCAGACTGCGATTTGCTTCCATACGGAAAAGAACAGAGATATTTTTTTAATTTTTTATTTGATGTCCTCGTGATCTTCTCTTGCATCGCTTGAATTTCCCCAAAACCGTCAGTTCTATTGGTTTTCCCTTGCCAGGCTCCTTTGGGCTGTAGCTTCATCCTGGAATCTTGGCTGGTTTTGGAGGGATCTTGTGTTTATCTGCGGTTTTGCTGTCCTCTTCCCCTCTTTTCCTTTTTGCCGTCCTTCTTCCCATTGGATCGGGCGACGAACCGCTTAATTATCACCGCTGAGGCCAAGTATTGATCCGTGAAGCAAGTTACACCCAGACGCAGTGCATCTTGCTCCTCTTCCCTATAGAACCTATTCCAGTACCCCACTTCTTCTGTGAGCTTCAGAGGCTTCACTGTGGAGCTCCTCCTTTAGTGTGCCCTAGAAGATCTCCCGATTTCATGCGGCTGCCTCTGAGAAGCTGTTACACTGGCCATTGAGAACCTAATCTCCTGAGAACCATCTGAAAAGAGGGTTCAGGGGCATCACGCAATTTGCTCGCAGGGTCACCCATCTACATAGTTTCATGGAAGACTGCTCGCCTGTTGTACCTCTGACTAGATCGAACTCTCCTGAGACCACCGAATTCTCAGACGGGGTCCTTGCGGAGAGCATCGGAACCAGTGATGTCCAAGAGTGGCTTGATGCTGCGCAAGAAAAGATACTGAATTGGGATTCGGAGAGGTCCCTGACGTGGGACTCTGAACCAGTGGAAACCTCCGAATTTACACAGGCTGTTGATGAGGTTCGATGCCTCACCGAAAGCTTAGAAGCTGCACTGCTGAAGAGTCCTGACCCAAGAGCGCGCCAAATCCAGGATCAAGCTAGCAGCATTCTTGAGGTAGCAATGGAGAGACTTGAGGAAGAGTTCATCCGCATCCTCACTCAGCACCGCCAATCCCTAGATTTCGGTCGCATGTCATTTCATTCGACGGAGGAAGATCATACGGATTACAACTCTTACAGCTCGTTCAATGACGAATCGTTTGAGCTCAGGTTCCCCACGGAAAGCGCCAGGAGCTCCAACCGTACTTTGTTCGAACTGGTCGAGCCGACAGCCATTTCTGATCTCAAATGCATAGCCGATCTAATGTTCAGGTCTGGATATAACAGAGAATGTTCTCAGGCTTACATCGCCACCAGGAAAGGTGTTCTGGATGAGTTCTTCTCGTCCCACCGTCTGGAAATATTAAGTACAGAGGAGCTTGTGGCCTTGGATTTCTGCTCCTTGGGGTCCAAGATCAAGAGGTGGAACCACGGAATGAAAGCTTTCACCCAGGTTTATCTCCCCAGTGAGAGAAAGCTCTGTGATCTCATCTTCGGCGACTACCCTGGGCCAGCAAGTGCAACCTGCTTCTCCGGCATCTCAAAAGGGTCCTTGTTCCAGCTCCTCGGCTTTGGGGAAGCCATCGCAATCTCTCCTCCCAAGCCAGAAAATCTATTCGGTCTGCTTGACATGTACGAGGGCTTGGCCGATCTCATGCCCGAAATCAGAGATTTCTTCTCTCCCGAAGGCTCTCCTGCTTCCATCTCGACGGAATGCCATGAAGTTCTCCGCAGAATCGGCGAATCCGTCAAGGCCTCCTTCAACGAGTTCAAGAACGCCATCCGGAAAAAAACCTCCAACACTCCGTTCCCAGGAGGAGGACCCGTTCATCTGACGAAGTACGTAATGAACTACATCGGCGTCATCCCCAAGTATCGCCAGACACTCTGCTTGCTGCTCGAGGGCCAACACGATAGGGAGGAGGAAGAAGACGGAGGCGGCGAGGTGGGCTCCGGCGACACCTCCCCTCTGAGGCGCAGCCTCCTCTCGGTGGCGGCGATTCTCGAGGAGAACCTCCGCATCAGGTCTAAGCTGTACGAAGACGCCGCCCTGCAGCATTTCTTCATGATGAACAACATCCACTATATGATGAAGAAGGTCAGGGAGTGCGATATTCACGAGCTATTTGGGGATGACTGGATGCGAGCTCAATCCGTCCAAGTCCACCAGCACGCTCTGCACTACCAGAGAGAATCGTGGAGCTCTGTTCTCAACTTCTTCAAAGACGACGGGATCTACAGCCCCGGCTCCAATCAACCTTCCACGGCCGTCCTCAAGGAGAGGTTCAAGAGCTTCAACCTCGCGTTTGAAGAAATCTACAAGACACAGACGGGATGGCTCATCCCCGACGACCGGCTGCGGGATGATGTGGTCATCTCCATTTCCCTGAACATCCTCCAGGCGTACAGGAACTTCAAAGGGAGGTATGAGGCCTACCTTACCGGCCAACGCCGTCGCGAGAAGTACATCAAATTCACAGTGGACGATCTGCAGAACTACTTACTCGATTTCTTCTTGGGATCGCCGAAGGCTCTCCACCTTCCTCGAAGAGCCTGATGTTTAGCACCGCAGATCGGGGTGCGGTTCAAATGATTTGTCTACCATTTCTGTGTAAATTTGTGAAGCCGAATCATGTATTGGAATGCTCTGTTCTTCACTGTACCTTGATGTGACGCGAGTGATTTCCGATTGCTTCCTCCTGCCCTTCCTGTTCTTCGCCGCCTTGAACCTTCTGGGGGAGAGGATCAGACACAATTTCGCCGCCGCCCACACGGACTCTCCGCTATATATATTAGTTTTTCAGTAATATTACTTTAAGCTATTAATATTACATTTTTTAGGCGCTTAACTGAATCGTTATACATAGATCCAATAACTTTTGATATATACCCACATATTTACTCATGAACTCCAGCATATGCCCAATTATTTTTAGTCAGGGGGTTAATTGAATATTGTGCTTTCCCTTTCCGGAAGATTGCCATATCCGCCTCAGGATGGATTTCTTCTGGCGGGAGACGACCCTACACGGTAGCCGCGGGGGGATCGGATCGTAGACGCTTTCTTACCGGAGAAGCCAATCAGATGTTGAAGTCCAGGTACGGCGGTCATTCCATTCGCGCGGTGGAGTTCGGAGCTCCAGTTTGTTCGATCGGCTGATTCGTCGAATGTCTCCCGTCCGTAGGTTTCCAGGAGATTGACCTCTGGGGACATACGGAGTGTTTCCCGTCCGTGAGTTTGATCTGGTCGGAGGGATGTGAGTATTTCCGGATGTTCTTAAAGCTTCTGCTCAGTCGTCTGAGCTGCGCTGTGCTTCTCCGTTCGCCAGAGAGGTAGTATCGTCGCGACAAGGTGTCGGGGTTCGTATATATTTTTAACCTGTTATCGAGGATTCTTCTGTTCACGGTTGAAAGTTAACGGAGTTTGAAGAGCTGTGTTTCGATCCTTGTATCTGAGAATTCTGTATGTTCTTTAGAGGTCTGTGATCCCGAAAGCAGTTGCGGCTGGAGATCCGTATGACATAAGAAAGTATTCAGTGATTTGAGTATATAGTAGAGAAGCGATTTTGTGAAGACTGCGCGACGGTCTGAAGAAAAAATATTACTATGGATTCGTTTCGTCGGCCATCGCGTTATCGTGATCTCTCCAAACCTGCGTCCTTCCACAGTGGTCTGAGTTATGCCCAATGTCATGGTTTCGCCGCTTCAAGTGTGAAAAAGAGAGGCCAGGGCAGCCGTTCGTGGATGCAGATAGATCGAGATGGAAACTCACAAGTCGTCGTACTCGACAAAGCAACTATAATGAGGCGGTGCTCGCTGCCATCTAGGGATCTTCGAATTTTAGACCCTCTCTTCGATTGTCATTCCACGGTACTAAGCCGTGAGAAAGCAATTGTCATCAATCTAGAGCAAATCCGATGCATAATCATGGCCGACGAGGTTATCCTAATGAACTCTGTGGACAGTTACGTCTTGCAGTATGCCTCAGAGTTATGTCTACGGCTCAAGAAAGACCACACTGGTAATGTTTTCTCCTAGAGCAACGCCAGATCCAGGGGTTCTGCTTGGCTTCTGTTTAGTTGTTTATAAAAAGAGCCCGCTATGGATTTCTTGCATTAATCCACTGGATTTCTCATATCAAGTGCTTTCTCTTTGTGTCAGATGACCTACCTTTTGAATTCAAGGCACTGGAGCTTGCCCTGGAGATAGCCTGCGCGCTGCTTGATGGCCAAGTATGAGTCTGACCTTGCCATGGCCATGAGTTCCCCGACCCATATTTACTTCAGAAGTTCTTGTCTTTGCGTGGTTTATTTTCTTCACATGATATGCATGTATGACTGAAGTTGTAGCTCAGAGGCTTAGAAGTCAATTTATATGGTGCAAGCAGGTAAATGAACTCGAAATCGAGATTTATTCGCTGCTCGAGGAACTAACTTCGTCCATTAGCACCAGCAAACTAGATCATGTGCGCAGGCTCAAGAGCCGTCTTCTGGACTTGACTCACCGAGTCCAAAAGGTACAAGTGAAGTCATCCGGAAGAATCCTCTTCATCTGAATTCTCCAACCAGCAAATAAATGATTCGGGCGGTTCCCTTAGGTCCGGGACGAGCTGGAAAACCTGATGGACGACGACGGCGACATGGCCGAGATGTACCTGTCAGAGAAAAAATCCCGGGCAGAGGAATCCGCCATTGCCGATCACAGACCAAACGGGGTAATCTCAGAACTAGACTTTGGCGCATCGAAGACTGCCCTGGTATCGCATCTGAGTTCAAGCAGTAGACTTGCTCAATTGGAGAAGGCCTCGAGCTTGAAGAGTTCTAGCAGCGTAATTCACATCGAAGAGCTTGAGATGTTGCTTGAAGCATATTTTGTCGTCGTTGACAATACTCTGAGCAATCTATTGTCGGTAAGTCATAGTTTATTCCTGTTTATCATTTTTTTTGGCTCTGTTTGTTTCTCACATGCGCTTCGCCGGGTGATTCTGACGAGCCAGTTGAAGGAGTACATTGATGACACCGAAGACTTCATCAACATCAAACTAGTGAGGACAACATATATCATTAATAGTTATTTATTTTATGTATTTTTCCCGCAATTATTGCACCTTATGTTCATCCATTTTCTTTCTTTTTTTTTTTTTTGGAAATACGAATGCCAGGACAATGTTCAGAACCAGCTGATCCAATTCGGGTTGCTCCTCTCAGGAGCCACGTTCCTTGTGACGGCCTTTGCAGCTGTGACGGCGGTCTTTGGGACGAACTTTGCTGACCCGGTGTTTGACCTTCCATCTAACTTTGACTCCGCCCTGATATCAACGGGCTTCTGTTGTGGATCGATATATCTATTCTTCCTTCTTTACGTCAAGCACAGGAAACTGCTAGATTTATAGAGCAGATATTGGTTGAGTCGAGGGAGATGTACGAACTGGGTCTTAAGGCATCCTGGATCCTATTCTCACTGATATTGGTGTTTAAGCGTCGACTATTGTGGGTGATAAGGTCAACGGCTTGTAAGAAAGCATCGACATTTTACTGAGTGGAGGGTTATATGTCTTACTTTCAGGGATGGGTTAACACTTGTAATTTCTCGAGGGCTATTTTACCCAAAACAGGAACGCGAAGAATGTCACAAATCGAGTTTGTTTTTCGCCGTTAGATCTGCAGCCTTTTTGTCGCGAACCGTATGAAGACCTCTTGTTGACTAAAGGCCCCAGAATCATGGGAGATTCTCGAGATTCTACGATCCAAAAAGACGGGCCACTGGAGAATTTCCGACTCACAGATCTTCCAAACACATTCAACATCCTCCAAACAAGTTCAAGCAAGCTCGTTGAAGCACCATCGACCAAATTACAAAGCTTCTGATTTTACTCCATGTTTATGACTGCTATTGAACAAGGATTGATGGGTGCATTCTGAGAAGTAATTTGACGGTATAAAATCTGATCGGTCTCTAAAAAAAATAAAATAATAGTAAATAAAAACACTTGGCACCAAGGTTTGGAGAAAAGCTCAGCGTAATCACAGAATGAAAGGGTAGTGAAGCGAGGTGTGTGGGTTCTACTTTTTCGGTATGATTTTTGGCACTTTTTAATATTATTTTTTAGTATAATTTCAGTCCCACGTTCTCACACATTTTGACCTTATCTTACCCCTTTGGACGACGATAATGTTTGACTTTCTTATTCCGGGATACGACGACATTTGTTGCTCTTTCTGGACATTATTCAACACGGTCGGATATTCTTACACAAGCCCCGTTCTTTCTATCTCGAGGAAGATTGGACGTGGGTACAAGCAAAGATCCATGTTATCCTCATACTAGGTAAATGATCTGCAATTTTTTTATATATGTCCGATTTTTAGATTCTCATCGTAAGGATTTGAGGTGAAAAAAATAGGGTTCCATGTGGGGGGTGGGGGAATGAGTCCACCCGTCTCAGCCGTTCGTCCCCAACCAGAAATCATCCGATGGGTAGCATGCGTCAAGATGGAGTCTGTCGGCAGAGATTTCGCAGTGGGGCTCGGTACAGATTATATAGCGGACCTCCCTCCTCAACCCAGACGAAACCCGGCAGAGTGGGGTTTTCGAGGTCGACGAGGAGGAGGAGACAGCCAGGGGGAGGTGCAGGAGGTACGTGGTCAACAGAGGTCTTCATCTCCTTAATGCACCTGCTATTCTCGGGATTCCTACCTGTTTTCATCTTCAGCTCTGTCGTGGGTTTTAGGGTTCAATCGCCTCTCTGCCGGTCGACTTCTTCTTCTTTTTCTCTTTCTCTCTTTTCCCCTGCGCTCGGATTCTCTCATCTTCAAGCAGCACTTGGGTTCTCCTAGCGCGTGCTGCTCGTGCGGACCTTCTGTTCCGATTCTCGTTGTGAACCTGCCTCGTTTATGTCATTATTTGTGCTCTGCCATCAGTACATAACGTACTCAGGAACCTGGCCCGTTTCTTTTTGCTCCACCAGTGTTCCTCAGGGATATGCATCGTGGACCGTACTCTGAAATTTCTTGATCATACCTGATCGCGTTATTGTCGATATTCTTTTCCATAGCTCGGGCGCCATTTTGCTGCGAATTTTCCAACTGGCGTCCTGGATGACGCGCGCACTCATGAAGCAATGCAAAATGGTCAAAAGCGATTATTAAGTTTTTATGTTTCGCAGCGAAGTTAAACACGGACGAAAGTTGCTCGATGTATTTGCCTACTTTTTCTCTTATTTGGTTTAATTCTAGGAGTTTGCGGAATGTTTGTCCTCGGATTAGTTTTCCAATCAGTTCATCCCTCCCTTTCTTTTTCGATTCTGTTTATATATAGAGAGAGAGTCACATGATTCATTTGTTTTGGCTACCTCACGATTCCGTATCATCTTCTAGATATTCTTCTTATTGATCCTGCGAAAGGATCGTCGTTGATCGTATTCTGATTAAATGTACTACTACTCTCTGGCTGCCGAAAATGAGATTTCCTTCGTTAATGAATGCTGTTTTCCTACACATAAAGTCAGCAGAATGTTGATTCCATGTACTCTGACAGAGGAGCTTACGATTATTGGTTTTTCATTTCCTTTTCAGGTTTTCAGTCATGGCGATTGCCAATAAATTTGGAAGTATGATAAAGAAAGCTGTATTATCAAATCCATCATTACATCAAGCGATCCGATCAATGTCATCATCGAAGCTCTTCATTGGAGGTTTGCCATTGTTTAAACTCTCTTTCGTCAGATGTCAACGCATCATATGCCATCATTATAGAGCAGTTTGTTTTCTTCTCTTTTAGGGCTCTCATATGGCACCGATGATCAGAGTTTGAGAGAGGCATTCAGTCAGTACGGGGATATCATTGAAGGTAGTCTGTGTCATCCTTCGTTGATTTTTTTCTTAGTGCCTGTATTCCTGTTTGGTTTGTGTTGACGAAGGTTCTTCTGTTCAGCAAGAGTCATCGTGGATCGTGATACAGGTAGGTCTAGAGGCTTTGGTTTTATTACCTTTACCTCTGGTGATGAAGCTTCTGCTGCCATTAATGGCATGGATGGGAAGGTATGCACTCTATTTATGACTAGTAATTTAAAATTAAAAAAAATATAATTGGCTTCGGGGTTTAAATCACCTTTATTTTGTCCAAAAAGTTCCATGAATACGATGTGGGTTCTACCCCCTGAAACTATCCTTTCTAGACTAGATGGTTACTCCATGTCCTTGTGAGATTGCTAGCTAGTCTGTAAGTAGCCAAGAAACATATGATTGCAAACCTCAACAATTAACATGACAGAATTTCTGTTTGGTGAACTTACAGTTGATCTCTTTCAGTCACCGCTTGTGGTTTTATGCCCTAGATTCTCTGTCAAATATGAACGTCTCTTCTGTATTCTAGGATCTTCATGGCCGCATGGTGAGGGTAAATTATGCCAATGATCGTCCGCGAGGTGGCGGCTATGGTGGTGGCGGTTATGGCAGTGGTGGCTTTGGCGGTGGCAGTGGCTATGGAGGGGGGGGTGGCTATAGTGGTGGCGGTGGCTATGGGACTGGTAGTGGCGGTGGTGGCTATGGTGCTGGTGTTGGTGGCTATAATAGCGGTGGCGGTAACTATGGCACCAGTGGTGGCGGCAGCTATGGTGCTGGTGGTAGTGGCTACAACAGTGGCGGTGGCGGCTATGGTGCTGGTGGAGGGGGCGATAGCTATGGTTCAGGTGGTGGCAGCGGGTATGGCGGAGGGGGTGGCTATGGTGGCAATGGCTACAACAGCGGAGTGGGCGGCTATGGCAGGAGTGGTAACTATGGAGGTGGCGATAGAGTGGGTAATGTTGCTGGAGGTGGCGGTGGGTACGATAGTGGAGCTTACACTGGCGGAGCCAATGGTGGCAGGTATGGGGGTACCAACAGCCCTGGTACAGGCAGTGGCTACGGAGGGAGCAGTGGAGGAAACTATGGTGTGGCTGGCGGCGGCGGTGGAGCTGACCATGCAACAGATACACATAGCAGCAACGAGGGCCTTGCAAGTGGCGGCTACAAAGACCTTGACTCCTACGAAGATAATGCGAGTGGCAATGACGATGAGCCCGATGACAACTTGGACAGGCGGAGCTGATCAGACAATTCGGACGACGCTTCTCTGCAAGGGAGACGATGAAATGGAGCTCATATTGCTAGATGGATGCTAGGGGTCTTGTTGTGCATGTGGATTTCCCCCGTACTCCTGTCTTCAATAAGCGTTTCAGATCTTTGGGCAAAAGAACAGCGAAGCAACCCCTTGATCAGAATTCCGTGCTTTAGTTTTGCACATAGCTTGTCTCTGAGAAACCCTGCTCCATGAAAGTAGAAAAATAACACAGAGATCTTGGTGTTCATCTGCTTGACTGGGAGATTTTCTTTTCAAGGAAACTAGAGTCTGCCATAATCTAATGAAGCGGGACAAGCAGAGGACATAAAGGCTTCATTTAGCTTTTTGATGTGAAATTATCTTATTCGGCTATTCATCATTAGAACTACTCGTTTGGGATTTCACATTACTAATATGACTGGATTCATAGAGTCCAGAAATTAATCCTCTGACCATAATATCATGCTAAATAATAATGTTTCCCAATACGAAAACCCATTAATATCGATTTCAGTCAGCCATCATATGTGGTAACTAGGGTTTATTTTGCTATTTATAGTGTCAAGTAATGACTTGTGAAATAATTCTCACACAGATGGGTTCACCCTTGTGAAAGTTGTTGTACGGGACCAGTATACGTGGGAATCAACGTTCATGTATGAATTAGATCATCACACAAATATCAGTCTTCTGTCCAAAAAGATGGCAGCCATTGGACATCGGCAACAATGGCAGAACCTCGGCGAGTTTTCTCAACTATTTGAAAGATCGAGGGAATTCCTTCATCATCATCGCTGATATCACCATCATTAACTTCATCAGAACCGCAATGCTCAGTGGGGAACGGGTCTGATCTCTGCTTCCACAAGGAATTGCTTTCAAAAGTGGACGATTTATTAAGAGCTTGGTGTGATGGGTAATGTGCATCTTCGTCAGTCTGCCCGCTCCAGTGGGCTGTAGGCTGCAGACTGGCTTCCCCTGTCTTACCCATCTCTATAGACTCTTCGTAGGCTTCAGTAAAAGAGTCCACAGGGGAACTGTTGGCTGAGTCTGGGCGTAGATGGCAGCCAATCGCCTGCTTAGCTTCCTCTCTTAAATGGGTCGGCCCCTCACTATGGTAGAGTGCCATTTCGAGCTCTTTGATCCGTTCTTCCAACTGGGATTGGATGATCCCGTGGAGGCGCAAGCTGAGCTCCCTTGGTGAGACAGAGTAATTTGGCGTGTGGTGAGCTGTGGAGCATCCGCTCGTCCTGCCAAGGGAATCATCATGGGCTAGTGGTTCCCTGCGCAGGATGCCTTCCCTCAGCTCTCCTTCGATGAGATTTCCTACTAAGCATGGGTCAAGCTGCAGAGATTCAAAAGAGTAAGACAGGAGATGGAAATTTAAAGAAAACGTTTAATAAAGACTTAAAAAACAAATTTTAAAAGTCAATGCGACAGAAAAGAACACGAGCTCCTCATGAAGATCTGTCCACATTCATGATTGATAATTAAATACTTTAAATATTGATGCGTCTAGAACCAAAGATGTCGGCTTACATCAGCTAGATCAGATGGGTCCCCGTCAAGCCCAGAGCCACGCATGTCCAGTTCCAGCCTTTCCAGCTCAGCTTCCAGTTCTGCTTCAATTACGCTCATAGATTTTTTGGCCTCATCCACTTTGGAAACGGTTGACGGGTCTGATCCCTCTTTTTGATGCCCATGATAACAAAATTTTGAAGAATGTGTGCCTGACAGATGAACTCGGTCCTCACTATCAGGAAAATTATTCTGATGCCCCCGCTCTTCACAGGTTTCGTCAACAAGCTCCCTAACAATGAGGGAATTCCTAATTTCCAGCTCTTCTTGAAGGTCTTGGACCAAGTCCTCACTCTGCTTCAACGAGGCATTCAATCTATCCACCTCTCTTTTGTATGATAGAACAGTGGCAGTCGTGCTGATGCTGAGCCCCAGAAAGAAGAAGAGAACCCTGGAGAACAACACTGGCCGGGGAAGAAAATTTGTTCAGTAAAAGTATGAGGCAACGACAGAATCAATGGTAGAGATAAAGAATATGTTGATAAGTGAGCAAAAGATTTTTCTTGCAACAAATGGTAGAATGTTAAATCTGATTAGTAGGTAAAGGGATTAAAATGGAAAGCCAAAAAATATGAGCAATAAAAAATGGGAAACAATAAGGAAGAAAAAGTAGAACTGAAACTAGTAGGAATAAGGTTTCCAACAATCTCAGCAAGGATTCTAATATAATTTCATGAAAGAATCAAACTTTGGGTTTCTCTCCATCTCTCCTGAAGAACCTTCATCTCATTCCTACACTTTCATAACTTTAATTAATAAATCAACAAAAGCAACCCGGCTTCAGCCAGTAGCCCCCACCGAGTAGAACCAATTGAATGTTGCAGAACACAGATATGGCAACAGTAGTCCATGATGGGTGGATAAAGCTCTTTATGGAACACCCCACATATTGGAGCCGCTGCCAGCAGCAGCTTGGAAAGGGCAATTGCACCCCAGACATGTCCTAAAATACAGAAGAAAGGGGGCAAGGAAAGGACTCCTGAGCACACCCATTATAACATAGTAATAACATAGAAAAATCAGCAGCCATGTCGATTATTTGTTGTTTACATGCTACAGGCCTTTTCAAAACATTCAGTATTCTGCACGATCTTTCCTGAAATCCGCCATTCAAGGAAAGATAATATTTGATGAATCAGGGGCTCCTATACCTGGCAGCAAGATGATCTTGGGATGCTGCTGTGAACCGGAAGCATCTAATACCCCATGTTTCCCCATTCCACGGTTCTGCCTTGGCTTTCTTGGAGCATGCAGACGGGGGATTCCAATCGCTAGTTCCTTCAGTCTGGAGTCAGCCCGTTGACTAGGTCCACAGACGGAATGCCCTTGGAAAGATTCATAGTCTGATCTGCTGATTCTTTGATTGCAGTCGGCTGCCAAAGATTTTCTTGTATGCAAACAAAGAGACGGAAAAGGGGGAAAGACATGCTCTTCGAAGTTAATCTTGTCCTTGTACAACTGAGGGATCAGGGAACTCTCAGAAGAATTCAAAGGCCTCAACGAGTACTTTCGGATTCTCCTACTCCTTGGAGAGTTCTTGTCCATCCTGGATCCATAACAAAAACTAAGATCCCTAGAAGAAATATGCGACCGTGATAGATACGGGTACTGGTCCATGGCCTCAGTCTCCATTATCTCTTCCCCGTCCTCTTTGTAGCTTTCCTTTTTGAAGATCCACGGGTGCAGACTTAACAGGGAGACGTCGCTTCTGACATACTCCTCAGAGCCCATCGGCTTATCTTCATCAGGACCGTGGTTAGTAGTTCTCTCCGCAAGCAGAGAACCAGTCCACAATGCCTCGGTTCTCCTGCCGTCTGTGTCATGGGGAACACCTCCATCCACAGGGTTCCGGATCAATCTCCTGAAATGAGGACTCCCAGATTCTGATCTCTTCCCGTCGGCCTTCTCAGCGCAGGACTTCACAGGAGGGGTCTCCTCATAAGCAGAGTACGGGTCGACCCAATTTGACGAGCCTCCCCAGCCGTTCTTCAGTGCGTTCCGGCAGTGCTCGGCCAAATATCCAGCAACGGCGACAGTCACTGCGACCCACAGGTTCATGACTGCGCTCCCTCAGCTCTGCTGCGTCCAGAGGCCCTAGTCACAGAGCGTCCCAATGCATGGAAAGAGCCGGAAGGGCCGAGTATATTAGGAGAGCCAGATTGTAGAGCGCCACAGAATCAAACAGAAAGGAGAAGTATAGCAGCGTTGGGAACCATTGCGTAGCCCTGTCGAAGTTAAGCACACCGTCGGGAGGATCTCCACCTGGAACCCTGCAACAGGAGGCAACCTAGCACAGTGACCAAAGACGTGTAGAAGAAACGAGGTGTGGGGTAGCCTCTAGCCCGATGTGCGCCACTCGCCAGAACCCATCAACAGGCTCCACCCATCTCTCTCTCTCTCTCTCTCTCTCCCCTTCCTTTTGCACTCGTCGAGGGAGGAACGAACGACGGCACCCAGTACGACGGAGCCGGAGGTGGGAGTCGGGGGAGGCTCTTCCCACCCATTCAACGGGCGACGCTCACTTTCCCTCCACTTCTACCCGCCTCTCTGGATCAGTCTTTATTAATTATGGTCCTCGTGTTTTTTGAGCCGCCGGGGTCCCCAGGAACATAAATAAATTGAAGCCCCCCTTCCTCCCCTTCGTGTGACATGGTTCTTGCGGAAAACGAGAAGAACGAGTCTCCAAAGTTCAACCTTTTTAAAAAAATAAAATAAATCAGAATTAGAAAAAAAAGAAAACCCTTTAATACAGAGAGAGAGAGAGAGAGATATGGTAATATATATATATATATATATATATATATAGAGAGAGAGAGAGAGAGAGAGAGAGAGAGAGAGAGAGCACTCACTTCGGATTCTCATCTTCAGAATCTGCAAGAGTTGATTGAAAGCCATAGAGAGACCAAATATTCTATTAATATGGGAAGGGCTTGATCTTCTAGCACGTGGGCCTCTAAATAGGTCAAAATTAGTCATTCATCTCCTATGAAGTAAGATCAACTATTCACACAATTTGGGTTGGATATGGGTTTTGAATACATTTTCAGACTCGAAATCTCTTTGTGCTATAATCCTCCACATTATTGGATTATGTTGGAAGAAAGTTTTATTTTTGCCTCTTTATTTCATTATATCACAATTTTAATGTTTTATTTCCTTTATTGTAATTTAACCCCTACAAGAACATATTCATATTAGTTATCTTCCACTAACTCACTAATTGGATCTGACCTCTCTCTCGTGTACTAACATTAACATTTACTTGAATGAGATTATGTGGGTTTATTTATGTTTTACATTTTTTAGAGCTACTAGATGACAAACTGAAGCATGATTGACCGTGTCATAGTAGCAAAGCCTCTCAAGCACAATCACTCAACCTATACTCACCGTGTAAGGGTTTTTCACCTGATTTAAATGATGTCCTACTTATGTTTGATTATGTCTAAATTTTATTTGAGGGTTTATCCTCCATTTATTGTCAAGAAAGTGTAAGAAGTTTTTTAATTTTTTTTTATGATAATCATCATCATAATTATTGTTTAAGCTTGACTTACGTATGATTTGAGGGGATTCAATGATGTTATCATCTACTTCTCTAGAGTGAGGGGAGAAAACACTATGGTGGCAGCCAAATAATATGACCTTACTTTGTTCTTTGTTATAAAAATTTTTCCCCTTCCATGGCCTCTTCTATGGTAATTACTAGAGAAGGGAGCACTCATGCTATTTAGTGAAGTAAATGTTTTTCAGATCTGAGTTGATGTCATAAATTTTTGAAATGACTTCTATTTCAATCAATTCCAAAGTAAAGAATTATCTCCAAGTCGTCTGAATTAGCTAATATTATACCTTAATATAAGTTGAATGGGAAGAATTAACTGTATTGATCTAAATTTATTTAATAAGTATTGATGGTGAAAGATAAAATTTAGAGTTGATCATCAATACTTAGTTTTGGAGCACACTAGGTCTAAAAATCAGTGATAAATTTATGCTCATACCCACTAGAGAAGGAGTATGAAAGAAAATATGTTGTTATTCGTCTAGTAAGAAAAAAATCTTTGATTTGAGGCATCATAGTAAAAGTGACAATAGTCATCAATACATGAGTTAATAATTAGTTATTAATATATATTACATCATAACTCATGATAAATAGGCTTATATTTATCTTGATTAAGAAAATAATTTTTTAAACTAACTGATTTGAATTTTTAACTAATTTTCTATTTTTATATAAATTATTTAATTTTTAGATTTATATTTTTAAGATAAAATACAAAAAAAAAAGACATGTCGGTGAACTAAAACCTAACAATTGACTAAGAGGGCATTGCACACAGGTCATAAGCAATCTAAAAAATATTATCAAAAATACCCCTCAATTTCAAGAAAAAAAACATAATTATGATGTCACAACTTAAGGATAATATGGTAAATAGTTAACCTTATCTCATATGGTAAAGTGATCGATGAAGGTTCAAATCCTACGAAAATCATGATTTATGTTTGTTATCTAATTAAATGATGATTTTTCTACAGAACATCAATCAATGATCATATTGTCAGAATCACTTGATCATCTACAAAAGTTTTATCAACATTATTCTATATCAAATGTAATCAATAGCCTTCTATTGTTGTGAAGACTTGATGATAAAGTCTCACAAGATGTATTCCACTATGTCCAACTTATCTCTACTAGGTGATAGTAATAAAAAATCTGAAAGTTTTTAAGTTTTCACTTAGTGACAGTTGCTAGAGACAATTTGTTGACTTATATTATTAATTTATGGACTTTACAAGATGATCTAAAGATCATCAACGTTATGAATGTCTAAGAAAAGCCTTTGAGGTCATATAGATCATATTAAAATTCTTTATATCGGCACCATAAAACTGAAATTTTATGTGATTTTAAAATTTGAAACTCTTCTTTAGTCAGTTATGATTTTTTTGACTTTTATAGATCTTAATTTAATCTATTAAATCATTTTCAATCATTTATGTAAGAATCGTCAAACATAACTACATTTCTACTTAAATCATATTTGTTGGGGCACTAATATCATCTTAATGTTTGCACCCATTTTTTAAAAATATTTAAATAAAATTTTTCTTCATCATTTAGTCTAAAAATCATTAAAAAATATCGTTTTATTTAGTTATTTATTTATATTTGATATTATTTTACATCTTTGTGATTGATCTATTTTTTATAGTATTTTTGAAGCCTTTTTATCAAATTATAATTGATATATATATGTACTTAAATACTTCTAAAAAAAACTAAAAATTAGTATTTTCTAGTTTTATAAATTTTAATTTTTCATGATTTATTAGACAATGATTAAACAATTGTCACGCTCTCTCTTATGATAATCATCAAAGAAAAGGTCACATAAGAGAAATCTATTAAATATAAAAAGTTGAAGTGAGATGTGATTACATGGTGGCCACTATAATGTTTTCTCCCCTCAATCTAGAGGAGATGATAACATACATAAATCTCCTCAAATTAGACTTAAACCAAACTTAAATGATAATCACAGTGCAATTGCCAAAAAAAAAAGAGAGTAAGACCTCTTTTACTTTCATGACAATAAACATGTGGAGAACCCTCAAATCGAATATAGACATAATGAAATATAGGTAGAATATGATGCAAGCCAGGTGAAAAATCCCAAGAAGGTGAACTTAGGTAAAGCGATAGCACTTGAGAGGCTATGATATCATGACGTGATCTATCTTGTCTCAATTCACCATCTGGTGGCTTCACAAGAGGTAAAACATGAAGAAACCCATTTAAGCTCATTTAGGTGAAGAGTTAGGGTTAAGTACACAAGAGAGAGAGGATGGATTATTGGTCTCTGGAGGAGCTACCGAAAGCAGTCTCTGGCATCTACAAGCTTGAAAGAGGGGGGCGGATGTATGTAAGATGGTGTAACAAATAATCATCACCAGCAACAGGAGAAGTCTTCGAAGGACGAAAAATAATCACTGCACTAATTGTCGAGGTTGGAAGGAAGCATATTGAAAAATAAGAGTAGAAGCAAGGAAAGAAGGCTAAAGGAGAGTTGTATGCGCAACCCCAAGCAAAACGGACGACAACAAGCCGGAAAGGACATGGGCGCAGACAAGACACAATACATAGAAAGAAAAGAACCAACAGCAAGAAATGAAAGAATGGATGCATTGGCACAACAAGGCAAGACAAACAAGAACAAGCATTACAATGAGAAAATCAACTGACATGGGATCTATGACTGACAAAAATTTTAAGCCTATATATTGTTCTAGTTGTAGTAACCTAAGGCTGTTTTGTACCGCTCTTGGGGCAGAAAAATCTCCAAGTGTAAGGCATGTTGCAGCTAGAGCTAATCCTGTTCTAAAGCCAATCGACTCACACTATTTTATGATATTAAATGATTACAAAAAAAATACATAAGATAGAGGATGGATTCAATTAGTGAGTTCATGGGAACTGATTCGTATGGATCCGTTCACATAAGGATAGAATGACATTAAAGGAAAGAATGCAGTAGAATTTTAATAAAATCAATTAAAGAGATAAGATTAAATTTTCCTTGTTTCTTGGAGTTGTGTTCTTCATTGAATAACCACCAAAATTATCATGTGGTTTAATCTGATCCAATTATGGATTTCAGAGTCACTCAAAGCTTGTAGACTTTAAAAGAGAAAAGTTGGGGATAAAAAAGGGCAGATTTGAAGATACCCCTTCCGACCAACCTTGTTCTTGGATGGTCAATCTTTTTGAGAAAATATTACGGTTTTGTGCTGAAGAACTAAAGATAAAATTGAGGCATCTCAATCAGATAGTCTCCCTCCATATAGTGATTGATAAAAACCGATTGTTCACGAATATGGGCACCGAGCTTAAATTACTGACTCTCTAGCCTTTTTCCATTCTTTTTCTCTGATGCTTCCACCTTGAGTTTGCAGGAAAATCCATCATATCCTTTTGGATCTTGCCGGCGCAATTTTGTGATTTTAACCCTCTGATCAACGGAACTCAGATACCAGAAAAATATTAATAGTCAAACGAATCAAGATTTTTGCTGCCCAAATGAGAACAACACCACGCTGGGACATCTTCCCACGGCTTCTTCAAGAGCATGCAGTGAAACATCGTAGCCTTCTTTGGAAAGTGAAGATTCACCTGATAATTTAATGGCTCGCTGACAAAGACTATTAAATCTTGCTAATCTCGATCTCACAGCAGTATGTTCCTGCTCTCTTGTTAGAAAACATTCTGCCCAGCGCTTCAGTGAGCTGGGAGATGCTGGATCCTTGGAATTTGAGACAAAGGCATGAAAGTCGATCTGCGAGCAATGTATCAGAAAGCAAGCGATAACTACAGGCCTACAGAACAGATGTAGCCATTAAATTGACAAATCGGATAGTTAGGCCATTGCACAAGTTCCCTCACGACCATGAATTCCCTCTCATCCTGCTCCAAGTTCTTCAGACAAATCGGATAGTTTGGCCATTGCACAAGTTCCCTCACGACCATGAATTCCCTCTCATCCTGCTCCAAGTTCTTCAGACAAATCGGATAGTTTGGCCATTGCACAAGTTCCCTCACGACCATGAATTCCCTCTCATCCTGCTCCAAGTTCTTCAGAAAAATCGGATAGTTTGGCCATTGCACAAGTTCCCTCACGACCATGAATTCCCTCTCATCCTGCTCCAAGTTCTTCAGACAAATCGGATAGTTTGGCCATCCTCTTTCCGTTTGAAATCTCTCAAATACGCAGTATATATTCTTGCCTGCCTGCAACTCACAAAGGAGATGGAGACCTCAGCGCTTGGCTTCGCATGCCATGTTTCATCAACATCAGCCATGGGTTCTTCCTTGCGTCGATTATTCAGGCTTCGCTCATCAAGAACGATTCTCTCATGTAAACAGGGAGGGACCTCAAATCTTCGATCCTCGTATAAAGAAGCTTGCAGCCGTATGTTCCCCTGCAAGTTCGAAAGTCGTCCTGATCATTTCACGCCGTGATCTGATCGTCCTTCTTGGAGCGGCGGCTGCTCTTCGTAGAAAGAGAAGGCTTCGTTCCTCATAGCCCCTGCGCCGAGACAAAGGGTCGAGGCGGCGGCGGGAATCGTTTCGAAGCCGTCTTTCCTGTTGTCCGTCCGTTGACCTCTTGCGGACAAAAACATTTTCCACTTCGCTTATCGGATCCTCTTTAGATCCGACACGGACTCGATTTTGTGGTATAAATACTCCTGGACGGGGCCGTTGGTCACCGTTCCAAGCGCATCACGAGTCTTCTTCCGCGGCGGCGGCGGCGGTGGCGGAGGCGGAAACCAGGAAGATGGTTCCGCCGGGGTCGACGAGCCGCTGCCTCTACGAGGTCCTCGGTGTGAGCCGGGACTGCTCCTTGGAGGAGATACGGTCCGCCTACAAGAAGCTTGCCCTACGGCTCCACCCCGACAAGGTCGCCCAGTCGGCGGGCGGCGCTACCGACGACGCCGAGGCCACGGCCACCTTCCAGGAGCTCCAGCACGCGTACGATGTTCTCCGTGATCCCAAGGAGCGCGCCTGGTACGACGCCCATCGATCTCAGATCCTCTTCGCATCCAGCCGGAGACCCACGCAGGGCGCCAACACCGGCTCCACCGACGATGGCGCGTTCGCGAACTTCTTCTCCAGCTTCTTCTCAAAATTCACCGCATCCGACGGCCGCGGTCCTGGGAGGGCCTCCAAGAGCCCCATGGACGACATCGGGAACATCTTTTCTTTTTTCACCCCTTCCGCCTATTCGGGCTTCTCAGACACAGGCAGTGGCTTCTACAAGGTCTATGGTGATCTTTTTAGCAAGATATACTCCAACGAGGTGCGGTTCGCCAAAGAAGTGAATCATGGCGTGGACCCTGACGAGGTCTTGGAGCCCGCTCCCCTGATAGGGAATTTGGATTCATCGTATGAGCAGTGGACAGCTTTCTACAAATACTGGTTAGGGTTCTCGACTCTGATTGATTTCTCGTGGGCAGACCTGTACGATGTTCGGGAGGGGTTCAACCGGAGGGTGAGGCGGGAGATGGAGGAATTGAACAATAAGGCGAGGAAGAAAATGAGAAGAGAGTACAATGATACTGTGCGGTCGCTGGCTGCCTTTGTGAAGAAGAGGGACAAACGAGTGGTAGAAATGCTCAGAAAGAAGAAAGCGGAAGAGGAGGAGAGGAAAGAGGAACAGAGGAAGAAGAAGGAAGAAGAGAAGAAGAAGAAAGAGGAAGCCAGACTCTATCGGGAGGCTGAGTGGGCGGAGAATGACGAGGAAGATGATGGAGCCTTGTACGACGCCTGGTACGGTTCAGAGGCTGATGGAAAGAAGAAAAAATCGAATGGTGAGCAGGAGCTGTATTGTGTGGTCTGCAGTAAGAAGTTCAAGTCTGACAAACAGTGGAAGAATCACGAGCAATCAAAGAAACACAAAGATAAGGTGGCAGAGTTGAGGGAGTCATTTCAGGATGAAGATGAACTTCTGGGTGTCAATGACGATGCTGATGATGATGCCCAGGTGGGAGATGGCATTGATGTCGGTTTTGATTATGTGCAGGAATCATCTGATGATAGTGGTGACGGCGCTCTAAATGAGCTTTCTGAGAAATTCGAAGATGGCTTTGTGTTCCAGGAGCAAGCAGTTGAACATGAGATTTCTGATCCCGGTGTGGTGGGTCTGGGTTCAGAGGATGAGACGGTTATCCTCGAAGCAATGATTTCCAATCACAGAAGCAGGAAGGCTGTTAGTTTAGAGCAATCTAATATGTCACCTGGTGAGCGAGGTGAGGTTCCCAATAATGATGCTGAGGGTGAGAGTCCTATGGAACATAATCTCCGTAGAAAAGGTCGCAGAACAAAGGCTTCAAAGAAAGGGAATCGTTCAAAACCTTATGGAGATGATGCTGAAACAATGGATACGAATGGAAGTCTAGATGTTGATGATGGTAAGAGATGTCAGGATGTGGATGAGCAGGTGAAGGAATCTGCCTCAGACTCTCTTGACCAGGTTGGTTCAAGTAAAAGGGGAGGTCGTAACTCTGGGAAGACCCTAAAGCCACAGCAGCAGCGCCAGCAACGTGATGAAAAATCTGGAGTTAACAAAGAAGCAGATAGTGCTGCAAAAATCTCGTCCAAAGGAAAGAAACAGAAGGTAAGAGATCTCTCAACGGATAACCTTTTCATCTGAGGGGAAATTGCTTGATTCAACATCTCAACGTTTATGTAATCAGTCAAAATACATCCATAATAGTTGGATTGAGTGGTGTTTGCTTAACTCCAGTGATTACTAAACATTGTAAATTGCACCATCGTAAATATTGTTGTGAATATTTATTGATAGTTGGCCATTGTCTGGCAAACAGAGTTCAGCACGTAACTCCAGTTTTTTAGGATTTGACCATGCTGATCTTTTCTCTCTTTGTTCAGCTCGTTTCTCAAACCGTTTTAGATATGACCCAAGTTTCGAATGTGATGATCCATACGTCCCGAGAAAAAAAATAATTAGGCAAAAGTGAAGAATGAAAAATGACAAGAAGCGGAACAAATCACCTCTGCCATCAGCCACATCCCCTTCCTTCTTTCCCACATGCTTGCATGCACGGTTTTACTTAATCTACGTTATGAAGTTTTTCCTTTTTACGGTTCTTGAAGGTTTCCACAATTTTGTTCTTTTCCTGGCCTTTTCATTCACTCCCCATTTCCCTCCTGTAACTTAAAAAGCACACGTTTTATCTTTCTCTTCATGCTACTTTCCCTTGATTATCAGGCAAACCACAATTTTTTAAGCCTTATATCTCTGTTGTTAGAATTGATAATGGTCGTCTAGGTCAGTGCAGACTTGGATGTATTCCTGTTCTGATTCATCTATGAGACAAAAAGTTTCTACCTTCCACACGGTGACAGAATGTTGAGAATTTGAACCCCTTAATTTATGTCATGCTGGATCACGATGTGCCCTGAATGCTACATGCTACATCACGTTAGATATGGTATTTTTATCTAGCTTGGAACCATGAAATCAATCCGCATATTGAATCAACTCTGGTTTTTTAATATTCTTATGTATCACTATAATTTTTTTATCAATGGCCCATATCCGTATCACCGTGGACTAACTCATGCATAATTCAGGGAACATCAAAGGCGCCCAGTAACATGTGTGGAACTTGCGGGGAGAGCTTTGATTCAAGGTACTCTAATTGTATAAACCAAGCTGCTGGTTATGAGTCAGTGTCTCCGCTTCATCCATCTTCATCCATCTTCATGTCCATCAATGCTTACTGTTAATCTCTATTTTTTTTCAGGAATAAGCTGTTTATGCACTTGGGGGACACAGGACATGCCATGTTGAAGACGCGATAGGGGACTCGATACGAAAGGGTGCTCTCCGGATACATGTTACTAGTGTTTTTAAATATACTAACTTTTTCACCTGAGAGAATGATTTCGTGAGGCTAAGAAGCCCAAGGAGGATCCAGTTACGATCCGAACCACGGCCGTTGTGGATGGGAGATTTTTGAAGAGGGAAGGTCAAGTCTTGTGAAGAACTTGAAGAACGGAGATGCCAGGCGAAGATACAATAATCATGGGGTTATATAATTCGTCGGCACTCTTTTTTTCAAGTTGTGCATTCACATGTGAAATCCTGCTCATCGCCTGGAAAGGCTTGCTTGCTGAATGCGAGGTTTTGGAGCACGGAGCACAGCATCAGGAGTGTTAATGGCCTGTTGACGCTCCTAAGGAACATACAATCTTGGGGAGACTTTAAAGCTGAAATTTAGCCCTGACAAATCAGTGGGCCCTCCGCATGCTCTGATTTTAAGGCCAAGAACAGCAACTCTTGGTCCTCAAGGATCCACTTAAAAATTATCTGACAGAAGATCCGGGAACAACACGTTTTGACTGGGATTTTCAAAAGCACACTATACGGAGTGCATGAGTTCCTCGACCTTACATGGGTACATGCTGTAGTAAAGTTTGAAAGACCTGCTTCGTACCGACCTCGAGCTCTGGTTAGGTAAACTATGAGCATATCCTTGGGATTTCTTAAAACAATAGATACAAGAACATGACAGTATATTACTCGGCAATCGGTAAAGTGGCATTGGTTAGGTAATCAATGGCCTCTTCTTCAGAGAGCTGTTTTCCTTCCATCAGCCCTCTCGACAGAGTGTGCCAATAATCTTTGGACGGTGGGTGCAGAGGGAGCTGACCAGATTTGAATTGTTCAATGTCCTTCGGCATACACCTAAAAGAAAAGCAGAGAGATGAAGGAAACCGCTGCAAATCCATGGTTCAAGCATGCGCCTGTATGTATTATGGTTCTAATATCAATCTGCCAACTACTGATGGGTATTAGGGTAACAATATATCTCAGAAGAGAATGAAGGCTCCGAGGATACAAAAGCGAGAAGAGGACAGCTTTGTTGTAGATTGTCTTTGAGGCATGCCCAGATAATTGGAGCTATGAATTTTTTCATATTTTTTTGATCTCATAAATTAATTTACGAGACTGGACAATGATTACAGACTAGCACATGGAACTGTTGTGGCATGTCAACCTTATGTATATTTCTCAGGGTGTGAACGTCGAAGATAATCAACCAAAGATAAGAAGCATCAAAGAGAACTAGAAGAGAGCCAAGAACAAAAGAGAAATTTGTGGAAGAGCCTTACGTCATTGTTAAAATTGGAAAGCCATTCTCATTTCCTAGATAAACCACATTGGAATACCATCCATCCTGCGGGAAAAAGGGGCCAAGATGGTTAGAGAGACAACTTCAACCGTTTAAATGCACTGTTCTACTTTTGTGATAGCCAAAAGACAATGTAAAGGCATACCAAATAGGCTAAGCAGAACTGTGGCACGTTTCAAAAACCAAACAGTTGTCCTCACACAGATAAGAATCGGAATGCTCCTTGTTGGGTAAAAATTATGAGGCCTTTAAAGCATGGTAAATTTTCAATTCATTCTACTAGTACCATTTTTTTTTGCTTTTAGATTGAATGGAATATTTTTTACGGACACAATGTTATTAAATCAAGACATCTATCTTCGTTTACAGGAAATTTTAGGTGTCGCTTACAGGAACTTTTAATCTTTTCTGACAATGTCTATCTTAAAAAAAAAAAAAAAAGGACCATTAGACATGCCGAATTTCTGAATGCGTCCCGATGTAGTGGGGAAATGTCTTGTATGTGCTTTCATTTCAGCATGTTTTCACCATTACGTTATACCCCCCCCCCCCTCCCCCCCTACATGTAAACTAATAAGACAGGAGATGAGAACGGCTATAAGAGATGACATAGGGTTGATGTCATTCAGTCCTATGTCATCTACTATATAGCCCTTACATTAATGTGTTAATTACTGCACTGTTAATTGATATATATAGCCCTTACATGAATGGGTTAAGTACTGCATTGTTAAATTGATCTATGACATCTACATCGGGCAAAACGATGAAGGCATAAATTGATACATCTCAAATTTCTTTGGCCGCTGCCATTTAATCATAAAAAACAAGGTAAAATCAAGTAGCTTGCAAGCAAATCATCTACAATATATCTGAGAAACAAAATGCGGATTAATTATTCAATAAGCACAAAATCGTACCTCTCAGATTGGCAATGTGTAGACATCTAGGAAAAGAGATTTTCTAACTTAAAAAGACAACAGAAGATGTAATGATACAATAGCTAAATGGTATAAAACACTTGTATAGCATACCTTAACCGCCACCAGAGGGATATATTTATTTTGAATGACAAAATCTAGAGCTGATAAGTCGAACAGTGGAAACCCCATTTCTTCTTTTAAACAATTCTCCTGACACAATACGTCATTGAATTGCTCAAGCCTAATATCAGATTGAGCCATCGACAAAGCGTTAAAAATCAGCTAGTAACCGGATGGAAGCATGATATACGTATAACTTCAACCAAACGAATGAAAGAAGTGCACAGAGTTATGTAGCTATCCTGTTTAGAGACGTACGTTATTCTGTACATGCACATGTAAGTCTTGGTAGCGTCATTTCTTTCAGGATGAAGAAAAGCCACACCTCCTTTGCCCCATGTTTTTGAATGGGATCTTCCAAAGAATAATTGATGAGGAACTACCTTCCATAAGACATCTTTTGGTAAGGTTTTGTCCTCTGAGCCACTACATGGGATTTGCATGCCGTCTGCCTATACAACAATGGCAATGTGTTATCACATGGATACAAAATAAATATTTGCCTGATGAATGCAGTATTATAAGAAATTAATAAGAATAACGGACAAACAGTAGGCAGGCACCAAAAGTAGGCAATTGATAATTGTTCTAATAATCTTGCATCAAAATATAATATATATTTTTATTGCATCTACATTATCTAAAGCACTGAAATCCTATACAAGAATGAACGATTGATTTCTGAATTGTAGGAAGTTTTTTGACAATGAAGAAGCTTATGACATAAAACAAGAATCCGGGATCAAATCAGACAGTTCTGACCCACGTTGTGGCATCCTTGATGCCTCCAATGCTTCTCTGCTTTCTATATCTATGCAAAGGAGATGTGTGGAATAACACAATATCATATCAGTCTCTAAAAAATAACCGATGTCCAAACAAAATGTCAAGAGATGACCGAGAAAACGCACCGGAGGGCTATCTTTGGGGAAAAGAAAAACATTTTCATAAATGATTGAAGACATCCCAAACGAATGATCCATAGGGAGAATTCTTACCTGTCCACCTTGAATATAGCAAAGAAACCTAGGCTTCCAAATATTTGAACCGTAGGTTCCATACCAAATATCAACTTTCGACAGGTGTGATCTCCACATTATGGAGGACGAAACAATACGATCAGGCAAAAGAGTCGGTTCATTGCGAGATGAGTCATTTAAATGGGCTGCTCTCGTTTCGCTTTCTTTGTCAATATTCAACTTTGATAGAGGTAGAGTAACATCCTCGGTAATAGTTTCCAAGCATGCTCCATATGAAGGGCCTGAACCTTCGGACAAAGCACCAGATCCTTCATTGATTAATTTTATTTCAGCGTCTGAGTCAGACCCAGAGCTTGCATCCTGAGATTCAAATCAGACAATTTCAGGAGTTGATGATGTGAAACATAACTGAAGGGATGTTTCACAGTTTAGCTAATGGCAGAAGAAGAAATGAGGGTAGAAATTCAACCAAATTCTGACAACTGAAAATAGTTTTAAATATGAAGCCTCTCTCAGGATAGTAATTAGTGAACAAGAATTTGTAATTCCAAGACAATCCTTTCACTGCAGAACTAAACTTTTATGCTTCCTTTTTTTTATGTATGTTGATTGAGCTGTGAAATGTGAGCTGATACTTGGAGCAACTGTTTTTGTAGCCTATATCCATCTTTGGTGCAATTTTTACCGATGAAGACTGTTGTTCTGTATATCCCAAGATAAGGGAGTGATACGTTTGGAAAGAGAGAACAATCATAACTAAACAAGGTGACCAATGGAAGCAAAGCAATAACATACTAATCATAACTAAACAAGGTGACCAGTCAGCACCTAGGCAAGGCATAGTGCCACATGATTCTACCAAAAGTTATTATTTTCAAGTATTTATATTACACATTAATTTTATTCAATTATATTCCTGAAATTTTCTGATAAGCCTCCCATCAATACATACTCAAGAAGGAAGAAGCTTCCAGCTTCTACGTCTCTAACCATCGCATATGAAGGTTAGTAAGCATCAAAATGCAAAAGAGAGGGCTGAGGGTTATAAATAAGGGGACTCAGTAACATAAGGAGGGGTAGAGAAGACATTTGGTCCTAGAAGTTCCCAGAGATTCTCCACCTGTTTGTGGTAGAACGGATCCGGGCTCCACAGCTCAAACTTTCTTCCCCTAAACCTTGTTTCCGTTCTACTCAAGAAGAATCTTATTCTTTTCAGGATCTAGGTTCTTACCATTTTCACACGCACATGAAACGAAAATGGCAATTTTTTTTTATTCTCTCTTTCGAACGCTTAAATTGACATTGAATCATTTCAGTCAAAAGCAAATATCAACCGTACAAAATAATCATTTCATTAGGGGGATCATCCTTTTTCATGACTTTGAGAAAGTGTCACCGTACTATTTGGTTAAACATTCCACAATCTTAACTGCTAACAAGTACATAAAGGCAAAATGATAACGTTATATTTATGTCACAAAACTAGAAATTTTGAATTAACACTAGAAGCAAAATGATAGTTTAATTTGATTCCTCACCATGTTTTGCATCATTTTTTCATATTTATGACCAAAGCCTGAATCCAAAAAGCAAATTACAAGTAGTACCGTAGAGATATATTGCTAGAATATTATTTTGTAATTGTAATGGTCTGCAAGGAAAGTGACAGAACAAAGGACTTAGAGAAAGAAATTAATCAACCATTTACAAAACACATCTGACTGTCAAGTTTCTCCATTTATCGGGAATATTCCTGGAAAATGGCCTATGCCTGGGTAAAATCATATTTTCTCAAGAAGGAAAATTTGTAGTTCTTTAAGATGACTTTCAGCTCCCTCTATGTAAAGAAGGGGAATGGTTCTCATTCATAGTAGCCTAATCTTGGAGCATTGTCTTACTAGACAACAGAATGATAATAATAGAAGTAATAACTAAATAAAAACTGACAATCACCTCAAGGATATGTGGTTTTCCCTTGCCAACCAATAGCTTCTCAGGTAGATGTGCAGCAAGTACTGGCCAAAATGTACTTAGCTCGCGGCGAACCTGAAAAGTAGAATGTCTCGTTAAAAATAATAGTTAAGCATTAAATCCACAAGTAAGCATAGAATAAGATCACCTTGCATATCACACGCCATGTGGACTCAAAGGGTTGCTCGTCTACTTTCTCAAGATTTGATGTTTCGCCCAGCAGCGTCTCCACACATGCAAGAACGGACTTTGATAGAGAATTAAGATTATAACCTCCTTCCAAAGCCATCATAATCTTCCCTTGGGCGAATCTCATCAACTGAAATAAAGAATCGAAATAATATTCAATGATTCGAATTATAAAAAAATAGTACACTAAACATGTGAATTCATAAGTAAATTTGCATCAGAAAAGTACAAAAATATCAAAAGATCATTGAATTGCCCAAAAAATGACTTTTAAAAAAGCGAACAGTGGGCATAGATAGCAATGTCAGTGATACTTTTTTCTCTAGACACGGTGTTGAAAGACTGAAGCATACGAGCGGGGGGAAAAGTGCAATGAAATGATTTGACGCTTATGAAAACACAGCAGAGTAGAATGCTTTATTCTGAAAATTTAAAATGTGAACATAAATATCATATATTTTTACACAGAAACCAACCTTCTTCGTCATGATAGAGTATCCACGTGGTGTGACACAACAACCCCCAAGCGGATCACCAATGGCTGCTTTAAAAAAAGGTTTTAGAAGGGTGAAAAGCAGAGAATTCTTGAAAGAGCAACAATCATATGAAATGTATCGTCTGTAAAAATTACATAAAATATATGCTTTAGCCACTGAAAACTAGGCTTGAAACTGTCTAAGGTTTTGAAAGCAAATTATGTGTTAAAAAAACACTATACTTGGATTGATCAGCGAAGTCAGAGTCCATATTCCACAAAAACTTGAAATAAATCATTAGACATGCAACGCTGACAAGAAGGAACAAAATGCCAAGTGGGAAGAAAATGTTCAGGCTTTACCTAAAAGGAAACAATGTCAAAATCAGGAGATGAGGGGAGAGTACCTAATATGTTTCTCTAATTTCCAATCATGATACATTTTTAAACAACTTTTGTAGTTTTAAAATGTCTGGAATTAGAAATATCTTGAAGTAGAAAAAAAAAATCTTTCTTTCGCTATATTAAGAAGCCCCCAGAAACCTGATGCTATTATTTTAAAAAACAATAGTCGTCTGTCATGTGCCATGATATTGCATCAGTTCTATCTTCCTTTTCAGTGAACATATTAGTCCCTTGCCATGCCCCCCCTCTTAAGGGACAGTTTTGGTCTGCTAGGGACCCACTGGTAGGGCAGGCTCGGCTAGTTTACAATGACCCCCCCCCCCTCAAGTTTAGGTCGAGTCAACTCGAACCCCCCATAAAAGGCTCCCGATACAAGCCATGGCTATGAATGTACCAGCTGTGCTTGTTTGGTCTACCTTGAACCATTGGGAAGGCTAATCAGGACCGTCCTATGCCCTTGGAATCTATATACAGGACAAGTCAGTGTTATTGAAGGATTATTCCATGGACACTATATTTAAATCCAATCTTCCAAATAAATCAAATTTTATGGACCTTATTTATAAAACAGGTTTGTTTAATTCATAATTCTCTTGAGGTTTTAAACCCATGCAAAGAAGATATTAAAGACTACTCTGAAATAAACAGAATGTTCAATTACCAAGACTATAGGATATATCAAAAAAGCCTAATCAATATTCTTTTGTATGTGGTCAGAGTACATGGGGACGGTAAACATATGATATCAACTTCAATATTTACAAGCATCACAAACCTGAATGATGCTCTACCGAAGAATAAGTATTCCCAATTTTATTACCATCATCATAAAAAAATCCCAGTTTTTGGAATAGGGATATGTGCCTTGTACTTCACACTTTGTTGCATCATAGAAACTTTATGGAAGTGGGCGCTCTTTAGGAGCTGTTTACGTTTTTTTATGGCCACGTCAAAATATACAAAAGAATGGTATCCCATATTATTGCTATCACAACCATATTTCTGATATATTCATGGGGAGTATGACCTCTTATCTTGCTGGGAACTCCGATAGTATCGATGACTAATCTTGCCATGACAACTTACTATCCCAACACTACACAATACATGTTCTGATCTTTTTCTTATTTTGAACTTCTTGTACGATCTAATACATTCATGATAGTCATGCGAGCCCAAAATTTGTTTCTCAATTTACTCATAAATTTGCAATCATGCGAACCACTAAATTCATTCCATCCAAATCTAGATACACGAAGGGATTTTCCTAATATAACGTTAATTATTAAACAAAATAGTGGGAACATTTTCCAGTACGTTGTCTTATTCATCCAAGCCTCTCCTAAAATCTCACAATGTAAATCATTATTTCATATTCCCAACGTACACCCATATCTATACCCTAGCCATATCAGTTAGTGTCAGGCTACCAGCAATATCATGCTTTTCCTTGAAAATGCTATATCAATTTATTGAGACTCCCAACTTTGACTGTTCACAGCTTCAGGTCTACATCCGAACCCATTCTTTCAAATGTTCTACAGACACTGGATCGATTGTTTCTTATAATTTCCGATTTCATCTTCTTGTTTGTGCGATAGGTCCATAACAATCGTCCACACACTGGCCATTGTTCTTTCATATATAATCCTTCATTATCAGATACCTTTTTAGATATCATTTCCTTCCTAATATCGATTAGGCAATATCTACAGGCATTCAATCATAAGCTTTCTCTAGCTTCCATAAATAAATTATTTTCTCCAGAATATTCCGTCAATAGCTGTCCTCACAGCACCGATAAGGCCTGGAATGTTTCTTGTTCCTCCTTTCTTTCATAAAAGATTTTCACTGTCACGAACACATTTTAATGATATGTATAATTTACAGGTAATGTACTAATAATTCATATGACGATTAGAGAAACTGACAAGGGAATCAATGCATTGAGGTTTATCCTTTATCGCCAGGGCTCCCCTGTATACCTTGACTTTTTCTAACACCTTGTTTCCTAGGCATGGCCTTTAAATCTATGATGATAAAGAAACTCATATCTAATCATCCCAATGTAGATATTGAAGCCATTACTACTGTTTTTTCCTTTACTATTGGCTTAACTGGTTAATATAACAAACTGCAATATTTAGCTCCATGATCAAATCAGCCAAAAAATAAAAAAAATGTTTCTACTAATTGTAACCAGGCGTGAATAAAGGGAATGAATTAACCTGCGTCAAATCCTCCTGAAATTAGAACAATATCAGGATTGTAACTCTCGGCAACAGGGATCAGTATGTGGTCCCAGGCAGAAAGATAGTCGGCATCGCCACAAAGTCCATGCTCCCATGGAATATTTATGTTGAACCCAGCACCTAATCCTTCCCCGGTCATAGTATGTGAACCGTCATCACCAGCGGGATAGAAGCCCCCAAATTCAAACCTGGACCAAGCGATAACATCATTGCTGGAAGAAAAGAATTGAGTGAAGGAAAGATACTGACATAAAAATATTGTGAGAAATTAATCCCCTCAGGAGTTGGATTTGTAAAGCATTCTTCAAACAAATGCATGCCCATCTCATTTATTCATATTAGCTTCAGTTAAATGAAGGAGAAAAGAAAAAAATATCATCAGATGGAACTACACTTACAGAAAAATTACGCAAAAGGGGTTGAAGATCAAAAAAGGCAATTGGTTAGTTCACACCCTTGTTGTTGTTGTTCTAAAAATTCCGAAATGAAAGAACAACGATCTGGCGCTGCTTCATCTATTCAAGTTTTTCTAGTGCTTGGAATAAACTTGACATATAAATGATTCATGGGTGTCTGGTTCAGAAGTAGATCCAATCCATCGGCGGATAAGGCAGAGGGGCAAAATTTTAAGAACAAAAATAGACTCCGTGGCTGAAAGAGAAAGGGGGAAATCTAGACAAGGCATGCAATTGAAGAACCACGACGACCCTCCTCCCTAAAAGATTTTGAAATCAGAAGTGAATCTAACTTACCTGTGCACTGAAAAGAATAACACTCGAGGATCATTCCAGAACATCTTCTGTGTACCGTTTCCATGATGCACATCCCAGTCTACTATCAGTATTTTATTTATGCCCAGATCTGTCTGTACAACAGGAAAACAGTTATTGGGTACTCGCAATGAAACAGTACTATTCCATTAGCAGGCACCATAATCTTGGGTTTAACAGATATTAGTATTTTCAAGAAGCAAGGACGCGATAGCAAAAGGGTGCTGCTAAGAAGAGAGAATACTCTGTCGTTCAAAAGGAAATTGGCAGCGATGGCAATGTTGTTGAAAAGACAGAAACCCATTGCTTGGTCTGGTTCTGCATGATGACCCGGTGGCCTGACTATGGCAACCCCAGAATTGATCTCCCCATTTGCGACCTTTTCAGTGAGCTGGACGAATGATACAAAAGTCAAGACCTCAACCTACCGTCAGCAACCTGTGAGAAACTTGAGCTCGAGCTTCGTTTCGGCAAACCGACGAGGACGAACTACACGAATCTCTGCTCTGAAAACTAAAGAAAAAAATCCGTTACCTGAAGAACGCCTCCAGCGGCAAGAAAAGCCGATTCTGATGAGCCCTCATTCAAATAAATAGAGTTAAATCTCGCAGCGATCCTCTTCCTCCGGGAATTGAACAGCTTCGAGCTCACGTTTCGGATGAGATCAACGTGCTTGCGAGTATGAACTGCCGATACGTACTTGTCGTCCACCTCCTCAGCGCCAAAGACAGAGCACCTGGGAAAACAAGCAATGATCTCATCGAACCAGTCCGACTTTCCTACTACGAACTGAAAATAGGAACAAAAACCGCGCCCATGCTTCCTCGGGATGCCTGGAATGAAACCTCTGTGTGACGCCGGCGGACTCAAGCTCTTGCCATATGGCCTTGATCCGCTGCTGACTCTCCGGGTGACTTTCTCCGTCGGGCGTCCCGTGCCGACACATCCTCTCGTCGTACACCAGCCCTACGCGGGGGCCCCGGTGGTGCTCCTCCACGGCGGGCGGCGATGCTTCCATCCCCCCTTCGGAGGCAACGGCCGAGAGGCAGGACGCTGAGGGACTGACACCAGAGTCGTCAGGAGAGACGAGCGGCGAAGGAGAACGGTCGTCGGACGTTGGCCGGGCTATTCAAATCAAATAGAGGGAAGAAAAATAAAGGAGGGGAATAGGCGGCGAAATGTATAACCATCAGACCTTTAAAAAAATATTGGAGGCAAAAACACTGCAGCTGATCCAACCAGTTTTTCGAGCTCCTTGATCAGAAATCAAACTTTTCTCATATTTTATGGGTACCGACACTACATGCAAATAAAAAAGGCATCTTTCTTCAGCGAGGCAGTACAAAAATCTTTCTCTGCAGTGGAGACGATAAACGCTGTGGAGAAGACGACCGAGACAGCTTCGACAGCGACACGAGGAGATGCCCTCTCCGTCTTTCTCAACCTGTCTCAGAAGTACGCCCATAACTTTTCTTCTAATTTGTGGGTAGCGTCGTTATACGCGAACAGAAACATTTCTTCTCTGCGACGCAATACAGAAGTCTTTCTCCGCATTGGAGATGTCGACAGAGGCAGCGTCGACAGCGAGAAGAGGAGATGCCGTCTCCTTCTTCCTCAACTTGTCTCAGAGGTACGCCAATAACTGCTCGGCTGCCCAGGAATCCCCAGGATCAACTCCGCCGTGGGGGAAAGGAGACTCGATGGAGAGGAGACGACTGGCCGTCATGTCCAGCTCCCGAAGACGAAGCGGCTTGCTCGCTGGGCCGCCCGTACGGAGACCTCTCACGAATTCATCACTCTCACCATTCACCAAGGAAATGGATATGAATTAGAAACGAATACCAAGAAGGACCTCGAGAGCAGGAATTCTGAAGAACCCAAGCAGAGGAGAAATCAAGGATTTCGGCCAAGGTCAAAGCTTTTTTGGTTTTTCAAGAGCTCGTCTCCCCCCCCGGCGGGATGAAGAAGATGCAGAGCCCCCTACCTCTCAACTTCGGGGCCTTGGACCACATCCAGCATCCCGAGAGATTCTCCATGTTTCGAACTTCCTGGTCGAGAGACACTTTTGCACGCAGAAGATGCAGAACAAGCCCCCCCCCTATCCGCACGACCCAATTCCATGTTTCAAATTTTCAGGCCTAGAGATACCTTGGGGGTGTGTCTGGGATCAGATTCTCCACTGGATCAAACTTGACCGTTGGTATCTTTCTGCAACCTGAATCTCCCACATTTCGCCATGAGAAACCAGGAGGTACTTGAGGAATAGTCTGATCATTGTATCTCGGGTTTTTTCAAGGTAATGGACGGTATTTCTTTGCCTTTCATTCGATCAGATTCACGTCTGCAACCTAAAAGCGTTCTGCATAGAAGAATGAACAACGGGTTTATCAACATTGTTAACGCTGTTGCCACCCGGTGCATCAATTTCCATGTCCTCAGCACGATTGGGTTCACCAGGTGCACTCCACACTGTTGGGTTTCTTGCTCTGATGATGAAGGAAGATGGCCCACCGATACAGTTTTGCTTCGAACTCTGAACAAATTGACGAACACTACAAATCTCTCTTGTGAACAACAAATGAATCTCTGGCATCAAAAGAGACAGCAGTCATTCTGCCTATTGCTTATAACCAGCAGAATTGACTATGCATTATGATTCGTAGCAATGATAGTATAAAGTGTATAAGTTGCAAACTCTTGTTGGGATGAATCATGTCAGTTTACAACATTTCTGATTGGCAGATGGAATTCAGACCAAAATATGGTTTATGGGTTGTAAGTATCAGCATGAAAAATTGGAAAATGAAACTAAAATGATCAATATCTACCACGGCGCGTACTAAAACTCACTTTGAGGAAATTGATGATAGCAGGCTCGCCCATGCCATCGATGTGATAATATATTGGGTAATCATTCTCGTTCATTGATCTCAAAAGAAAGATGTTCTCTTTCAGCCTTCAACAAAAAAACTAGTCGATCGAAACAAACATGTGAAAAATCAGTACAATTCCTTGGTAAAACGTTATGTGGAACGATCCCTTGGTCTGAAGGGAATACTTGTGCTCAGAAGTTTGAACGTCGCCCAATAGAAGCAGGCCCCAGCCATAACACCAGGTTCCCCAACTATAATTTATTCAACATAAATTAAAAATATGGCAGCCCACTTGACAGGTCAACTTCACTAGGTAAAAAATATAGAGCAACATCATTGTAAGGAGGCTTCACTTGGAAGACTTGTGGCCAGATGTTTTAGTCACTATAAGGAGTCTTGGTTGTAGTCTTTCATGCATCAATTTCAAAGTGTTGTAAACCTTCGTGGAAAATGAATTTCATAAAACTATTAAGATAATTCTTTTGACATTCCACAAACTAATTGAAATTATGATTACAAAGAAGAATCACATGAATCATATTAACTTCATAGTTGAAACCTAAATGTTAGGCCTAGTCTTGTTCTTGTAGAAACATGGTTTTTCAAGGAAAAGTTGAAGCTGTGAGAAGACCAGGATAGTCTCTACAACAAACCATATCAATGTAAAGTCAGATGAAGAAATTTTTTGTGTAATACAATGTATGTCAACCCATTAAGTATGCTGACTAATCCTCATATAAAAGTACATGTGACAAAGTGAACAAAGACATGTGGTAGTAAAGTGACATGTGACATTCATCTGACAAAAGAAATGTCCTAATTGATATGACATCTTGCATCATTAGTTGACAAGTTGGAAAGTCAAGAGAAAAATGTCAATGTGACATGTGATAAGGAAAATTACATATTTTAAAAATAGTGGCATGTCTTACAAAGATGGTGCCTCTTGACATGTCAGAATAGTGGTGTATGTTGAATGATATTTGATTCACATAAGGACAAACTTGATAAGTCAAAAACACACTCTAATTGTCCAATCAAACTAGTTTGATCACATAGCTTGAAAAGAAACTTGATCTAAAGAAGGTTTTGACCAAGCAAAACTCTTTCATTTCATCTCAATGTTCAACTTTTAGGGCCCTACAAATATTCTTTCATTCAAGTCTTCAACTACCTGGCATGACTACAACAACTTGCTTATCGTTTTTCTCTATATACTAAAAGAAAGATTTATAATCAATGTTTTGTGTTCAAAGCTTACTCCTTCACTTCAAAGTTCTCCATGAATAAAGAAAATTTCGTTCTATCATCTCAATGTTTTTCATTGATACTCTTACAAATGAAGGCACTCCAAGGGAGTGCTAGTAACTTAAGAAATTTGATGTGAGTAATCATTGTAAGACAACTTAAGAAAACAACTATTCTCTGTAAGAGAACAATAGAATCAAGGATTTAAATCGTTGGAAAGTAGACATAAGCCAAATGGAGTTGATGGGGGACCTTGGGGGTTCAATCCTCCAGGAGAAAGGACTTTGCATGATTCAACAACCATGAATAATGTCATCCCCTTTAGCCCTTCAGCTGAAAATATATCAATAATTCTTAGATCATTCAAGGGCAACCCAATCAGGAAAATTCCGCATTATTTTTCACCCACTAAAAAAGATTCATCAATCATTTTGTGGGCAGGCAGATTCAGATCATAAATTCCATGCATTCTTGATTTTTCTAGGAACATTCTGACCGAAAAAGGAGATTAAAAATAATAATAAAAGGAAATCAGAATGTTCCTAGAAAAATCAAGAATGCATGGAACCTTGATGGATCATTCAAAGAATAATCCTGCACAATCTGATTGGAGTTCAGATTGTGCTGAATTGTTTTTTTTTTTTTTTCAGTTGGAGCGATCATTAATCAAAATATCCAACTGATTCCAGCAAAGTTAGAGAAAGATTACGATCAAATTAATGAAAAAAATAATGGTCAAACCAAAATATTTCAAAATAAATCAAAAATAGAAAGCTGGAAATTAGCCATGCAGGGAACATACCTCAAGAGGAACCACTTGCTCTTTACGTGGTAAGTCAATGGTGAAGTGGGGAGTGGATTGGTATCCTACATTTTATTTTGATTTTCTATTTGCGTATATATGTGTTGACTTATGTTCCAACACAGTCTGTCTAATCTATATGCAACTTAACTTAAATATTTTCCTTTCACTATGAGGTCACTTAGGTTTATTTCTTTTACTCGTGACAATTAATAAACATATAGATTTTAAACTGATTCACCCTTTTTTGGGCAATGTCTAGTCTCGGATGATCACTTTATTAGATTTCCATTATTTTTCAATGAAAATACCGCTCACTTCACGAGTTTAGTTCTTCCAAACAGTATGGCATATCATCAGTGTTGGCCACGTCGGTAAAAGTTGCCGCGCCATTACTGAATGCCACATCATCTCTACAGTTGGCATGTCATCGCCACATCAATGTGTCATTTGGTTAATTGGCGCCTCCTTTCATTATCTACAAACATCTATGTAATGAAAATTGAAAAAAAGAGGAGAAAAAATAATAGTTTAATTGGTTAAGATTAACCAACTTAGCCCCCAGTGGGATATTCGAGAGGATCAACGTCGCCCCCGATCAAGGGGTTGGTCGAGAAGACCTCGTCGCCCAAATAGGGTTGGTCGTGAGGACCCTCGCTCTCGCTCGTAGCTTGCTACCCGACGCGCCTCCATCATCTGTCCTCCAAGCATTGCTGCCCTTCCCGCCACCTACGTTATCGCTTCGTCCTCTGATTTGCCAAACGCCACTGTCGGTTGCGCCGCCGTCTCTTGCTGTCACTTCATCGAGACCAAGCCCAAGTCCTCAGCATTCGTCCCACGTAGTGGCTCCCACTAGCGTCGCCGCCTCCTCCTCTCTAGCCTTCGCCGATGACGCCTCTACCGCCACTGCCACCTTCTGCCACCAAAGCCCATCCCGCCCCCGGCTTGAGCCTAGCAGTGAGTCGCAGCTGAAATGCCTGAATTACTGTTTCGATTAAGACCATTTCAGATGGCCACTTGTTGGGCCCCACTCACCCATTCTACTAGCTCAGCCTACCTGAGCCACAGGCTTAGCCATCAACCATCCATCCCAACCATCCGGACCACCCAACCTAGCCCACTTGAACCACTGGTCGAGCCACTAGGACCACCGATCTAGCCCACCAAACCACCAGCCCAGTCACTCAAGTTCATCAGCCCAATAAGTTTATAATTCATAAGATCACTCCCTTCTCACAGCCCATTAATTAATCATTAAGTGCAACTCCTACCACATAGTTAGGCCCACAAAGTTCATCAGTGTATTTTCCCACATCAATATCATTCTAGCTTCATATAGATCTTATGCATCACATGTAGACTTTGACTCACAACACTACGTGATTAAGTTAAGATATAGTTTTCGTCAAATAAGAACACACTCCACTCGTGAATATCAGCTCTTAACACTTTGTGCTCTCTCCACTCACCACTCAGATTACCTTAGGATATGATAGAAAGAGATGACCTTCAACTTAGTTGTTCAATTCATAAGTTGTTATAGAAAATTGTGTAAGATGAGACTTTGATTCTTCTATTTGAAAAATGTGATTGCTTTTTTGTAGAGAGTTGTGTAGATATTTTTATGCAACTCATGTGAGTGATATAGATTAATGTTTCTTTGTTCAATGTTAACTTTATTTATCTTCAACTTATTCTCTTAATACTCATGGATTCCTATCATTTTAATGTTAGAAAATTATCATATTAATTTGAATATCTTTATATTACTCTATTAGCACTCTGGTGACCATTAATTATTTTTTAAAAAAACTTACTTCTCTATAGATAATTGTCCATAATATATTGTCTAGAGATTTGTAATTGATCGACAAACACTTCTCCTTTCAGGGTCTTATTTAGAGGATATCGTTTAAATTATCTTTTGTCTATATCTTTTGTAGATGAGTTATTGTCCAGAATCTATGCTTATGACCTTTAGTCATAATTTTATTAAGATCTTTCAGACCATAGGTATTTTATCCTTGATATTATGTCTAAAGGTCTTCAACTGATCAATAAACATTGTTGTCTTTAAGATTGAGTTAGGATAATGTTGTTGAGTTTCTCATTTAGTCCAAGAACCCTGATGACATGTTAGTGTCCAAAATGTGCAAGGTTGATCATGAGTCATTGTTTACTTCAACATGTGTAGATTTGGTGGTCTTCAAAGCTTTTGTTTTGAGACACATACTAGTTCAACGGATAAATCATTTGTTGGTACTAGGTTGAAACTTAATTATTTTTACTTTGTCATTTTCTCCACGTATCATTTTGATGTCTCACCATACAAGTTATGTAGCGACAACTTCTTTGCATTCTTCTTTGTTTCATATGAATGGTCTAGTTTAGTTACCATCTACATCGTAGTTTCAAATCTTTCTTCAGTCATTAATCATATATTTTTTACTTTGATTATCTAACCAACTTTCTATGTTGTTACTCTAATGCTCCTGATTTCAAATTCTGCTTATACCTAAGTTTAAATATTTCATTCATAGTTTTTCCACTTCTATGAAGCTTGCTCCAAGATTTCGAATCTTATGCCTATGATTTTTCAAACATTCTTAACACTAAAATTATTTTCTTCACATTTCTTTGGTGCAATGTTCAAATTTCGTTGGTGACTTTAATTTTTAAGAAAATATGAGAAGTTATTATCACATGTGTTGACAAATATTATTTTGTATTTATATTTCAAGAGTGTTGTAGTATATATTATCACACGCGTTGACAAATATTATTTTGTATTTATATTTCAAGAGTGTTGTAGTATATTATTTAAATATAAAGATGTATCTCAAGGACATGACTGATTGAATTCGTTATTAATTATAAAATCACACAAAATATTATAAATATATTTACTTTGAAAATATATCAATAATAATTACCTTTTGATTAAAATAATCATGATGCATATAGATAATTTCATGAATTCTGTCATAGCTAATCCATAAATAGATTTTTCACTATATATGTTAAAAATCATTGTATGTACCAATTAAGATCACCTACATAAATCACTTTTATAATTTAGATGTTTTTTGTTCAAAATAGATATATTTGTGTTGACCCATAACATAAATATAAGTGTCAACCCCACTTAAAAGATGTGTTTATTCAAAAATATTGTGTCAACACATCGTAGAGTTATGGTAGCTTAAATAAGCTTAGTTCAAGCTCTAGACATCAAAGAATAACTCAAGAAGTTTGTCAAACCACCTATAGAGGTTAAAAACTAATTCACCCCCTACTTGTTATGTCTTCCTAGGCAATTAGACATCAAGAAGTTTGTTAAAAACTCAAGAAGTTTATTTCCTTAAAAAAGAAAAGAAAATATCTTCATATACATGAACACATGACTGCAACAATAGGGGCATCATAAATGAAAAAAATTAATAAACTCCATGAAAATGCATGATTTATAGACCATTATCTAAAAAAACATCTTAGGGGGAGTAAACCTAATCCCTTGTGAAGGATATAAACCTAATCCCTTAACTTATATTATTACCACTAAGATAACAAGAACATACAATCACAAGCATGAGACATTAGGCACCATGACGATTACAAAGTTTGACATATTTGTTCCAAGAGGACCTCAAGATGCTCATTTTCTGTAGAGGAATTTTTTTGTGATGTTTTTTGTCTAATGTTTTAATGCATATCTAATGCGAAATTGAAGCATCAATAAAGTCAACACAAGTGTCAACAAGCGTCCTCTAAGATGTGCATTGAAATACATTTAAACGCAGTAAACAAGTGCCCTCAAGCTACGAAATGGGGACAACTATAATATTCTCATAGCTCCATAATTACGCCTCATAGGTAAAGAAGGCAGAGCAACTAAGACGATTTCACTTTCTTCTAACTATGGAGGGAGACCCAGTAGCGATCCGCACAAGTTGCCGGAATTCCAATAAGTGAAAAGCCAAAATGAAAAGCTTAGGAGACGTAGACAAGAAAAGAAGAAGAAGAAGGAAGCATATCCATTAACGGAAAATGAACGGCTAATAGGGTGAGAATGGTTAAGCAGATGAGGGACATAAAGGTAATCTTTAAGACCTTTCTGATACGAGTTTTAAATACTAATATTAGTAAAAAAAATCATTTTTCGCCTACATTATTATTTACCTTACGTGCACATCCAAAACGAACTTCCATTTCCTATTTAAATGAATATTTATTTTAAATCGGTCTTGGATGACAACTCTTACGAGAAATATGCGTATCATTACTTACAAGAATCATCTTAAATGATCCTCTGATGTAGCGTAAGTTCTTCCCTTGGGAAATCGATGTACAAACAAGAATGAATATTTAGCCTGCTCGCGGTGGCGGTGGCGGGGGCGTGGGGGGCATCGGCAGAGGAGGGCCCGCAAAAGCTGGAACGACGGTTCCCTTCCCTTCCTGGCTGCTCTACGACGTTTGCCGGTGGCCGGAGGAGGCCATGAGCACGGCCACTGCGGCGATGAACATGAACAGCATGCCTCCCAGCAAGACGTAGGTTCTCCTGGACGATTTCCGATACTCGCCGAATAGAAACACCCCCCAGAAGGTGCTCACGAGGGGCAAGGCCTGATTCACAGTCACCGCTGTTAATGGACGAGACCATCGGTGATATATATGGAAGAAGGAACAGAGACGGACCTGAACGGCGTCGGCCGCGGCGTAGCCGGCGGCTTGGCCGCCCATAAACTGGAATCCATTGCCAAATCCGCAGAGAAGCCCTGCCAGGAGCGCCCAGTGTCTGCCGTTCCAGTCATTCAGGTAAGCCCTGAACGACGACCGGGGTAGCCCCAGAAGAGGGCGGTAGAGGAAGAAGACGTTCAAGATCACTGCGAAGATGAAGCAAGAGACGGAGAAGTAGAAAAATGCGGTGTAGACCACCAAATGGGGAACCCCTTCCTTCAGGGTGTGCCACTGGTCGTTAGTTGCGAGGTTGAAAGCCGGGGAGAAGAGTGAGAAGCAGACGCCGGCGAAGAACACTATGCTCAATCCTACGATGGTTCTCGAGCCCATCACCTGCGCGGTGGATATAACAGTTTTTATATTTTTATTTAGTTTTGCACGCGTGACATCATCCGAGAGCATATGCAATCAAGACGAAAGAAAGAGAAAGAAATAATATTTTAAAGGAGTGCATGATGGAAGTTGCAGACGCTGGGATTAGGGTTTTAGTACTTCAAATCAGATCCTGCTCGCTGAGAGTTTGAATTATCAGCGATAGGCGAACAGTGACAGAGCAATCACACTGACCTTGATTGATCTCCTGTTTTCGAGCTCGAGGAGGAACTCCGCGGTTCCATATTCTGCTTTCCCCCCCTTGGGGATGGAATCCGAGACATAGCTTCCAGCCTCCATATCTGTCGTTACCTCTGCGAAGAAGGAAGATAGATTTAAAAGGATAATCTTGGAATAGAAGGTCAGTAGTAAAAACCTGCATCACATCATCAAATACCATTCATCTTGGCATCTCCTTTCATCTCTTCATCTTCATTCAGCCTGCACACGAAATCAGAACCCATGACAAGTGGGTTTTACACAGTCACGTAAATTTACAGAGATGATACGAACGCGGAAATCTACCAAGGAGTAGGACATGTAGATCCTGTTTCACACTCTGCCACTTTTAGTAAAATGAGCTCTTAAGCTACCAATGGCAGGCGGAGGAGATGAGCAAAAAGTATTCTGTCAATCCATGAGCAATTCCTATAGCAGCTATAAAGAAACGGACGAGAGACACGAATCATACCCTTGATTAACCTTGTAATTGGAGGACCCAGCGAGCTTTTCTCTGTTATCAGCTGAGTTTGAAGAGTGAACAGCGGATCCTAGAAAGACTGCAGTGAGAAAGCACGCAACTCCAGGAAAAAGGATCTCAGCTCTGTTAATACGGCCGTCCAGGAAGTAGTTCATCGTGGTGCCTGAAAATGTAAGAAAATACAGAGCAGCTCGTGGTTACATGTTCTCAGACAAAAATTCTACGGAAAATAGTGAACGTTTATAAACCTCTTAGAACCGTACTACTGCAACTGTTGAATTATCTGGGATGAGTGAGAACTGCTGTGATGGAAGCAGGAAGATGCTTACAGATGCTCACAAATGCTTACCTATAACAACAGTTATGCTCGCTGTGATCACTGTCGTCGCTGAAAGACCGACGAAAGCCCAAGCATACTGGGTGGACAAGTTCCCCAGGCTGAGAACGATTCCACCACCCATTGCAAATAATATTGAAGGCCAGTTGTCCTGACAAAGGTAATATTAGGGTCTGTATATATCCTCCTAGAAATCTCGACATGGAACAAGGTAGAATAAAGATACACCACGAGATGCAATAATCCGAGAAAAATAATACCCACTGCAGGAAACTCAAATTCTGCTGTTTGTCAATGATTTTTCAGAGTGACAGGCTCAGAGTGTACGAAGAACTGAAAACGCAGAAGTAAAGGGACTAAGTCAAACATGCTTCTGCGACAGTGAAGCGATCTCGAACTTTCCACCTCCGGATCCTCGTTTCTGTGCGTGACTTGGGCTCAGAGAGAGCCATTAAAGCCCAATTTTCGCATAAATCACACCAAGAAAAATAAGATTCTGCAACTCAAGCTGGGAGGTTCCGATACGTTGGTGGACTATCCAAGAAAAACCAGTCGATCTGACCTTACATTCGTATCGGTTTTTCAATTCGGAAAAAGAAACTGATAGGTTACCTGAGTAAGCTGGGTCAGAAAATTCGGCATGTCGGGTGTGTCGTCTCCGATCTGGCCAAAGGTCAAAGCAATCAGAACAGCAGCCAGGAGATTCGTGATGGAGTAGTCGAGATACGTGTGCTGAGGGAGGCGGCCCCTTCGCTCCAATAGAGTGAGAACAGCAGGCCATGTCCCCAGAAAGAGCAGGGCAGCAAACATCAAGGCGATGGCGCCGCCCTTGTCCGTAACCACGTACATGTTCACCCTCCCTCTTGCGAACTGAAGAAACGGTTCTGTACAGTCAGCAAATAGAAGAAAGCTTCCTTAAGAGACCACATGGATGATCGAGGTGGCTGGGAAGAATCATGAGGCAGGAGACTCGAAAAGGTTGTTCTCAATTCCGATGGGTTCTGACAGCAAATGATTATTCCCCAAATACGGCTCCCTTAGCATCATTATGCTCAGACTTCGCGGAGGAGGAGGATGGCGACGAGGAGGAGTAGGAGGAGGGAAGAAATAATCGCTCTCGTCAGGTGGGCATCGAAACATATCGGAAGCAAATGAAAGGATATGAAAATGAAAATGGGATTGCAGATTTGACTATTCGCATCGAGAGGGAAGCGAAGAATTTTGTGCTTCCAAGCAACCATTCCAACGGCATTAATCCTCGGATCAAATCAGATGTTGAAAAGAAAAATGCAGTCGTAAAGCTACAGGATTTCGGTACGGAGGAGGTAAAGCTGAAGTACGAATTACCTGGGGGAAGCAGACAAGCGAATCAAATTGAGAGAGTAAAGAGCGACGCAGGGATCTCAAAACTATAGCGTGGTAAACTCGGAAGGGGAGAAACTATCAGCCGGGAGGGGGCGAAGGTTTCGCTCCGGAGAAGCAGAACGTACGTCCTGCGTAGTGCGATGCCCCCTATCGCTGGATACGGAGAGAGGAACCACCGCGGAGAATTTAACCGTTTCAGAGGGGAGAAGCCAGTGACGTTCTTAGTCTCAGATTTCTGGACTGCAATGCCATTGATGTGGGTCCGAGAAAAAGGGACCAGACAGGGCCGATCAATCCGGACTGAAACTGCGCGAGAAAAATAATCGGAATCCGACGCTCGAAAGTCAAAGATTCCTCACAATCATGAACCTCATAAGAGCAAACCCCGGGGAGGCGGGAGACAACACCATAAAAGCGGGGATGACGACCTGATACAACTTGCTTCATCTACCTCCTACTCGTCTCTCCCCCAGTGGGAGATCTTCCCCACTGGGGACGACTTCGGTGATGGGATAGAGAGTGTGAATGGCGATTGCCGGGGCAGTCCAAAACAGAAGCCAGTTGGTGAGCGAGCAACTCCCGCCTTCTCGTTCGGGAATCCACCCCCCCCTCTCTCTCTCTCTCTCTCTCTCCCTCAGACGACGGCGGCCGCAACGGACAACGGTGCCGGGTCCTCAGATTCTCAGAATCTCCTTCATTGAATCTTTCCCACCACTGAAGACAGGGACAAAGCGTCAAAATCGCAACTTGATCGTGATCGACGCATCGGACGGTCAGCTGGGGATCACCTGTCGGCGTTAAGCTTCGTTGGACTCGATGTGGACATATGATCAGACACGTCGCGGATCCTAGACCAGACATTGGTGTATGTATGTATGCTTGCATAAAAATACGCATAGATCGTGCGTCTGCGAATCGACTATTTAGAGAGAGAGAGGGGGAAAAGGTACTTAGAAAATTTATCAGTTGCAGGGACAAGGGACGAAGAGAGCATCAATATGGAAGGAGTTGATGATTCTAGACGAGTTACTTGTCGATGTCACTCAGGAAGTTCCCCAGCAGCCTCTGGTCGAAGATCATCTTCGGCACCTGAAAACCCGAAAGCTCGGATTTTTATAAGAGGTTGCCCATCGGATGTGAATTCCAGAGTGAGAGAGATTCGTGACGAGCCCGACGCACCTTGTCTCCGAAGAAGATCTTGGAGTTGTTGGCGATGGCTTCAATAAACTTGAGCTCGAGAAACTCGGGTGTCAGCTTCAACCTGTTAGCTTCCGCTTCTCTCATTGCTCTGATCAAGGAGGATTAAACCGTGTTAAGCAGACCATCAGAATCGGGTTCTGATCCCAACCTCAGCCTCCAACTACCGTCTGCAGAAACAATATATAGATATGTATACACATACACTAACTATACAGCCCATAAATAGCACAAAAAGATGATTTTGGCCGATAATCTGACTAGAAATTTCCGATATAGGATGACCCATGTTGAATGGATTCAACATGTTCTGGGCCAAATAACAACGTATAATGGGCTCAGTGGCCCAGACGGGCACAACATCTAGGATCGGCCAAATGATAACGATCTTGCACCTAATCCACTATTCTAGTAAGAGGGTAGAGAGCTAGGACGAACCTGTAAAAGCTAGCATCTGCCAGGCTCTTCTCACGGGCCAAGTACACTTCATTTTCAACCTCCTGTTGTCTCTTTGCGCTGATCTTCTCCATCACCTTCTGCTCCATCAGAATCCTGCTCACCTCAGAATTCTTCTCCGCCTCTGCCAAAGCCATTTTTTTCTGGGTCTCGGCTTCCTTCTCTGCTACCTTCTGTTTCTCGATGGCAATCAAGACCTGTAACAGTGTAGGTAATCATGTATTTTCTCAATACATAGATCTAGACGCCAGGGATTCCGGCTATACTACCCACTTTCCAAATGCAGTCAAATTGATTAAAGCTTGATGAAAGGAGGTTCCGTCTCCTCTTCGCAACTGAAAGCAAACCATTGATTTAATGCTGGATGGTTCATTTACAACAGGCCCTATGGTGGAGCTTAGAAGATGTCATATACGAGGCATACTTTCACAAGAAACCGACACGGACTGCAATTAATCTTCTCACAGTATAAATTTTAGAGCACGTTATAATAAAGATACCCAGAAACGGAAAAAATCTGAACTTTTTACAGGCATAAGATCCTTTTTTTAATGGCTTTTTCATTCGGAGAGATGGGATATACTTCTAATTCCCTTGACTCTTCACCGGGCAGAAAAAAAGGGGTAATTGCCTGGTCTATATGCTTTAAAGAAGCTTGAAAACGCTACCCCAGTGGCCCGACTTTTGATTATTAGGTTGTCCTCTGAATTCTCCTTTGACATCGCATTATGTGATGATCATCGCTTCATCTATTAGGAAACATGATGCGCCCCTTCCTCAGAGAGGAAAAACTTAGAAAAGGCACATACTCCACATTATAATTTGTTCCAACGAAAAATTAACTTGAACAGAATAAAGAATCAAAGATTCTGAAAGAGACATTACACAGGGCTGTAATAGGAATACCTTTGTGCGTTCCTCCTCCATCTGCTCAAAATTTCTCTTCACACTATCTGGGATAGTTGGTTTTGTGACACGAACACTGATGATTTGTATACCAGGTGCATAGCGTGTACAATCAATTTGAATTGCTTCCTTCATCTTCTCATCTATCTGGCATCACTTCTATTTAGTAAGACTTTATAGCATAACACCACGCTGAGTTGACAAGAGGAAAATTTGTGAGCTTGCCTGATCGAATACATCAATATAAACTTCTTGCAGAGAGTGCAAACTGCAAAACTGGTTGATCTCGTGGTGAATCTTATCATATATCCATGTTTTGTCGTACTTGACACCATAGTTGAGCAATGTCTCGTATACATATTCCTTGCGGAGACGATTCACAACCTGGACAAAGAACAAGTTATTATGTTAGAAAAACGACCAGACCTTTTTTTATTATTATTACCGCGTGTAACTCAGCTAAGGAAAGTCAGATTGGCTGGAAAAGACCACCTCTATCTTTCCGAAGCTTATCATAACACCGCCCTTTGTACCACATGGGATATCTCTCACCTAGTTGTCCACATTAGCAAACAAACAATTATACCCGCAAGTTTTTTTCTTGTGACAGCCAGATCCGGGGTTTGATGAAAGGACAACTATTTACCTCATCTGTTTGAATTGTCACTTGAATAGGCTCAAACTGGGTGACTAAAGGCAGTTTCCAATGAAAACCTACAAGCAATGGGAATCATAATCTTATAAGAAACCTAAAAATAGGATTTCAAAGAAAATTACGAGCTGATTTTAACATTACCTGGATCGGTAATTGTTTTCAGAAGAGCACCACCCCTCCAATAGACACCAACATGGCCTTCGGGAATTTGATGCAAAATAGAAAACCCACCATTTGGCGTTGACATAGAAGACGAAAACACCAGCTGTGAACATTACCATGTGAACTGTGATATATCATCTTGCGTCTATGAGAGGGCACGTTAAATGGTCAGTAAATCCTACCATATTTCAAGTGTAAATAATTATATCATCAGTTGGGAAACTTCTCGGTTATATCTTTTCTTCTTTTCCAGAACATGTTACTGTAGTTTTCTCCATGTGACTTTGTGAAATGTGGAAGCAAAGATGGATTAAGTTCTTCATGCGTGTTTTTTTAAACGATGAAAGTGCCTCTCCCAAACACGATTTTAAAGTTGAAACAGATTTCCGTTCTATTTCTTACCTGCAGCAAAGAGAAAGCTGAAGGACCATTCACCATCTTGAGGCATGCCAAATCAGTTATCATTTCTCAGGTCATCACATTCGATGCTTAATTCCTCCACCGTTCATAGGAAGAATGACAATTTATTAATTATGAGCTGCATTCCCTACACTGCTAACGATATTTTGGATTGTATGGGACAGAGAACATTCACATAATTCGGTGTTTTGCTTGAAATATGTTGTATAATTGACTAGACAGAAAGAGCACATGCTGATTCATTTTATAACTGGAGAGAGAACATGCTAATGAAGTCTATAAAAGCTCATGCAATTTAAAACTAGAACCCTGCTCTCACTAGTAGGTACCTATAGGAGTTCGTTCTCCCAAACATCCCTCAAAAATCCCATTTAGTTTAATAAAAGCAGAAAAAAAGATAAAAGTAAAGGAACATGAAACAAGACAGAAAAAACCAGCAAGATTTTTCCTTATTTGTTCCTGAGGACCAGTGGTTACTTGGACGACAGTTTTACGGATCAAACCTTCATTAAAATGATCCATATCTATTTAGATACCTCAAAGAAAGCTGTTTTTCGATTGAAGATTCCTTAGAACAGTGCAAATCCTTAGAACACAGTACATATTGACATAAAAGGTTCGAAAAATTTTGCTTTAATTAAACCATTGGTAGTCATATTACCATCCAGATTTTTTTGTCATACTACCCATGATAAGAGGACTAAACATTAAAAGGACACTATCTGGCGCAAGCATCTAATATCCTTCCGGTCAATGCCATACATATTTTCGAGATTCCAGTGGTAAATCCTCTTTAATGTATTGTTCCATCCCAAAACCCTTTAACGATAAACGTGATCAATAATTTAGATTCACTTCATCAGTAAGTGACTAAAACAACTACACCTGCACACCCCTACACTCTTTAATGGAGGTGACGGGTTGGAAAAATAGAATAGTCTGTATCTAACACACTCCGCAGCTTCGAACACATAAGAAGAATACCTAATGTGATCAAATCTGTGAAAAAGTGCTTTTAAATGCGTGCTCTGACTGATCAGTTTGTGCCTTCTATCCAAGAGACTCAAACATTATGTCATTATTAATAATTCAGAAAACTATACGACTCCTACTTTCCACTCTTAGGGGATCCCATACTCGGTGATATAGAACATCTCGAAGAAGACTCTGCCTACCACCTCCCAGCAGTCGATCCCAAGAAAAACTATGATACAGGGGAAAACGATAACGCCTGGCATTAAATAGAAGGAACAAACAGAGACAGAAACTCCAAGAAAATATGTGGCCTATGAATCTCACTCCTATTTAACCACCTACTCCACGACCAGTTTGTACCCATAGTATGAAATTATTCGCTTCACCAACACACAGCACCAAAGGAAGTCAATCAAAAGCACCGCCCATTTGGGACGTTGTCGCAATGAGATAATCTCTGACCATCTTCAGACGCTATGAATTCAATTCTTTGACGCATTTGCAGAGTATCTGAGAGAACTGTTTGTGGCATGTGCAGCACAAACCGAGCAATACCTAGCACGATTTGCTCACTGCCGCTGAAAACACATTCGAAGACATTGATCACCCCGGTGGCCATAAATCATGCGTCGGCCCTAGAAGCATCCAGGATTAGAAGAGATCCAGGGGAGGATTACCATCGCGATTACGACCGCAAGAGACACCGCCCGCACAAGGATGGTGGAGAAATCGCCCCCCTCGGGAGGAGAATAATCCGGAGGAGGACAAGCCGGGGGAAGCGATACTTCCTGGTGCTGCTGCTGCGGCGGCGACTGCGGCTGCGCATCCATCACCCTTCCAAACGCACCGGCGACGTGTCGCCCAAGGAGCAGACAGCTTCGAAACCGCAGTGGTCCTCCTCTCACCCCGCCCCTCTCTTCTTTCGCCCTCGGGGGATTCCACTCCCTACAAGCGGGCGCCGGTCAATTTGCAACCGAGGTGCTTGCCGGTCAGCGCATCGACGCGTCCCTCTCCCCCCAAAACTCTGCCGGTTCTCCCCCCGACATGTGCGACAAGAAATGCCGGATATACATTAGTACCTTCGTTATATCCTCTGAACAGCTTTTCAACTTTGATTCTACGCCAATCACTTTCAGAGCGACTAATCAATCAGCCGACGGCGTCCAAGTACGATACAAGTCACTCCCAGTTCTCCCTCGCAGCTCAGCAGGGTCCGTCCGTCCTTTCTACAGAGTGAATCGACAAAACAACAGTAGAAGCCTGGTCCCATCCCTCGAACTCAGACAGAAAGTTGCAGTCGGTCCAAGATCTATGCCGGTGAATTCTAGCTTAATCATAGATATTATACTCACACTCACTGGATATTATAATCTGCAGTAAAGTAGTGATTTTGTATGAATGATAATCACCTTAAAATGATCAGTAACACTTGTTGCATGTCGTATATGATGATACTATTTTCCGACAGCGGGGTGATGTAATAAAAACCTTCGATTCTTTAAATTCCACACCATAGCGTAACTTCCATGAATCGAATGCTCCGAACTTCGTCAGAGGTCGCCATCTAACATTTGTCCCTGGATGCGTTTCCTCTTAAGAACGAGGGACCGCCCCCGTTCAACGCGACAAGGCCAGTTGTCTGGAGCCTTCAAAAAGGACTGCGCCATTCCTTGTCACCAGTAGGGTTGCCGGGGGAGGATGTGACGAGTGCCCGAGAGGGAAGTCGTCGGTTGAATGTAGATCGTCCAGAAACGAGATCCGGCCAGGGGCAGAGATCTCACTTCGTTGCCCACCGCGGGGTTCGGCTGAGACTTGGACCACCCGATGGAAAAGATCCTTTTCGGGCTGTCGCGGTTGTTATAGTCCTCATTGGCTCCACGGTTACTCATTCAGCTTACCACCGATCGGCGAGAGCGAGGAGAAGAGGTGGGGGAAAGGGGGAAGGAGTGTTTGTGTTCAGATCGGTCAGGCATGGCGATAATGCAGGTATCGGCGTCTCTGGGGGGACTCTTCCAACCTCGATCTTCCTTTTTGGGGACGGGGGTTTTCCCTGATTTTCTTCCAAGGGAGGTAGAGAAAATCAGGGATCCGCATGCGCGGGAGTTGGCGAAGAGGATCCAAAGGCTGCCCGTTCAGGTCAGTGCGAGGGAGAGCTCATGTGGTAGCTTGCATTTTGGCGTGGTTTAGTTACATATAATGTCGACTATTACTCGGCTGTCCGAAATGCTAGTTTCTGGTAGTGAAAGATATGACATTAGGAAAGGGTGGAAGATCATTAACCGAATATCACGGGAGGATCGGAAGAAATTATCCACCTTCCGGAAGAGGAGTAGTGAGGTATTTCCGTTGTAAACGAGGGATCTGTAAAGTTTTGTGAGATTGAACTCTTGGGGAGAACATTATCCTTGTTGCATCTTTTTCACTTTATAATGTTGAAACATGAATTGCTTAAAATCTCTACGACTTTTGTCGAGAATCGGCAAAAATTCTGGAATGTTATCTTTCAACTTTTTAATCTGACACTTGGAGCAAATTCAGGTTAGCTTCTCGGAAAGCTCTATTTTGAGCAGTTGCGTCAAACCTCTGCAGCGGAGCGAATCTAGGCCACTCGTTCTCCTTCATGGTTTCGACAGGTCTGTTCCCGACATGTATAGAAGTGCTAGTCTCTCTCGATGGCTTCTTTTTTCTGCGATTGTTCGTTTGTTATGCTGTGAAAGACGGGAAGAATCCGGTGGTCAGTGTTTGATTCTGAGACTAGATTTTATGGGATCGTCTAATGTCAAAGCAAGAAAATCAGTTTAAAGGGGAAAAGGGAGAGAGTTGATAATGAACGACATCTTCAGTATTGAAGAAAAATAAAATATAAGAGAGGATAACGACTTAGCAAAGTACGCCAGCAAAATTCAATTTGAACCTTTCGAGTGTGATGAATATCATTTATTTAATGCGACTGATGCAGATGTTAAGTTAATTCTTATAAATATCCGATTCGGCGGTTATGCTGAACTAATAAACTGTATCCTCGTCTTTCTCCCTATAAAGTCCCAGTTCTTCTTTGTCGGAACAGTATGAAACTGGGATACCCTCCACCACTTTTTCTTTTTCAGAAGTGGGATTTGTACCCACGCCCACTTTGAAGGGCCAGTACTTGACTCTGGCATCTTTTAGTAAGCCATCCTGGCGGTTATAAAGTATATTGTTCATAATTATTTTGACTGTGGATAAATTGTTTATAAGCAGATATGCTGAATTATAAGGTGTCTTACTGAAAAATATATTTTAATTGGTGTTTATGATCAAATCTCTTTGGAACTGAGCTTCTTCACTGTCTTCTACCTGCCTAAGAACAACACATTTTGGTTAAGGTACTTATTCTCTAATGGTGGGGAAAGATGTGGAATATGTGCAATACCCAAGGTCTTTTTAGCATTCCAATGTCTAGAACCACAATAGGCAACTGACTGAAGTTGGAATACGCTTGTGCATACCTGTGTGGTGAGTGATAAAAATTTCGCAAACAATGGTGTTGAAATGTACAACTGCGAGAGTAGTGTCCTCTGGTCGGGGTTTGAAATACTCTTGTATAGGCTGCGAATTCAGCATAACTGCATGTATTCATTCTTCATTCATTTCGTACCTTTTTGACATTTCTTCTGTAATGGTAACATTGTGGCTATTTTTTAGTGCTGAGCTTGCGTGTATCATTTTCTACAGTTCTTGCCTAGAATGGCGATATGCCTATCCATTACTTGAAAGTTCTGGCTTGGAGACATGGGCTTTGGATATCCTTGGATGGGGATTTTCTGATTTAGGTCAGTTGCCTTTTCTTTTCCCTGTATGCTTCTGAGCTTTGATAAAATAAAGGTTGATATTTTCTGCTGATTAGTGTCATCTCTCACTTCAATTCTTTTCATTTTACTTGTGACTGTTTTCAGAACCGCTACCATCTTCCAGTCTAACCGTAGCTGCTAAGCGTGAACATTTATACCAGGTACTGTGATGTTTATGTTAGCGTCTTTTTTGGTCAAGTTTTCAATGTAGTTCTACTTCCAAGTTTTCTCATGTGCGCATCCAAATTACTCTGTATTGGTGACTGTGTCTTCACAATTTTCATCTGCAGTATTTATCCTCGTCTTCTTGAGCTATGTTTCTTTTTTCCTAAGTCTAAGTCTATCTCCTCTTTGATGTTAACCTATTAGACCATTCTTACTATGATCATGTTAGCACGCTATCAGTTAGTTGTGCTTAATACATATATCGTGTTACAGTTCTGGCGATTGTACATCAAAAAGCCTATGATATTGGTAGGTCCAAGCCTTGGTGCCGCTGTTGCAATCGATTTTGCAGCTCATTATCCCGAAGCGGTATGATCGTTGCTCTTACATTGCTTCACTTATGCTTTTTATCTTTTCTATTCAAAATGATGAATGAGATATTTGTCGAATTCATCCATCCCATTATATCCTTTTATTTAAAAAGGCTTGCACAAAATCTTCAGATTATGAAATGTTATGCCGCTTTAAATGGTTCCTGGTATCCATCCCTTTATACATGTTAAAATCTAATATCTCTCTGTGCAATTTTCTTTTTCAGGTGTCGAAATTCATTTTTATTGGTGCTAGTGTATATGCTGAGGGCACTGGGGATCTTGCCAAATTACCCAGAGCCATTGCTTATGCTGGGGTGAGATACTTTTGGCAGCATGTTCTTGTATATGTGTTTCCAAATGCAAACACGCTGCTTGATGTTTTTTGGCCTTCCATGGCTTACCTGATTTTTTATTATCACTTATGTCGCATGCATATCCGTGCCATTCGCATTTCTCATCAGTTTTTTGTGTTGGTTTTGTATTGCTTAATTTTCTTGATTTAACTTTGTTTTTCTTCAGGCTTCACTGTTGAAGAGCAAACCATTGCGTTACTATGCAAATTACTTGGCATACAGCGGTCCTCCTACCCTATCCTTCGTCGACTGGACAAATGTAAACGTCATCTCCGGTGTTGCTTCTCCCTATTACATTTTCATACATAAGTGCAGAGATGCATGATTTTGAATCTTATCATATGTGCAGGCCATCTTGACAGTATAGAGTCGTTTGGGATTTTCCGGCCTCTTTTAAACCTTCGGTTGCTTACTGGCTGTTCTTCACCTCGTGGTCATCTCTGCAGATGACAGTGCTTATTTCTATCCAAAGGGCATGCTGCAAAAGTACCCAGTGCTCACCTTCGCGTGTCATACGAAAACTATCTTTTTCCTCTTGTTGTTTCTAGATCTTTTCTCACTCTAGCCATGTGTCAGCCTGTGCCAACACTTAATACTCCGAATATGGCTATACAAGATACTTTCATCGACTAGAAAAGATGATTCTTACCATCCATGCAATTTCATAAATTTTTTTATTTCAAAACATTTCTACCTAATTAGCGTTTTGATGTTTATTTTTTATAGATGAATTGCAATTTTCGCATTGATGCATGTTCATCAGAAACCTTGCTTTTGTCTGCACAGATTGGGCGTTTACACTGTCTGCTACCCTGGTGGGAGGACGCGACTGTTGATTTTATGACTAGTGGGGGCTACAAAGTTAGTTCCCAGATTGAGAAGGTAGCGATGATATAATCTGGACTCGTTCATTCTGAAAGATGGGTCGGCAGTTCATGAACATCTGCATCATATGCCGAGATGTGAAAATCATGTTCTGATCTCGATATGCTCAGCATTTTATACGTGCTCTTGAGAGAGAAAGTCTCATTATGCCTCTTAGGCAGTCATCTTAGACCGGTGGTCTCGTTTTGCAGGTGAAAAAGAAAGCTCTCATCATCTGGGGGAAGGAAGACCGGATCATCAACACCAACCTAGCACTGGTCAGTTTACTGCGACTTTCTCACCCTCTGTTTTGCCGGAATTACTCTCACGGGCTTAGAATATGCTTGATGAAATGGACGCATGAAAGGATATGGGGGCGTCATTCTGAAAATAGCTTCTGGAAGCAAACGATTCGTCCTAGCTTGATTTCTGATTTCTAAACTACGTGGAGAATTCGGGTAAACCTTGAAAGTAAACAAGCTACTTACTAAAAGCCTTTCCATATAGGGTAATAATAGTATCCTAATTCCCCTCTTCAATGCGTGGTTAAACCTGGGGCTTTATGGCAATCTCTGGGGAAGAGATCCCATAGAATGCAGTGTATTCATGATCTGTCTTCTTAGGATCCTCATGGAGCTCATGTGAATGACCTTGAATGACTTTGAATCTACGCAGAGACTCCACCGCGATCTTCAGGATTCCATCTTGCATCAGATACCGGACTGTGGCCATCTTCCTCACGTGGAGAAGCCGGGCATCACAGCCCAGACGATCTTAAAATTCGTTCAGAGCGACCTCTGCTGACTAGTGGACCTGCCCTCCCTTGCCCCCTCTCCCCTCTCACTGGTGTTGCCAGAGGTGGTCAATGCCTCTGATTGCCGGTTTATATGAAGGCAGAGGACGGCTCCTAGGTCCTGGTGAGGCGCAGGTATAAAAGTCAAAATTCCGTATTTTTCTAGGAAAGGGAATGATGAATTTGTCCTGTTTACTTCCATGGGTCTCTCGTCTTGCTGGTTTGGTTGGAAACATATCCTCCGTCCTATGAGAAAACTCCCCTCAGTGTTCCAGCCTGGGCCGTCAGTCAGGAAGGCCTGGCCGTTGACTTGGTGTGAGCGACCACGGTCGCTATATTCTTAAATATATGTATTCGAAAATATTTAACAAGTCTCATCCACGAAGTGGGATTTTCTCATAACTTACGCATTTTACAGTATAGAGCTCGACTCGATTATCCTCCCCGTAAGCACGTCACAAGATCTCCAGGTCAACGCCGGGGACTTCAGAAGAGGAGGAAAGCGCAGAGCCATGCGGATACAAAACTCCCGTCTCCTTCTTCCTTTCCCATCCAGGCGTGGACCAACCGGATAGAACATACCGTCCCGGCGACTGCCGACGGCGCTCGGTTGGCGCGTGGCGTCATGCGACTAATAAAGCCAAGACGGCAATGGCGATGGACAGGGATGGCGCACCCGCTCGTGCCGTTGGACGGTCGCCGGCGCTGGAGAAGGGTGTGAACGGGGGGGGGGGGGGGTTGCTTGCGGTGGGCCCGGCCGATATCCCGGTGTTGGCGGGGGGGCTCGCAACGCTGCAGAAGAAGAAGCAGAGAGGGAGTTTCAGTCGTCTAATTAATCCTTCAGCAACCACAGATGAGAAAAGAGAGGACGAGCCCGAGAAAAGTCCAGGCCGCCGCAGACGCTGAGGGAGATGGAGGGAGAACAGCGTCTCCTTGGAACGGGAGAATCGAGGAGAGAAGAGGAAGATGGATTTTTCTTCTTTTAACTCGGACGTACCTATTATCTGAGGGATACTGACAGCCAGAAGAACCTGCAAGATTGTTTAAGACCTTCAGCTTTTCACAAGTCTTTCCTTCCGAGAGGAGAGAGAGAGAGAGAGAGAGAGAGAGAGAGAGAGAGAGAGAGAGAGAGATTACTGGGATCGACGGTGGTGTTCGTCGCGGTGCCTGAGAAGTCGCACGTCCCCGGCGCCCGGTTATTTTTCTGGAAATAGCTGTTGGTAGCGTAGGAACAGTGGGCTAGCAGCGAGTTGGGCAGGTAGCAAGCTCCGTTCGCGCTGATAGGGCTGCAGTCACCCCCATGTCCGCAGGCGTAGTCCAGGGCACTCTGGAGGGCATTGTCACTCGCATCGTTCCTACATATGCACCAAATCGCATCTTCCCACAAGAAAACACCGAGGCTTCCCAAGGTGAGCAGTCGGATCACGGAAAGCGGAGAGAGAAGATCCTCGAGAAGGGATTCTCTCACCTGAACCGCCGGCGATGCCCAAGATGAGCATCAACACCACCAGAATCGCCATGGTCGTGGAGGCGATTGAAACGGAGGCGGAAGGTCCAGAGAAGTCCTTCTTCTCTCCTCTTCGGAGCCCTCTCTCTTGCAGGCAGACGACTGCAAGCGAAGGGAAGACGAGGAGGAAGAGAAGGAAAAAGGAGTGGGAAGAATCTTCATGGTGTTTTGGTCAAAATTTGCTACGTCGGACGTTGATCTGTGGAGGCCCACTTAACTTGGACGGTCATAATGCCACGTCGGTGTATCCCAGTGCCCTCCGAAAGGGCCTGGTATTATTTTGGTCCAAATGGGCCGGATACCCATAATGGCATCTATCAGATTAGAGGATAAAACTTACCGTTTTGTGTCTAGGAGTGCGGAGCCCCCAGCAGCGATCACTCTTCGAGAGGTATATAGAGTATTCCTCGCGCCTGCATGCCCCATCGTTCACGTTCCGCGATTCTGCTCCAATCGAGTCGACAAATTTTCCTCTCCATCACCGCCCCGCTGCTGGTCTCTCTGGGGAAAGAGCCCTAGGTTTTTCGTCGAGACTGGTGGAAGTCTCCTGCTGCGGCTGTGTGCGTGGTGTCCTCTTCCGGAGGTTCTGTTCCTGGCAATTTGAGAAATTCTCCTCTTATTTACTCCGTTCTTGCTCTCTCCGTCCATCTGTGTGTGTGTGTGTTTTCTGCGGTAAAAATCCTTGAGTTCTCATCGGTAATCAACGCGTCCATTGCTTCCCGGGCTATCTGTCGCTACCGGCGCTGTGCCAGAGGATCCCATCTATCGGGGGATTGAAACTAAAATCACAGGTTCGGACAGAAAAATTCAACGAACTTGAGGTTGACAAAGGACCACATTTCAAGCCTCGGAAATTGGAGGAGAATGCTGGTTCAGGCTCCCCGCCTGACGAGTTCACTCAGAGGTCATTACGACGTCGACCAGGCGTACTTGGAGAGGAGAACTCTCCTCAGAGATTACAAGAGTCAAAGGTTCCATTCTTGTTTTCTTCTTCTGCGCACTTTTTGTTCAGGAAAGTTGTTCGTTATCGAATTTTCCTGCTGAACGGAAACTTGTTTTAGGCGTTTCTAAATTTTTCATTAGCTTTTTCTCCTTTTTTGTGTACTTGTTTTATTGTATCAGATCGAATGCTGATTCAGAACTTGCTCAGAAGCTGGTCCATGGATGGGACGAAGGTATGCTATTGATCTATACAAGCTGTTAAAACTATTTATACATAGTATGAGTGTGGGAAATCATTTTATTTGCTAAAGAATCACCACCAACGGGATCTTTCCCTACCTTGCCTGTAGTCCCGTTTTGAGTATTAATTCTTACTACTAGTTTTCTCATGCTTAAACTAGTATGAAACTCCACTAACGTTCGAGTGGCAAGGAGATGAAAATGAATTCGGATTTTAACTAATCAGTGTGCAACTTGGTTTTTTAGTTGGATGAGATGGTAATTTTGGAGTTTTTTTTTTGAAATTTCTTACTCAGAGAAGGAAGAAAAGAAAAGGGACGAAACTATTGTGATTTTCCATTTCTGTCAAACTAGGATCTTGATCTTCTTGATCAGGTCTTCACCCTCCCTTCTCACTGGAGCCACCTAGAAAATCCCATTAGAGTAGATTCATGAAAAGTCTTACTTCAATTCACCTCTACACCGGTTTAAATACTGGTTACATCTATAGTGGGCCAAGCCCTCTTATTTTGAGGAAAGAAAGGGAGAGCCCATTAAGTAATCCATAACTGACTCACCTAAGGGCCCAAATGGAAGAGAGACATTACAATAACGAGATCCTAGCTTGTCTGACAATTTTCGTTTTTATGTTGTTGTTATTTCATAAAAGAAGCACATGCTATCCATATTGGGAACCTTTTTGGCAAAAGTCTGTCAAAATGGATGCTGGTTCAACTTTCACAAACTATTGGCAATGTGCCATACCTGTTTTCAGCTGACACAATGCACCTAAAACTTTGGTCTCTAATGTTTCGGATCTTTTACATTCCTGCACATCACGGACCTGGGTTTTTGTGGCCGTATTTTCTAGAATGGAAACCTACCATTTTTCAATTTTTTGATATTCTCAAAATAATCATCAAGAAAATAAACATCATTAGCAACCATTTCTCTAGGAAAGTAGCCTCTAAAGATGAACGTTCCTAGCTGGTTTGTGACATAATCTGTAGAAGAAGAAAAGGATGCAACTGTGTGAGTATTGAGGGTTATTCAAAGCTTTGTAAGCTAAATGACTTTGGATGACGGATGAAAAGTACTCTTTGTACTATAGGTTACGAAGGTAAAGTATTATATTTGATATTATTAATGATGAATTCATCCGTTTATCATGTCCTTTTTATCCCATCCTATCAAGAAACATTATTTATCAAGAGGACTTAATCTCTGCTGCTTCTCTTTTTTAGAATATGAATAGTTGATCTCCCAGATTTTGAGTGGATCATTGGCGGAATGAACATTCACTACCTGAGAAATTTCTTAATTTGTTATGGTTATCTTGATATGAAGAAGAAATCAATTTATAATTTGATAGGGAGGTCGAAAAATTAATGCTAAACATTGAGTTTGTAGAAATACGTCTAATAAAGAAGCATGATAATTTATGGCTCTCTACCAGGTCTTTTTTGCATTCAGCTCAATAATGTCTTGTTGGGAGACAAAGTTGTGGAGATGGATTCCTCGGAGGAACCTCTCTGTAAAATCCAGTTTAATCCTCATGAAGGAGCTGTAGGTTTTGTGGAATAATTTATTTAAGACCCTTCTCTTCCAATCAACCATTGTTTTTCTTTAGAAACTGGCTTATAAATTACCATACATAGTGAGACACTGGATAATTTTGAACCAAGATGTCTAGTAACTGGTGTTTTTCTGTGGTACTTTTACTGTTGGAAAAGTTGTCTTCAAACCTAGAGTGCTATGATACATCACCTCGACAATCACCCTTCGCATCTTGACAATTTATTATATTTCCTTTATCATACCATCATTTTTTTCGGGAAAATGACTATCTTTCTTTCTATGTGTTATTCTATTTGGAGAGAAATAAGCTGATATAGTACATATGCTCGCCATAAGAGAATAGTCTAGAAACTTCTGTAGTAAACACTGGGATAGGAATGGGCTGAACAATATAAATACCCTCCTCTGTGAATAAGAGGGGGTATTGTGGTAGAAAGTCACGAGAGGAAAGGGAGAGTGGGGAATTCTCTCGAATTAATTTATGTCTGTTCATTGTTTTCTCTATTTTCTTTGCATATATTGTTCGTTTTCCTTTCTTTGTCCAAGAGGAGAGAAGGGGATCATATCAACTAGTATCAGAGGAAGTCCCTAGAAGTATGAACCAAGAATTGCAGCAAATCATCTGGAGACTTTGGAGACCGATGCAAAACAAAGCAAGGAAGAACAACGACCTATGAGGGAGGAGCTACAGAAATCAAAGTTGGAATTGGTAGATCTGCTGCAACAATTCCTTCAACGGATGTATGAGAAGATTGACGAATTCAAGAACTCTGTAAGTGAAAATTTGTTAGCATTAGAAAAGAAAGATCCAACAGCAAGTATGGCATCTCAATTAGTCAGAAATTCTCTAGAATCAATTCACGACCAGAGCTACCAACCTTGGTGCTGACTTCGAATCAAATTTCCGATGGAAACAGACAAGCAAGGAAAGGAAATTTAAGCATCTTCAAAGGAGGTAATCCTGAAGGAGAAGAACGAATGGAGATAATCAGCTACACTTGGATGATATTGCATTGGAATGATACATTTGAACTGAGGATCAATATCCATTCAAGAAATGGCAAGATTTTTACAGCCAGCTTGAGAGGCATTTTGGAACTTCTAAAATGGGAAACACGTATCAACGATTTCTTGATATTAAGCAGGAAGGATCTGTATCTGATTATAGACAAGAATTCGAACGCTTCTCTACCTTTCTCCTCAATATTTTAAAAGAAGTCATTGATCAAACATATCTAAAAGGTATGAAGTTGGAAATTTAGTCAGAATTGTCCAGAACAAAACCAGTGGGATTATTAGAAATTATGAACGCCTCATTGGAAAAGCACGTATGCACCTTGTGTGAAGCGTGACATATCAGTCTACCAAAAAAGATAGAATGGAGACACATTAAATATCTGGCTATACATCGAGAACAATAGGATTGCCTATGTCACAAGGAATTCATGTATGAAACGATGAGAGAAGGCCTAATTCTCCTCATGAGTCAACAACTTCAGAAATCATGTATAGATTTCCCTGACTTCCACCTTGAGGACAAGGTGGATTTGAATGGGGAGAGTACTGATATAGTACCCCTAAAGACATGTTCACTGTAAGTGAATAGTCTAGAAGCTTCTGTAGTAAATAGTGGGATAGGAATGGGCTGAGCAATATAAATACCATCCTCTGTGAATAAGAGGGGTATTGTGGTAGAAGGTCACGAGAGGAAAGGGAGAGTGGAATTCTCTCGAATTAATTTCCATCTGTTCATTGTTTTCTCTGTTTTCTTTGAATCTATTGTTTGTTTTCCCTTCTTTGTCCAAGAGGAGAGAAGGGGATCATACCATAAGCTTTGAGAAAATTTTGGAACATAAAGTTGTGGAGACTTCTCTTGCCTAAAATGTTGTAATTCAATCTGTCCTATATTTCATAAATAGAGTGATGACAAACATTATTACCATCCTTTCTGGGAGCCATTTGGTAAATTATTGAATGTGCCTTTGGACTTTGAAAGAAAGTCAAAGTCTGTTAAAAGGCTACTTGTTCATTGGAAATACCTGCCATTAACTATAGCCATTGAAAATTTGCGGCCTTCACTTCTTCAGAAGACCAAGGGATGGGGATTCTTTGCAAATTTCTTCGGTTTCTTTATCCTCATAAAAATTCTATTTTTTCTTGCTAGATCAAAGTCTCTTAGTTTGCTCTTTCATCATCTTTTTATGAGAATTGATAATTTGTGACTTCTAGTCTGCTATATGCCAACTGTTCCTTTCTGTCAGAATTTCGTTGAGATGCTTTCTCTGTATAACACGTAACATCCTTAAATATTCTTTTTGACATTCTCCGTTTTTGTTGTTTTTCATGAAATATTTTTTTCGTTTCTGTGCCATGTTAGCTTCAAGTGATGTTCGGAAAGCTTATAGACAATACCTTGGGGCTGTAGTGGAGTTGATCAACAATGAAGTGGTACATGAGGAATTTCAGGAGGTCGCAAAAAGAATATATAACTTATTCAGTGTTATGGATTTGGACTCTGGCGCCAGTAAAATGATCAATGATAGAAAGTAAGTGTGAAATGTTTTTAAGTTCGGTAGATTCTCATTCTGTATGAAATTTCGTCACATATGTTAGTTGCAAGCCTTTGGTGTGGATTTCTATTTTGTTTACATTTTTTTATTAGTTATGGTGAAGGCTATTCTCACCATGTTTTAGGCATAATTATGCACTGGCCAGTCCTTTTCTGCGACATTGCATTTTCTCACTTCAAATGTATCTAATTTGTTTGATGTGATGGACAAACTTTATTTTGGATTACCTATGTGTCATGTCTGTGAAGGGGAGTAATGAGTTAGGTGCTCTTCGAAATCATTATGCACAGCTTACGTCGTGTATTCGTATAATCTAGAGAAATTTCAGTTATGGAAGATTCTTTTGACATATTACATCAGTTGAATCTTCGTTTGCATGGAAATTTGAAGTAATTTAGATGGTTTTTAGAGGAGCCTCCTTTTTGGAGCATTAATGATAGAAATTTCATTTTTCATTCCATTTTCATTGAAATTTTATGCAGGGAAGAGCTTGAAATACTCCTTGGTTGCCCCATCTCAGAAACGCATCTAAAGAAAGTGGCTTCGTCAGCTAAAAGACTCTTTGCACTGCAGCATAGGAACTATGAGACTTTGGTTTCTGAAGAAATTAGTCCAGACGTCGGTGAAGATGAATCTCGTGAATTTGGGTCTGATCTTTTTTTCCAAGCTCCTGCTAGGTTTGTCGTGGATGTGCCAGGGGAAAGCTGGATGCATTTGGAGGATGGAATTTCCATTACTTCATTTTCACATTTAGAGGAAGATGATAATCATATTAAGACGAGAAACAGTAATTTTGGTACCAACGGGGAAAGTGTGAACTTGAAGTGGCTAAAGAATGCTTGTGATCTGATAGTCCAAGGGGGTGGTTCACAGCTTTCTGGGGATGAACTTGCAATGGCTCTTTGTCGAGTACTTGTGTCAAACAAAGCAGGCGATGAGGTACTTTTCTTTATTTGAAGTATTCCATATGGTTTACTGCTTTATGATGAGGTACAGTAAAATGAAAACCTCTTTCTCTGACTTGTGATGACCTCCATCATTTCTGTTGTTAAGATAGCTGCCGATTTGTTGGATCTTGTTGGAGATGGTGCCATCGAAACTGTGCAAGAACTTCTAATGGTAAGAGTCATTATTTGATCTCCATGAAACAAGCTATACAGTTATTGGGGGAACATGACATTCTCGTTATTTTTTATTTTTGAGCTTTGGAACATCTCAGTGCCAATTTAGACTTACATGCGGTTGATGATCTCTGCATATAAGTCAGTTAAGATGCTTGAATTTTTTACCAAGTTGTTGGATGACTCTGGCATCTGCGTCTAAATGTTAAATAATTATGTGTATTGGTTTGAGTGTTGAAATAATTGACTCACATTCCTCCATTTATTAACCTAAGATGGTTGCTGACTTTTAAAAGTCCACGTCAGGACCATGTCCTGTCTAAAAAATAGGAACTGTGAGAGGAACACGCTCCCCGACTTCTATATGGTCGAGTCTTAAGTAAGAATTATACTGGATTTGTAACGATTTTCCCTACTGCCACACCACCGTTGAGCATTGTCCAATGTCAGTACAGCACAACACGCTGTCATTGAAAATCAGTTACAGTGTTTCAACATTGGCATGATGTTAAACTTACCTTGGTCTATTTTTGGATGGTACAGGTTTCTTTGAAACTAGTGCATGAAGACAATGAAATATTGACAAATAACTGGATCTAATCTTCTTCTTATAAGAACTTTGCAGCTCTTACAGAGACCGAAACTTTGATCTCCCTATTCTTGTTTAGGCATTCCCTGCAAAAAAGTGACTAGATGTCTTCTAATTCATGAGGTTTACGCCAGTAACATTACACACTGGGAAGTCTATTGCTTAAAACCTGTCATCTTTTAACCTTTTCAGTTCTTCACAAAAGCCGATTAGGCTAAAATTAGTCACTTCTTTGGCCCCCTTTTTGGGATCAGTATCAGTTGAATGGATCCCAATGCTTGATTTTAACAGATCTGTCTTCGACATCCTCTACACATTCGTAAGATCCTTTTTAATGATGAAAATGTGGCTAAAACCCCATGACCATTCATGCCGGCTTAGCAATTGTTTGGGCTCTATTCCGAAGACAACATCTTTGACTTCCAGACAATGAAGTTTTACCCTGATGTTTATTACATCTTTCCTGTTTTCTTAGTTGTTTCGTGAAAAAGTAGCAACAATATTTGCTTCTGCTCTCTTTTCTCTTGCTGTTAAATTCAATTGTTTTTAATTCCTCATTGTAAGATCGTCTGCAAGCAGCTGGATCACCAATGCGCTAGTCATATTCTTATCTTTGTAAACACATGCCTAACGAGATGATTGACTGTTTTCATTTCGAATTCCACTGTGTTTTAGCTTGAAAAAACATGCTTTTTGTTTTTCTGTCTATTGTAACGGTCCCAGTTTGGAAGGAATGAATGGCATCGATCTTTCCTATCATAAGATTATAAAACTTACCTTTTCTTTCTGCAGCATCGTAAGGATCTTGCAGATGCCATTCATCACGGACTTCATGTATTGAAATCTGAGAAGCCATCATTCAATGGTCAACCACGGATGCCTAGTTATGGAATCCAGGTATATCTTGCTTCATATTGAAGTTATCTTTAGTCTGGTTTTTTACTTGTATGGGTTTTTCGAATGTTTAATATCTGCTCTTTTTTCAGGTCACCATTCAAACTGAGGCTGAAAAGCAAATTGATAAACTTCGGCGAAAGGAAGAGAAACGGCACAAGCGTGCAGCTGATTATGGGAATGAGCATGATTTTTCTGAAGAAAATTTTCTTTCTTTACTTCAGGCCAGTGAGAGAAAACAACCCTTTGATGACATAATTGGAACTGGCCAGGGTACCAATTCATTTTCAGTTACCACTCTTCCCAAAGGAACAACAAGGCATCATCATAGTGGATATGAAGAAGTTAAGATTCCTCCTACACCAACGGCACCAATGAAGCCCGATGAAAAACTGGTAATGTTTCCTGATGAAGGATGATTTTTTTCTTCTTTTGTTGTTTGTTTTTACTTGGATTGAGAATGTAAGTTTTGACTACCTTTCTCTTCATTTGGTAATCGAGCAGATCACTTAGGCTTTACTGGGCCAAAATACTCTCGATTCTGTTGCATTATGTGGGGATCTACCAAGCCATCTACTGATCTTTTTCATAAACATTCTCGATTCGTATGATTGAAAAAAGTTGATAAATAAGTTATATATGTTCCTTAAGATGATATGACAAGCTGTGATTGAAAATATGTGGTAATTTTTATGTTCATCCACACTCTTATCCTCTAGGTGGTGCATAGACTTTTCATTCGTACTTCAGAGGAGGCACAAAGCATCCATGCATGATATGTGTTTTCGTTTTATTACCACAAATGATGAACAAGCCCTTGTCTTTTTTTATTTTCTTTATAAATTTATTGAAACTTGTCAACCATTAGATTTTAGTCCTTTTTGCAATATCTTAGTCTGACTTAGGTTAACCGTGAGCATGGTTTTGGTTCACTCAACTAAAAATTACATTATTGTCCATAATCAAAGAACATCTGCGTCACCCAGATAGTCTTCCTTTCCATAACAGGAATAATGGATCATGTTAGGGTGGTTCCCTCTCAGTGAGGTTGTCTCTAGGAAGTAAACAATTGCGCACCAACTCCCTGAAGAGTGTCAAATTGTTGCAAATGTTAGCTTTTTAAACAATGATGTCAGTTTTTTTCTAAAAAACAAGGGTGAGATATTTTTAAAATCGAAAGACGGGTGTTTCATCATTGTGGAACCTGGGAACCGAATATAAAAAATTACAGTTGAAAAATTGTAACATTATGTCTCACCAAGGGAATGGAAACCCCGAAATAATTTTGGAAACAAGGCTGATGAAAGGAGTGTAAAATCGAAAGCCTTATTAAGGGAAAATTGAATAAACAACCCGATCTGTTCTTCTTCTCCCTGCTTTTTCCATTTGACCTGGTGGGCATCTCTTTTGGTCCCATCATCCTTTTTTGTAAAAGGAAGTTTTCTTCATGCCTTTATCTGTTGGGGAGAGGTCCGAGTTTCGAAGGAATTGATTTCATCAGCATGCAAATTTTAGTCTTCCACCGCTCTAACCTGGAAATTTCTATCATACCAATCCCCAATTTTATCTTGATAATACTGACTTCTCTGGACATTTGCATCTCCAAGTATAGGTAAAACATCTGACCTCTCTTTCAGAGCACCTGGTCCAACCAACACCAAGGATCTACATCTTTAATAACATTTAGTACGTTTTGATATTTATGCACATATAGCCTATTTATGTCTGGGCTTTAAATTTTACGGTGAACTCTATCCATTGGCAACAGACCTGTCCTGTGGGGAAACTTATCGTATGAATATTGGTTCTAGATTTTTTGAATCATCATGTTGGAATCCAAAGTTTACTATGGTGCAGACTAAATTGTGTATAGAGAAATGTTTTTGAAAACCTCCGGATACCCTTCTAATGTTCCCCAGTGGAATCGCATTTGCTGTGGACATGGGTGACATCACACACAATTTGCTAGTTTTGATATAATCTTTATTTTGGAATTTGGTTGTTTCGACTGTTAGTAAAATTCACTGAGTACATGCAAGATTTATTTTATTTTAAAAAATGATTGTTGAAATGTCAGTATTATAGTTTCTCTAAAGTAGAGAGTGGTATTTACTTGGGTTTCATGAGACCATTGTGATTATGATTTTACTTTTCTACACACTTTTATCAGATTGAAATAGGAGAGTTGGACGAGTTTGCTCAGACTGCATTTCACGGATACAAGTCATTGAATCGTATCCAAAGCTGCATATATCAGACAACTTATCATACAAATGAAAACATCTTGGTAAATTCTATGGTCTTAAGCTCATTATAATTCGTTTTCTTTCCTTCTGTCATCATTTGATTTGTAGTTTGATGAAGAGAATGAAGTAAAGATCCTTACCAAGATGAGCATAATTTCAGGTTTGTGCGCCAACAGGTGCTGGCAAAACAAATATTGCTATGATCGCTGTTCTGCACGAGGTGATTTTCAGGAGCTCCTTTAAGTTCTCATTTTTTCTCAAAGCTACTGCACACGCTTTCATTCCTTTGTTGACTGGAAAACAAGTTGCAGCACGAAGAAATTATCTCTTTGAACACCTATCTACCTAAATTGTACCAAAGATTTGGAATATGGTGCTGACGATCATATGCATCTTTTATGCCACAAGTGCTATAAATCATTAGAGAAATGGTGTATGTTGCAGATTAAGCAGCACTTCCATGAAGGTATTTTACACAAAAAAGAATTCAAGATTGTTTACGTTGCACCAATGAAGGTATACTTTTCTGTTCTTATTACTGTATTTTGTTTTCTACATTATGGTTGTTCTTTATGTGATCTTCCACATCAGGCATTAGCTGCGGAAGTGACATCAACATTTGGTCGTCGTTTGGCACCCTTAAACTTGACTGTTAGAGAACTTACAGGAGACATGCAACTATCTAAGAGTGAACTTGAAGAAACTCAGGTTTGTATCTCTGTCTGAGCAAGTTTTATTATATTGCACAATTGAAGTCTAGCCACTAAAGCTTTTGTTCTGGTGTTCAGATGATAGTGACGACGCCTGAGAAATGGGATGTCATTACCCGCAAAAGCAGTGATATGTCAATGTCTATGCTGGTGAAGCTCTTAATTATTGATGAAGTACACCTTCTAAATGATGATCGAGGTCCTGTTATAGAAGCCCTAGTTGCTCGAACCCTCCGTCAAGTAAGTATGATCAGGCTTTTATATTACTTTATATACTTAGATCGTTTGAAATTTATGGGAAGGAGTGTTTAGAGTTCTTTCATACTTTGAATTTTATCCTTGTAGACTTATATCGAATGATCATTTTAGTTTCTCTTTTGTTTGGTAACTCATCTCTAGGGTCACATCCTATCATCTTTGTTGTAGAGATGCAAACTTCTGCTTATACTGCAACCATCAAAACCATCATGCAGGAACTCATTTAAATGATATAATCGTTTCAATGTACTTCATTGATATGTGTTTCATAACATAAAACATGGAAATCCTTAAATGTGTTTTAAGACATACATCCAAGGCAAGGAATGAAAATGATCTCCTTGAGGCATGATGGTCATCACATTCTCTTGTTACATATGGCTTTGTTAACTAAGGCGGTGGGGTACTTTGTAGTGAATCATAGATGTACTATTAATACTCTCCTTAGGGTTATGATCCAATGATGAAGATTTGTCTAGCTGAAACCCTCGCAATCACGCACCATTTTATCCTTGGTACCAAGGCAACGGAGCTGACTTGAAAACTTCGGTCGTATTTGGTATCTCCTGTTCCTGGTGATGATGTATTCTCTTTACTTTTTGCATCATATGCAGTCATCATCTAGGGCAAGTTCGGTTGTGTTACTCTTCCAGCACTCATAATGTGATGGGTGTGAAGATGCTTGATGTCACCCCTTTTTTGTACATATTTAATGATTTATGTGAAGTTTTTTTTCCTTCAGTGCAATTATTTACTGCAGGCTCAGAACTGAAGTCATAAGTGCCTTTTCTTTAAGAATAATCTATTACGCACCTCGGGTGAGTAAACAGCTCGCAGATGAATCAAGAGGGATAAGGGGAAGATCTTGATGAAGATTCAAGAACAATAAGAAGTGTTCTGAGGTCGGATCGATCCTCAAAATAGATGAGTTCGAATCGGAACTCGTCAGGAGGAGAATCTCCTGTCCATCTTCTAGGTTTTCCCTCCTCCCCATTCTTTAGGGCCTTCTCTATATATATAGGCCTTGGTCCATTATTTTTTAGTGGTCCCCATCAACGTGGGGCCTAGGTCTTCTTTTAAAAACGATGGTGGGCTTCATAATAATACTTTCCCCTATGAGTTTCACCTTATCCACAAGGTGAGATGTAGGGAACTTTTGAAGGAATGTCGATAATGTCATCCGAAATGATTCAAACTTCGGTAGATGTTTCCATTTTATTAGTATCTCTGTGCCTTGAAGAGCTGACCTGTGGTCTATTATTTCTTATGGAATTAATATCCATTCATGATCTTCTGATAATGTTGGGAGAATTTGTTAGCTTCTGTCGTATGTTCTAAGTGTCTTCCTGAGCTGTGTTATATGGAACACTAGGTGGTGAGCAGAATGCTTTGGCAATTGAAGCTTGTATGCCACTGGTCCAATTCTTTTCACAATAGGATGCATACCAAAATAGTAGGGATTGAGCTTTTCATTTTCCCTTTTGGCCAGAGACTTCATCCGATAGCATTTGATCTTGAATTCATAATGGCCATGATGAGTCTTGAATGTAGTCTTGGACACATCCTCTTTTTTTATTCTGATATGATAGTATGCAGACTTCAAATCAAGTTTCGAAAAAACTAATTTCCCATGTAATTCATCGAGTATTTCATCCACTATCGAAATGGGATATGTCAGGAACTGTAACTCTGTTTAGTGCTCTATAATCTACACTAGGTCTAGCCTAATGGTTATGTGAAGGTTGTATGACTTCCGCTAAGATTAACTCTTGGACCAGCTTCTCAATCTCATTTTTCTAGAAGTGGAAGTATTTGTAAGGCCTCAAATTTATAAGCCTTGCTCCTAGTAACAGATGAATGGCGTGGTCAATAGGGCATTTGGGTAGCAACCTTGTCGTCGTTTCAAAAACCTGGGGGAATTCTTGCTTCATGCAGATTTCTAAATCATTGGGTGCTCTAGTGTCATTATTTGAGCAAATATGGTGCAGTTCGACCATGTATTCATTATTACCCTTAACCTCCTCCCTGTTCTTCCCGGTGACATACTTGCTTTTGTGATATTAGGATTCCTCTTGAAAATATGAACAGTGTCTCCTATCATGAATTTCATAATAAACTTCTCGTAGTTGAAGAGAATCCATCCCAAGGTTCTCAACCACTGAATGCCTAAAATCACATCCATGATGCTCAATTCTAGAGGTAAGAAATCCTGTATTATTAAGACACCTTGTGAGTGTAGAGGAACAACTTTGCAAATTTTCGATCTTAGCGCTGTGTTGCCATTGCCCATAACAATATTGTATCCAAATAACTCTTCCATCTGCAACAATAAGTTGCCAATAACTTTGGTGCGCAAAAAATTGAGTTGCCACTGTCTATAAGTATAGATACTTCTGTGTCATGTATTCTGCCCCATGATTTCATGGTGCTTATGACCGAATTTTAGGATACATGCATAGTGAACAACTCCCATCAGTGTTAGTTATGACATGCTCAAACGATTCCCAACTCTTTTTGAGTATCTTGTGGTTACTTACAAGACGCTTTGAGGTAAATGTGTTTCTCTTTGAAGTACCTTCTGTCAAACTCTGATAATCCTTCTTGAAATTGCCCTTGATACTTGCATTCTAGAATTCCCTCCTGTAAGAATCATGATGATCCTGGTGTGGTTCATTCCTTAGAGCCATTTGATTTCCAGTTAACTCATTTCTAGTTTTTCGAAATTCTCAGAGGTGAATCTCAACTTGGATTGATAAATCCATAAGCCCAAGAGGTTTATGAATTGCCAATTTAGACTCGATATTTTGTTTTAAACCCCTCACATATGCATCTTCTAACATTTCAGTGTGTACATGAGGTAGAAAAGTTGCAATACGTTCAAATTCAGCCCTATACTCCCTTACTAAATTAGTTTGTTGGAGACTCATTAATTGTTGCAGTGAACTACCTATTTCGGATGTCTTGAATCGTTTTTTCAGTTGACTCTTGAAGTCATGCCAATCACAAAATGAAAATCGATCCTCTATCTAGAGATACCATTCTAGGGCTTCTCCCTTCATACTTAGCGTAACTTGCTTGAGTTTATCACGTTCTAGCAATGGGTTTAGGTAGAATTATCTTTCTGCACGCTTGATCCATCCCTCTATGTCGTCCCCTTGGAAAACTAATAGTTTTATCCTCTGAGTTACCTGCACCTGGTCATCATGAGAGGTTTGATCTGAATGAATAGTGCCGTGATATGGTTGTCTCGGTTCTTCTCTTGAATCTCCATTGGGATGCGAACTGAAGTGGGTATCTTTTGTGGATAGTTTCTAGGGAATCTAGTTGAGATTTTCTCTTTGTTCATTTAGGGATTGTTCTTGTTTGGCGCATCCTTGCTTCAGTGATGCAATCTCCTCTTCTAACGAAGCCATATGCTCTGCTGTGCCTTGAACGTGGTGAGCATCCGCTGGCCAAGATTGGTTCCAACCTGATTGGTTGGTTGTTCTTTTTGTAGTAGCTCTGAAAAATCTTCCTCCACTGCTCTGATTCTGCGGTAAGCGGTGGAGAAGGTCGGCTGATTGATATTGTGGGAAGAATTACTTCCCGCATTTTCTTGAAATCCATTGCAATCATAATTTAGGATGTATATCTGCCTTCAACCTTGGTAATCTGATCACTTCTAGGGTTGCAGTAACAGTATCTTGCTTCCATAATACCGTGTGCCTATGACAGTTGCTCTAAACTCCAAGAAGCGGCTAGAATGACTGGCTCTGATACCAATGTTACGCACCTCGCAGATGAATCAATAGGGATAAGGGGAAGATCTTGAAGAAAATTCAAGAACAATAAGAAGTGTTTCTAAGGTCAGGTAGATCCTCAAAACAGATGAGTCCGAATTGGAACTCGTCAGGGGGAGAATCTCCTGTTCACCTTTTAGGTTTTTCCTCCTCCCCATTCTTTAGGGCCTTCTCTATATATATAGGCCCTGGTCCATTATTTTTTAGTGGTCCCCATCAATGTGGGGGCCTAGGTCTTCTTTTGAAAACAACGGTGGACTTTGTAACATAATCATTCTTCGTGATTCGTGTCATACTTTTCTTTTACAGTGGGTTGTCTAATTGATCATTTCATTATTGTTATTTTGACTTATTGTTGGTAGGTACTATTTCTTGAACTTTGGAAATAGTTAATTATTTCGAAATAAATTTATTCTTTAGTCTCTATGTGCCTGTTGCATATGCTTTCTGGACATCGTATGTCTTCTTCATCTTAACTGCTCCCTTTGAATTTGCTTCCAGGTTGAGTCATCGCAAACTATGATCAGAATCTTGGGACTCTCTGCGACACTGCCAAATTATCTGGAGGTTTGTTCTTTTATGCACGAGTTTGGGCACTGCTGTAACTTCATTGGTTTCAATCCGTAAGATATTTACTTTCTGAAAATGTTGTGTCTTTGTTTAACTGCACAGGTTGCGCAGTTTCTCAGGGTGAATCCTCAGACGGGGCTGTTCTTTTTTGGTCCTGATTACCGTCCAGTGCCACTAGCGCAGCAATACATTGGCATAACAGAACAGAATTTTGGTAAAAGAAATCAAAAGTTGAATGAAATTTGTTTTTCTAAGGTATCTGAATCATTCTCACTCTTATTAAGATGTGTTGAAGTGTCAAATATTGCTATAGTTTTTTTTATTATGCACAATTAATGACCAGGTTGTGGAGTCATTGAAACAAGGTCACCAAGTGATGGTTTTTGTTCATGCTCGCAAAGATACTGGGAGAACCGCAAAGACGATGGTATATTGTGATGTTTTGTTGAAAAGTTGTTTATTTTTAATCATGTGAACTTAGTATGCTGTATTACTCCTAAATCATGCGTGAGTGCACGTTGCCAATATCACTCAACTGAATCCCGGGTAAGCACACTGTTTCCCTTTGCTTTCTGGATGTCTTGAACAGATATTGACTTGATCAAACGCCTTGTCCTTTAAATTGAAATGTTAATAGTTCTCTTGTAGCATGTAAAACAGTGGTGTTGTTGTGCAATATTGCTTTTTTCGTTGTCTCTCTACATGAATATTAAGTTATTTCACAGAGAAAATTATCTCAATGTAAACCTGAGATGGATCTCTGCATTAAAAACGGTCTAGAGATGAAGGGAACTCGTGAACTTAGCTTTTACCCTTTAGAACCTCTTTTAGGTTCTAATTGATGTCTTTGTTAGTTTTTCCAGTTTTATATGACATCTTTTCTCGTATGATGTGATGGAAATTCCAATTGTAGATTGTTTCTTACAATCCTTACGTTCTATTGAAACAGACCGAATTTGCACAGAAGGAAGATTGTGTAGACCTGTTGAAGAACGAGGAACACCCTCAATTTCACCTGATTAAGGTTGCTCAATTTTCATTATTTATGTTTTTTTTTACAATATATAAGGTAGCATATCTCATTTAATCGTTGCAGAAGGAGGTTAACAAATCTAGAAACAGAGAACTTGTTCAATTATTTGAATTTGGCATTGGTATTCATCATGCGGGGATGCTAAGATCTGATAGAAACTTGACTGAGCGTCTTTTCTCTGATGGTCTATTAAAGGTATGTTTATGCGTTATTTTGATTTTTCTGTATCTCTGACATTAGATTTAGCACGCTACACTTTTATTGTGTTCTAGGTTCTTGTGTGCACTGCAACTTTAGCTTGGGGAGTAAATCTACCAGCTCACACTGTCATCATAAAAGTAAGTTTTATCAAGGCTGTCACATTGTCATGTTTTGCAATTTCTTGATCCTCCAAGGTAATTGTTAGTGTGTGCGTGGTAATAGCTTGGATCAATGCCAGCTAGAAGATATTTATCCGAAGATTATCCAGTAGTTGTGTTCATCCATGTTAATATGACACGTAGATATTAATTTGATTTGAGTATCTTCGAGAAGGCCCACTAGTTTTTTCCTTGGCTTGAGTAAAGAAAAAAAAGGAATAGCCTAGAAGGTACGTTAGATTGAACCTTGGGTGTCTGAATGTTCAGAATTGCTCCCACCTTGGGAGCCTAGTCGTAGAGAGTGGCTAGCCAGGCCTTCCCAAGGAGACCCCGATTTTGATAGTGCATACCCTTTTGTGTTCAATACACAAAAGCAATAGACTCTCTACTACTAGGCTGAGATGATGCCGTTTTTGTCAGTGTAAACTTTTCTCAACTGTAAGTATATGGTTGTGCATCAACTATAACACAAAATTGCTTCTTTCAATAGAAGCAAAATCGTACATGAAGACACGATCTACAGTCTCAGCCACCAGATTATGAGGCGTAAAATCGGTTGTAAGTTATTGACAGCGAAAAATCAAAAGGCATACACCACAAGAGGGAACGCAAACTTTATAGTGATTTGGACAATCTTAGATCTACTCCACTCCCAAATCTCTCCTCTATATCAGTCAAAATCTGATACAACCAAGTTGACCTTATTAAGGTACCGATTAAGCCTCTTTAAAGCCTTACTCTGTAAAAAACTTAAAGAAACAATTGTGAATGAAATATAACACTTACAACTCTTCTTATATGGATCAGGATGTCATTGCAAACAACCCCTCGCTTAGACAGGGTGCCTTTGCAATATTATGAGCTGATGGTACTTTTAGGATTTCCAAGATTGATTCATAGAAGCTTGAGAATCTCTCCGTAGTCTTTTATAGTTAAAGACTCTCCTCAGGCTGTGGCAGAGGGTTGCTCCTCCAACAGCTAGAAAACAGTGCGATTCACTGTTTTTTTGGCTTCATTTGAGTAAATTAGCTATTGGAAAATCACCAGAGTCAACCTTTAAAAGTATTAGGTTGACTCTTCAGACCCATGTCATTTTCAAGAGTTAACCCTTTTTTTGGGAGTTGGCGCTTCATGCTTTTCTTCAACCGCAAGGGTCAACTTGAGAGTTGATCTCTGTGAAATTGGTTGCTAGTTTTCCTCTCACATCACCAGAAGGTTGACTCTTTTGACCAAGCTTGATAGTTTTGCCATAGTTTTCGTTGGAATCGACTCTAGAGTCAACTTCAATGAAAGCTTGCTAGTTTTTTCTTCTATTACTCACGGGGTTGATATTTTAGTTTAGATTTAAGTGGAAATTAAATTTTGTTTTCTTTTATATATTGTCTTTTAACTGTGAAGTATCAATTCTTTATCATAAAGCCTTCATTTTTTTGCCATTTCTCTCTTATAAAGCCTTAGCCTTCATTTCCTTGCTTAAAACTCATGCAAAATATCAACACATTGTGTAAACATTGAGTTTTTTTAATAATCATCAAAATTCATTTATTGTTTTCTACAAATGGGATTTTCTTGTTTTTCGTCAACTCACAACTTTTCTGATGAAACATCCACCTAGAAAAACCCAAATCTCCAAGGTTAGTGTTTGCATACTATTTGACTTGTTCATACTTCATCTCAAAAAGGTTTTTATATGCATACATTCCCTTATCACTTTGTTATCCTTTTTTGAGGGCCAGGCTTGCCCATTTAAATTAGTTCTTCGTTTTCTTCTTCTTTCCATTGCCCTGTGGATTAGGCAAACACGTCTCCTTTGGGTACATCAAGATTTATACTGGCTCAATAATTAAGTTGTCCTGTTGTCCTTTGGCCCATTATAATGTTGCTCTAAAGTGTTGTGCTCATCTTCTCTATCATCCATGTGTCTCAATTGATGTTCATCGTCCAGCATTTGCTAATTGTTACACATTAAATCAAGCACCAGGAAGTTAATTACTAGTTTTTGCTTGTCAAACACCACAGCAAGTATATCAAAACATCAATGCGTCATGGGAATTCATGTCAATTATGTCTCAACAGGACTTGCAACTCTTGACTTTTTTGAGTTCACCACATTATTGTTTATCTTAAGGAGTCTATAATTAAAACCAAGATGTGGGGTGAATTAATATTTCGTTTGTGTTTAGGGTTAATCGTTTTAGATTAAATCATTACATGCGAGGTGTGTTGAGTCAGATCAACTCATTTTGCTAGTGGAAAAATAGACTTAATGATAATGTAGTGGTTAGGCTTCCAACTAACTCCACCCTAAAAAGGTTCTAATATTTCTTAGGAGTAAAAATGCTGAGCATTGAAGCATCAGGTTGTTTAAACATTATATTTCTTGCTCTAGGTAGTTTGCCATTATACATCTGGCGCTAGGTCACCATTTCTAGATTCACAACTTTAAAATGAAGCCTATGTACTCTCAAGAGATCCATCTAATTATATCTTACCACCATAAAGATCCTGTTCAAATAAGAAATGTGAGCATATCATATAGATTTGAGAACTTTAACATTTTTAACTTGTGAGAACATGGGCCAATGGATAGATTTTCAAACTTTTTGCAGCATCTGAGTCTCTCATATAAAATCTCTTGCGCAAGCAGGGTTTACAACTAAATTTGAAACCAATTCCATGTATATAGGCATATCTTCCCATTCTTCATAGCCCAAAAGGCTGGTAATTCGCTGCTCGTAGTCATTCCAACAGCATATTTGCTGGTGTTGTTGTAGCTTGTTTTTTGTTTATTTTGTTTTACTGAATCTTTGTGTATTGGATGAGGGAAATTAATTTTCTAAAATAACGAAAAAAAGGAACAAAACAGCCAGAATGAATTCCAAATTTTTATTAGATATTTCTTTAGAGTAACTACAAACTAATATCCTTATAAAAACATTTTAAATTTTGTAGTGTAATAATATAAATTGATTATTTTATATAATATGAAACAATATAAAACGTTTTGATCAATATCGAAACAATATTGACTCAAGAGTCAGTATTCGTTATGCTCCCGAATTGATGTCATGACTAAATAGTGTTACTTCCTCTAAGCACTTGATCATCATGCATGTTATAATATTTTTGGGTTATTGTATGCAATATGCATCCTGTTTTCTGGCAGATTTTCTTGTTTATGTTTGGCTCTTTAGGATGTTGGACATGTCCTTATTTTTTCCATCCCTCAGTAGGGATTGGAGGTCCGCACGACCCATGTTTCAATTAATTTTTTCGCTGGTGTATTCTGTGTAAAATTACTGTAGGGAACCCAAATATATGATCCGAAAGCTGGAGGATGGCGGGATCTTGGCATGCTTGATGTTATGCAGGTCAGATGCATACTGTCCCTTCCTTTTTTGAAAGGCTACCATTCATTATAGCTCTATTGTGAGAAGATATTGTTTGTGCAACATTTTTGTTTTTAGATATTTGGACGTGCGGGAAGACCTCAATTTGACAAAAGTGGAGAAGGAATTATTATCACGACTCATGATAAATTGGCTCATTATTTACGGTTGCTGACAAGTCAACTCCCCATAGAAAGTCAGGTGCTATTTTATTTCCGCGTTTAATTAATTGACTTACAGAAGTTTTCCATTTTCAATGTTTAATCCTTCGCTTCTCTGTTATCTACATTCTCAACATGGGACAACTTGAAACATCTACGACATACCTTAGAATTTATGCTAACAGTTTTTAACTTTATAATTTCCCTGTAATCTTTTTTGGTGTTCCAATCAGCTTTCATAGACCACTGCATCCTTTATCAGCCTGTGATGTCTTGGTGTTTTTAGTTGTTTCATTTTCATTCAGCATTCATAGGTTCATCTGGCAAACACTGCCTTCACATTTTCTTTTTATGGAGTTTGTGTCATACTGTTTTGTAACTCTCTGAGATATTAAGTTCTGAGTTGGTGCTCTTCTTTGTCCCATCTATAGGATATCCATTCCCATGCATGAATTAGTCATGTTCTGAATTATATAGTAATTCTGATTTGTTCAATCTTCATGAAACATGCAGTTCATCAGTGCTTTAAAGGACAACTTGAATGCAGAGGTAGCCTTGGGAACAGTGACTAACGTTAAAGAAGCTTGTACTTGGCTTGGGTACACATATCTGTTCATAAGGATGAAGACCAATCCTTTGGCTTACGGTATTAGCTGGGATGAGGTATTGTATAACTTGGGCATTCTCGAATGGTGGACAATTGATCAAATACTTTGTAATGCTTATAAAATGACTGTCTTGGGTCAAGGAGAGAGGAAATTTTTTAAAAAAATTAACGTGTTGTTTAACCAGGTTATATGACATGCTAAATAAAAAAGCGTTTTTTATTGTCAAATAATGACATCCACGTTGTGTTCCTTCTATTTACTGTTTCTCTGTAATTTTCTTTAATTTTAAAATTCTCTGTTTCGTCTTCTTGAGAGTATCACTTGTCTGGGCAAGCCAAACTTTAGTTCGGTTAATCAGCTCTGACATTATGGCTGACGGTTCTCCAGTCATCCCTTGAGAAATTTGGATTGGTCTCAATTGTTTCATTTTTAAAAAAAGTAAATAAACTGTACAATGTGTAAGTTAAACTTAAATCACCTTGGTGTCAATGCCTACAGGCATTCTCGAGTTAAATTCACTTGCTTTGCATCCATGAGATAAATGCATGAATACGTTTTTTACATTATAGCGTCTTTACAATTAGGAGTAGGAGGAAGTGATGTCTTGTTGTGTATTTTATTTTATTTCGTTTTTTTCATTTTAAGTATGATTTTGCCATTTGTATGGATGTTTTTATGACATTCTTTCCTTGGACCCGATGATGATTTGGTTTGGATAGCCCATGGCTGACTATGTTGGCCAGTCCCGTTGTTGATTATGCTCTCACTCTGAATCCGTCCATCCAGTTCACCTTCGTAACCAAAGAGTCACTTTACCAAAGAATAGTCAAGTACAATATAACAATGTTGGGCTGGGACACTAGTACCATCCGAATCTCACCCTTGGCTTGTAGTCTTGGGAGCTTCCGCAATCTTCTGTTTGGCGAATCAAGGCTCATGTTTCGATAGAGAACAAAGTCCCTGGGAAGAACCGTAATAATTTACTAGTTCAACTTCAAATCAATTGAATTTTATGAAAGTTCTTTTCTGTGAAAAGAGAGTAATTGTGGAATGCTCCTTATTTTTTTGTCATTGTGGTCAATTTGCTTTGGATCATCATGATGGGATTCAATTGTATATTCTGGCTCAATTTCCGAAGTTATTAAAATGCGTACTGGTTACACGTATGTACTAACTGGCACTTGGGGAGACAATTTTTTATAAAAAGTGAGCTAAATTGGGAGTTTGGAGGGTGCTTGATAGTCTAACTCATGTCTTGAAGACCGGAACCTAATCATTATGATTTTATAAAGAATTTTATCATCAAATTTTATTTTGATGATGTGACTTGATTTTTGAGCCAGATTTCTGGTCTTATTTTGGGTCTGTCAGAGATTTGACTCCCAATCTACGTGAGATTCGTTTTGAGGCTTATAAATTAAGACTTTGGAAGAGAGTAATTTTTTTAAAAGAGTTTAATTATCACATGAGTTGGATGAATGGTTTTAATTTTGAAGAATCAGTTTAATATGATGAGTTTTCTCACTTTCCCGATCTAAAAGTGATACAGTGGAGGACAGCCCTATTTGAAGATTGTTCCCTAAAATACTTGATTGTCCTGATATCACTTTTCATATTCTGAGATATATAAGTTCAATGCACTCTTTCAGGTCATTGGGGATCCTTTGTTGATTTCCAAGCAAAAGTCTCTTGTAACTGATGCTGCACGTGCACTTGACAAAGCCAAAATGATGCGGTTTGATGAGAAAAGTGGAAATTTCTATTGCACTGAACTTGGTCGAATAGCCAGTCACTTTTACATTCAGTACACAAGTGTTGAAACTTACAATGAAATGCTTAGGCGCCACATGAATGACAGTGAGGTAATTGATGGAATTTTTAATTTCTAATTTATTATCAAATAATATTTTTTAAAGTTTACCATTATCTATTTGCTTCATTTCAGATAATTAATATGGTGGCTCATTCCTCGGAGTTTGAGAATATTGTTGTCAGAGATGAGGAGCAGGACGAGCTTGAGAAATTGGTTAAAACATCATGTCCTGTGGAAGTTAAGGGTGGTCCTTCTAATAAGCATGGGAAAGTTGCAATCCTTATTCAAGTGAGATGCTTTCTTTTTGTAAGCCTTGCTTGAATCAAACTTTCGGTAGCGTTTATCATTAGTGTTTGATATGCACTTAAACGATTTGCAGGTGTACATATCAAGAGGTTTTATAGACAGCTTTTCGTTGATATCAGATGCAACTTATATAAGTGCAAGTTTGGCTCGTATTATACGTGCACTATTTGAAATCTGTTTGCGGCGAGGATGGTGCGAGTTGACATCTTTTATGTTGGACTACTGCAAGGCTGTGGATCGGCAAATTTGGCCACATCAACATCCTCTCAGACAGTTTGATAGGGATTTGTCAGCTGATGTCTGTTCTTTAGTTTAATACTCTACCCCGTTGCACTTTTCTCAATCATGATGTAAACTAAACTTGTCTTTTTATTTGTATTTCAGATCCTGAGGAAGCTAGAAGAGAGAGGTGCAGACTTGGATCGTCTTTATGAAATGGAGGAGAGTGACATTGGTGCACTGGTCCGTTATATTCCTGCTGGGAAGGTATTCTTCTTTGGCCACGAAAATTTTTTTACAGCCTATATATAGTATAAAATTGACTTAGACTTTTTATTTTTTTTTATTTTTTTTTAATGAAAGCTTGTCAAGCAATGCTTGGGGTATTTTCCGTGGATCAACTTGTCTGCTAACGTCAGCCCAATTACTAGAACTGTTCTCAAGGTATTCTTTGCATTGGGGCTCAGTCTAATCGCATCTATATTAATTTAGGTTATCATCATAGATCTAATTTTGTATTACCTGGTAATCTCAGGTTGATTTGGTTATTACTCCAGAGTTTGTTTGGAAGGACCGTTTTCATGGAGCTGCCGAACGTTTTTGGATCCTAGTGGAGGTAATAGGAATTGCAGTATTATATTATGTGATTTTTTTGTGACATGTGAGTATTATATTGTTTTCCACTATAACTCAGTGGTTCATTTTTAAGAAAAATGTGTATGATCGTTTTCTGCAATGGGAGGGTTTTCTTTTTTCCTAACTTGATCAATAATCCAAGACGTTGTCTGATGCGTGGTTGCTTCGTAGCTGATCATGAAATGTAAACTTAGAGACAGGTTGTAAATGGGATTAAAATACAAATATATTTTTTCTCTTTTATTGTCTAATTTTCGGGTAAACAGGAGTGTAATTAGAGAATCAATTTTGTGAGAGGTTACTGTCCCCAGTTCCGTGAATTCTGCTTTTCACTATGTGAATTAAGTTGTGATATATTAAATGTGTTGAGATCGCAGATTGAATGAGACAATTAGAGCACAGGCATAATGATACTCAGGAGTGAGTTATTTTGTTTTCATCAACCTTTTGGTTCTTGATCGAATTTTCGATTTGTCTGTGATTAAAATTGTTCACCACTCATTTGAAAACCTGATGTCCATATATCATCCTGATCTGATGTGCATACAAGACAGTGTTGCAACTTGTCAGAGGTCTTAGCTTAACCACCATTAATTTGACAATTCTGATCTTCAGTAAGTTGATACACTCAGATTCGTAGCCAAAGTTGTTGGCTGTGCATTTTTTTTTTAATCTGTAGATTCGAATTTATGGACCTCCTGAGATGATAACGCGTGTTTGTTATCCTGCTTCCTTATTTCTGAATATTAGCTTTTTTTGTTGCTTATTTACCTTTACCTTCTTCTCGTCCCCCACCCATTCTGTCTCACCCTAAATGGAATGACTCTCCTAGTTACTTTTTATCACATGCAAACGGAATCACCCAAAATGCTTCCTTTTTTATCTCTCCTAGTTGTTGACCCGAGTCGCAAGTCCACTTTATCCGCCCACAACCTGGTTTTGAGAGACACTTTTGGACTTTGCAATAATGCGACCCTTCCCCACACAGATGACCTGGGATGGGTTCTTCGTAGCCACATTATGCCGTTTGTGTTGAACTCTCTAGGATTGTTTTTCCTTTCTATCTGTTTCTTTTCACTGTATTTTCGTCCTTCTCTGTTAATCGCTATGTTAAGTGGATCCATTAGATTGTTAACGGATCCACTTAAAGACATGCAATGGGCCTGGCCCATTAACTCATGTAAACTGTACTCAAGCGGGAAACCAAGATAATTGATGTAAGATTTTGGGATTGCGGAAATTCTGCTCCAAGAAGTGGTGACTGATTCATCTTCCTGAAAGAGGAGGATCGTGAAGATCGTATCCTTTCATTCTCTAAGTTGCAGGAATCTCAATCAAGATCAATTCTCAACAGTTTGGTTTAGATTAAGCATTATAAGAAATTCTTACCAATGAATGAACCGGCAAAGAAATTGTTAGAATTGATGATCTAGTCGAGTTAGCTCTAGCTTCCTAACAAAAATAAAGATAATTAGGGGAGAACGCGGGAATAAATGAGTGTGTGACTTGTTATAATCGAAAATGGATCTGTCATCTTGATAGAGATGATTCTCCCTCGTCAGATATGTATATTTATTCTAGTCTTCTAGAGAACGGAATATATCAAATAGATCAAGAAAATAAATATTTTAACTATGATTCATGCCTACTATTCAAACCTTTTAGCTATAATGAAGATCTCAAAGGTCTTATCGCTCTTCTGCTTCAGCTGAGGCCAATGTCGATGTCCTATCTTTATAATTCTCCATCTGCAAAAGCACGAAGACGAAGCTACAGCACAGAGCGCCACCCCCCACAACTGAGATAGACAGATATATAGATAATGAATTTGGAGAGAGAGAGAGAGAGAGAGGAAACTAGTGGAAAAAAAGGAAAAAGATCTAAGTTGAGTGCAATGATGGATGCGTGTGTGGTTCAGAATATTTCCCACATCAAGACAATGTGATAAAGTCAAGTTCTTCTTTTGGTGCCTACTTTGAATGTTTTATAATAATGTGTTCTTAAGTTTTGGTGATGACTGGCATTGCATTATTGCATTGTGTCTCCCCATCTCAAAAGTCTATAGTTTTCTTTTCATGCGTTGAGTATGATTCTATTTCAAATTCTCATTTATTTTGGAACAGGATTCCGAGAACGACCACATTTATCATTCTGAGCTTTTCACATTGACAAAGAAGATGGCGAAGGGAGTAACTCAAAAGATTTCGTTCACTGTACCAATCTTTGAGCCACATCCGCCCCAGTATTTTATTCGTGCTGTTTCTGATTCCTGGCTGCATGCAGAGGCATTTCATTCAATTTCTTTCCATAATCTCACATTGCCTGAGGTAATTTGTTTCCTGTTTACTAATGTGTTTTTGATAATATATCGTGTCAATAATCAATCGAGCTTCTTTCAGACTCAAATGTCACACACGGAGCTTCTTGACTTGAAACCTCTCCCCATAAGCGCTCTTGGAAATAAGCATTATGAAGGCCTTTATATATTTTCACACTTCAATCCAATACAAACACAGGTCTGTAATATAGTGTGCTTTTCTACTGAGAAGTTTGTTGATTCTCTCTTTCACTGGCGATTCACTTCATTTTTCTAGTGGTCGACTTAATACTCCAAAATAACTTTTTTCAGGCATTTCATGTGCTGTATCACTCGGACAGTAATGTTCTCTTGGGTGCACCAACAGGAAGCGGAAAAACTATTTCAGCTGAATTAGCAATGTTTCGTCTGTTCAACACGCAGCCAGATATGAAGGTATATATACATTGTAGCAATACTTTCAGAGGAATAGATTCGAACTGTATTAATATAACACTCTCGCAGGTCATTTACATTGCTCCTCTGAAAGCACTTGTTCGTGAAAGAATGAACGACTGGAAGAAAAGACTAGTTTCTCAACTGGGCAAGAAAATGGTATGATATGAACTTTTTAATGTAATAGAACAATAAGAAAAAATGTGTAAGTGTTTATGAAGGCGCAACTAAAAGAGCGTTGATGTTAGGTTGAGATGACTGGTGATATTACTCCAGATCTAATGGCACTGCTGTCGGCTGACATCATAATATCCACTCCTGAGAAATGGGATGGTATCAGCCGCAGTTGGCATAATCGAGCCTATGTGATGAAAGTGAGTCTCTTAAAACCCTTTCTTACTTAGAACTTTCGAACGTGGGCTGAAAACTAGCTGATTCCCGCTACTAATGTCGAAGATAACTTACTGTTACCTACCTTTCCTTTATTTATTTGTAGATAACAGAAAGGAAAAGCTTGTGTTACTCGTCAACTTGTTGATTTTCTCTCATCATGAGAGTTGTAACCTGTGGTAAATTAAACTGAGTTAAATCTAATTAAATTGAGTTGGTTAATGATTGCTATCTGTTTGCTATGTTAATTTTTTTTCACCATCATGCTTTTCATGTTCGAATCGTCGTAAAATTATTCATTTTTGCGCAAATTTAATCATTGGGAACCTATTGTCTATAGTTGTATTTTATTTTTGATGTGCAAAAAACTCATTGGTATAGGTAGGACTAATGATTCTGGATGAAATTCACTTACTTGGAGCCGATCGGGGACCCATTCTTGAGGTATTTCTTAATGAAATCTTCTCATATAAATTCCATGTTTCAATGTGGAAGCTGAAATGCATGTTCTTTTTAGTGTAATATGAGAATTATTTTTATTTTTCTCTTTGATCCTAACTGTATCACTTACTTTGTCAAAGCATAAGTAGATTCTATGATTTGGTGAAAGTTAACATAAACTGTCTGGACAATTACTTTCCCCTCTTTGAAACAAGAAAGGAAAGTGGAGTTCAGAGTCTCATCTACTCATTCCGAATATGGGGTTACTTTTTGGTGGTTGGATAGTATCAGGTGTTCGTGAAAATTAAAAGAAAAATGGGTATACTAGTAGAGTGGCAATTCTTTATAAAACAAGCCTGTACATAAACATTATAGACGACACTAATGTGATATATACCAAATTACGCATAGCTCTCCCAAAATGATGCAATACAACTCTCCACCTTTCAAAAATTTGTCATTAGATTCCGCCTCACTGTTTGATCTTCCCTGCTCCTTGCAGTTCAGATAGCTGATTCATCTTGCATGCCCATGATTCCACCACATCACTATGCTTGTGTTGCTTGAGCCTCGTGAAGCTCTGCACCTGAAGTTGCTCTCCAATTTGAGTACCATACTGTGTCGTGACACATTCTACAGCCTAGGCTTCCTGCTAGGAACTTCAACCACTGTATGTAGGGCACTACTCGTCTTAGTTCACTTTTTTTGCTATATCATATCATGGGCTATAGTTGTCTTTAGCAGACAAGAAGTACATGCTTCCTGATGGTATCTTCCCCAAGCTACCTGTTTAATAACAGTGAACAGTATCTTCAACCAACACCCTCTCGTTTGATTGCTTACCCATGGAATGACATTAGTATACTAGTATGCTTAATCCAGTTGACTCCTATTTTCTGCATCTACAGTTCCTCTTTACGTGATGCAATGCACACTGCTCTATGCCGCACTAGACTTTCAGCACTAGGTAGGATATGTCTGTAGCAGCGGATATAATTCAGTAATGGAAAATTGGTAGGTTGAGGCACCCAAATATCTTTAGAGTTATCTTTTTTTTTTTGTTTGATGATGAAATCGAATAGAAAAATCTGGCATCTTGGTTTTCTTTATGGTAATGATTATATGATATTTTTCCTTCCTGTATTCCGTTGGGCAATTTGTGGTTATTTAAGTATCTTTCTTACTCTAATTAGCTTATGCTTTAGAATTGATGTATATTTCAGGTTATTGTCTCCAGGATGCGTTATATATCCTCACAAACAGAACGTGCAATACGTTTCATTGGCCTATCAACAGCTTTAGCAAATGCTGGGTACACTGTTATTTCGTTCAGTCATTTGGAGTTTTCATGAATATTTTACTGAAGTAGATGCCACCTTAAAATTCTGGTTTCCTGGCTAGCCTGTGATCGTCGTGAGCTGAATGGAATATGCGGATGATAAGACAAACTTTTAATGCAGCAAATAGCTGTGCAATCCGTACTTTGGCCTTGAGTTGCTTATTTGTCTAATTTGATAATGTTGAAAGGTTTCTATCTTTTTAAAGGTGACTAGAGTGATATGCGGATGCTGAAATACGTTCACACCTGTGGTATTTTCATATGCAGTTATTTTCGAAAATGGCAGCCGTAAAAATTTACAATTTAGTTAAAACAATGTTTTGTAATTCACCATAATCTATGTAGTAATTAAATGGGACTCTTGAAATATGTAAATCCAATAAGGATCGCGCATTTCTTGCTGGAAATTTTTCTCATAGATATAAGGTTTGTCTAAAAGCATATAAATTATATTCATTGCAAGATAATTTATTGAATTATTTCAATGTTCTCTAGGCGTTTAATGTCTTGTCTATATTTGTTTCTGTTGAAGATAAAATCATGTCTGATGTGCTGAATCGTGACGACGGAGCCTGCAGAGAAAAATACTCTTATTTGAAAGGAACACAAAAAATTACATTTCAGAGTGTGTCTGCTATTTATAACAGACCCTGGAAGGTTCTGGAGACAGTCACATAACTCGAAATATACAAGGCACATCTCGTCAACACTCACCCTCAAGCTGACGAGTGGATGTCATCCATTCCCAGCTTGAGAATAATCTCTTGTAATTGTGTGTGCCTGAGATGCCTTTAGGAAGCATATCCGCTAGTTGATTGTGTGTCAAGATGCATGGCATACAAATCAAATTTCGTCTGTTCTCTTATTCGAATGGAACAACGAAAGTTACATTTCAAAGGGAGTGGACACATTCTCTTATTCTCTTATTCTCTTATTCGGAAGGTTCTAGACACAGTCACGTAACTCAGATATACTAGACACATCCTGTCAACAGTTTTTACACATTATCCTATGTGTCTTACATGCTATATTCCAAATGACCCATACGTTATGCGTTTTGGAGTATGATTATTTTTATATTAGTCAGATGATTATTGGAAGCTTTCTTTGTTTTCTTCTGTGTTGACCTTGTCATTTGTGATTTCAGTGACTTGGCCGATTGGTTGGGTGTTCGAGATATTGGGCTGTTCAATTTTAAGCCTAGCGTGAGGCCTGTGCCGCTTGAAGTTCACATACAGGCAAGCTAATGCATCTATTAATGGCCTCTTGTATATTTTTTAGATGCGTCCTTAGTTTGTCAGTCAGATACAAGCTACGGAAGCTGGACCTTCCACTTCACTTGTATGATTATGTTATGCTGGGCCAGACTTATCGATTTTACCTAACAATTACTTTAACCTAGCTTCACGAACATTTATTCAGTTTTATTATCCAGATGATGCAATAAGTATCAATGTTTGCTGGATTCTGTTCATTGTTCCTTCCATTTTCCTTGGCCTTTTTGACATTCAATTTTTATTGTTTGGTTTCCTTGTCATGTGAGCCATTTTCTGCATAATAAGCATGTATTGTGGATATTTAAAACCGACAATAATCTTGGGGTTTACTAATCATTAATGTGTGGAACTTCAAAAGATGTAAAATTCTGTTTTTCTCTAGATTTTTTGACTTGCGTAGATATTATCATATTTTCGTAACTTGCGAATTTGTGGGTTTCTGTATGTGTAATTGGTGCTATAACTATGCAATCACAAGTAAATTGCCCTTCAAAGGAATTCTTTCACGAGTTAATTCAGCATCTGATGTGTGAAATCCTAAATGCATGTCCAACAAACAGGGTTATCCAGGCAAATTCTATTGTCCAAGAATGAACAGCATGAATAAACCTGCATATGCTGCTATATGTACACATTCACCTTCAAAACCCGTCCTTATTTTCGTTTCATCTCGTCGGCAGACACGGCTTACTGCATTAGATCTCATTCAGGTATTATTTTTCACCAAATTCTGAGAACAAACTGGTCCACGGTTTCCTATAAAATGTGTTGGAATCAGTTTCTTAGTTTGTGCAAACATAAATTTAGTTTGCAGCTTCAGATGAACGGCCAAGGAAGTTTCTAAATATGCCAGAGGAAGTATTGCAAATGGTTATTTCACAGATAACCGACAGCAATTTGAAGCACGTTTTACAATTCGGAATTGGGCTGCACCATGCAGGACTTAATGATAAAGATAGATCTTTAGTTGAGGAACTCTTTGGAAATAATAGGATCCAGGTATTTTTTGACTCTAGTTATTAGTTTCGTATTATTTCATAATATTTTTCTTTTTCAGAAAATAAAGAGATTTCCTTTGTTTTGTCTTGGACGTATTTTACGAGACACAGGTATTGATCAGTACAAGCACTCTGGCATGGGGTGTGAACCTTCCTGCTCACTTGGTCATCATTAAGGTGATGATTTTTTGAGTTTATTTTCCCATAATAATACGTACTGTACATCTGCCATGGAATATTCATTTCTTAGTGTGTGCAGGGGACAGAATACTTTGATGGAAAAGCAAAGCGATATGTTGATTTTCCCATAACAGACATTCTGCAAATGATGGGCCGTGCAGGTCGACCACAATTTGACCAACATGGGAAAGCTGTAATTCTAGTTCATGAACCTAAAAAGAGCTTTTACAAGAAGGTCAGTATGGAATGGATCTAAGTTGAGGCCTGACTTTTTTTTGATTTTCTATTCTAACACCTCTCATCGTATTTTCAGTTTCTTTATGAACCGTTCCCAGTTGAAAGCAATCTGAGGGAGCATTTGCATGATCACATGAATGCAGAGATTGTGTCTGGCACCATAAGTCACAAGGAGGATGCAATCCATTATCTCACCTGGACTTACTTTTTTCGCCGATTGGTATTCATTTTTCATTTTTCCTCTACATTGGGTGAACTGATGGAACATAGGGGAAACTTTTCTGTTTAGTTAAAAATATTGACTTGCCTCATTTCACCTGCTTTTTCGGTAAATAAAATGAATTGAAATTGTGGATGACCTTTAAAAAGCATGTGTGTTTTTTTCCTGTAGATGTCCTTGTTTTCCCCGAATTTTTGTTCATTATCATATTTCTCATACTCTTGACAAATGAAGGTTATATCTGAAAAATATGTTTCTCCTCTGCACCTGGAATGGAAATGGTAGCTCGTATAGTTGTTGGGCTGGTTCACTTGGCATCCGTAGTGTTAGTGGAGACTATTATTTGCCAGATTTAATTTCCTTTACATAAAACACAGATTGATGGTACTGGCTGCCAGCCGCTTGTTTACTTCTGTTACACAGAACAAGCCTTCTATATTAGGCTTTCCTCTATTTTTCCGTTCTGTTCTCTTGTTAGGTGTATTTACCTCTTTTTGTGTTTCCATCATTAGACCTTTCCATAAATACCGGAAAGGTCCATTATACGCCCAGTTTTACCTTTTCCTGCTTCCGCTGTATCTCGAAACAACTTCGTCTGTCTTGACTAAATCCCATTCACTGTTCCTGCTACTGGTTCCAGCTCCTCGTTTTATTTTGATACAATGCCTTTCTCTTTGATAGATTTCTCTCCTCCCTGAAGCAGCCAGGTGCTACCTGCTGCCAAAGATAGGAAAGGTTTATTTTTATGTTTCTCTTTCTCCTGGTTTTTCAGTTTTGTTTTGCTTTTTTTCTTCTCTTTCCGTTTCATATTCTCTTTTCTTCCCTTTCTCCGTCCATCTTTTATTCCCCTATTCTCTTGTTCCGCTTCTTCATTTTTTACCCTACATATCTCCCTTGTATCCCTCATTTTGCTTTCGTTTTGCATCTGTCTCATTTCTGTTGCATGTTTGGATCATCTTATGTGGGAGACACCAGGCTTCTGATCCAAATCACTGATAAATCTTATCCGATAGCTTTTTTAATTGAATTTATATTGTGTCCAACGGATTGTGGATGCTTAGCTTTTATCTCCAACCTGATCTTTCTACCATATGGAAAGAGCACAGATTACCTAAGAAACACATTAGTTATGAGCTCATTGTTTCATTTTCTAGACTAGGCTATCCCTAAAAAGTCATTTTGCTCATGGTTTTCAGTCTTACGAAATATGCTTAGATAGTGGGATTAAAAAACGTGCAAAATCTTCACACAAACATTGGAACAAGGTTACAGTAACTTTGAGTTAAGTCTATAAGGGTCACCATTTTTTGGGCCACCATCACTAGGCACTCTTATGTCCTCAATTTGAGATTTTAGACTAGCGTCTCCAACATCTAGTAACCCTAGATGTTGAGGTAGAGGAGAGAACCAAAGGAGCAAAAAAAATAAAATTAAAAAACTAAGAAACCATAGGGAGCCTAGTTGGGTCGTTCTACTCTTTTATGAACCCTGAGCCTCAAGTGAGTCAAGGTCTAAAAGGCTCAAGTGACCTCAAGCTTCTCTTTGGGCCAAATCCAACCTTCATTTGGGCCGAAATGAGTCCAAGGTTTACAGAGTTTAGTTGGTCTCTCGTGAGGCCGTTTGTAAATGCATGAATAGTTTGATTTCCTGAGCAAACATAAGGAATAGAAATATACCTAGAGTCAAGCTTCTCTTTGATAAAATGACGGCTTATCTCAATATGCCTGATTATATCATACGGAATTATTAGCTATATTTATAGCTGCACTATTATCAATAAGGCTTCAGTGGAGGATAGATTGGATAGCAACGTCATGAAGGAGTAGTCGAAGCTTAATCAACTTAGTCGAATAATGTGCCATAGCTTTGTATTTAGCTTCATCCATAGACGTGACCACAACTGTCTATCTCTTGCTTTCCATGTTACAAGGTTTTCACCAAGGTTGGTACACTAACCTACGGTAGGTCTCTGATCATCATAGCATCCAACCCAGTCTTCATCTGGAATATCCCTCAATGTGTAAGTGCTGAGACGTAGAATGTAATATACTTCTGCCTAAATTTGATTTGATGTACCACAAAATCCGATCCATGACTTTCATAGGTAATGTCAGCTTGTGTAAGGATTAATGCGAAAGTTTTCCAAGAACCTTTTATATATGCGTTTACACCATCAGATAGAAGTGTGCGCCCTTGTTTATGCAGTAGATGATTCATCTAAATAGGAGTTTAGACAAGTTTACAGCCTAGTAGAGTGCATATTTTTGCTGACATATGTAAATCCCTTCATTAGATTTAGTTACTTCAATGCTAAGAAAGTACTTCAGGTTAACAAGATCTTTGATTTCAAACAACTTCCTTTTGAAGATCTCCATTCAATAGAGCATTTTCACATCAACTTGGTCGAGGCTCCATTGATATTGAGCACCTTGTCAAAGATAAATATAATAGATTTGAGTTTTGCAATAGGGGCAAAAGTTTCTTGGTAGTCTAAACCATATGTTTTTTACTAGTCTTGAAACTATCAGTAGTTCCATCTGTTTGATACCTGATAGTGAATACCCATTTTAAGCCAAGAGGCTTCTTCAAGAATGTAGAGTCTTGAAACTATCAGTAGTTCCTATCGGAGGTTCTACAAGCTCTCATATTCTATTTTTTGTAGAGCCCTCATTTCATCATCCATTGCATGTAGCCACTTCGAATCTTGTGCAGCCTCTGTGAAAAAACTCGGAAGAGAAGAGAAGGGTAAAGTAGATACCAAAGCGTAGTATGAGGGTCAAAGGTGAGAATATGACATATTCTTGGATACAGGATGCGTAGTACAAGTTCTCCCACCATTCTTGAGAGCAGTAAGGAGATCAAGAGGGTCAATGGTAGGATCGAGGGGTTGATTACCATTATGTGATGACATAGAATTATCCTGTTAGAGGTAAAAAATATGACCAGCTCCATGACTTTTTCTCCAAGAGTAGATCAGTAGCTCTTTTCTTCATGGGATTACTTACCACTGGAGCAACTGCATCACAATGCGATACATCTCCAACATTAGGCTCAAGTACATGGAGATAATCAAAACAGGATGGGTGAAAATAGGACAAGATGACAGCACAACTGTTCTCTCGACTTTAAATCTCCCCTTGTGGAGAACTCTATTTGAATTGAAAGAAGAACTCGATTTCATTAAATGTGATATCTTCAAGAATAGATTTCCTCTTAGTTTTTGCGTGAAAGCACTTATGCCCTTCTTGAAGACGAGAATAACGAAGGAGGATACCTTTTATGGCCTTGGGATCAAGTTTAGAAGATCTAGGTTAAAGACAATGAATAAAATAGAGACATCTAAACATTTCAGATAGAAGATGAAAAATAGGACCCTTATGAAAGAGGATCCTGAAAGGGGACTTATTTTCATGGACCCTAGATGGCATTCTATTAATAATATAGGATGTGGTCATAATAGCTCTGCCCAAAATGTTTTTTGAAGATCAAGTTGAAATAATAGTGCTTGAGTTATCTCCAAAAATGTTTATTTTTCCTCTCTCCATCTCCATTTTATTGAGGTGTATGCACCCACAATGTCTCATGCCGGATGCCTTCGTCTTCATGGAAAATATGAAATTGTCTCTGTATTTATTAATTTGCATTATCAGATTAAACTCGTTTAACATTGCAACCATATTGATTTTGGATCATTTTACTGAAAATCTGATTACTAGGAGGAACCTCTGTCTTAGTCCCCGCGAAGTAAATCCAAGTGTAATAAGTGCAGTCATCAATGGAACTCATAAATACTTATAGCCATCCATCAATAACGGTGGAGAGGGTCCCCATACCTCGAAATGAAAAAGATCAAAAGAGAAAGTATTTTTACTACGGGATATAGGAAATAGATTAACAGTGTTTGAAGATTTGACAAAAATGACATTCAGGAGACTTGGAATTTTTTTGAGTGAACAGAGATGGAAACAAAATATTTAAGAAACTAAAAGACAGATACCCTAGACGGTGATGTCAGTTATGTATCTCTTTGTTCTTCTAGTCGTTGTTCCGTGTAGTTTTTTCTGACTGAACTACTAAATGATATCATATATGCCACCTGATTATTTCTGACGAAGTTCATGTATATCCCCTCAAATCTCGACACCTACCATCTCTTTATCCTTGGAAGCGAGCAAAGCACCTAACTAGCTTAGATTGGTGGATTGGGCGTTGCTTGTTTTGTATGGATATAGATTTCCAATTTTGAAGATCAAGCTGTGAACAAAGTCCCTTATGAGTTAGACAATCCTAAGTATATTTTGTGTACTCACATGAAGCTGGTGTGGCTTGCTCATCGAGCATATATAGCCTCCATTTTCTTTTCTCATTCCGAGTTGTGTGATCAACTACATATCGTGATTTCCTTTTAGATTTTTTCATGATGTCTGTTTCTAAAATTTATGATGATTTCTTTGAATCTTGTATCTTTCAATATAAGAGCCAATTGGATATCTTTCTAAACTGTCGCACCAACTGTTTCGATTTGACAGGTTGTTAATCCCGCCTACTATGGTTTGGAGGACACTGAAGCTGATACTGTTAACCTTTACTTGTCAAGGTACCAATGTGATATCATTGAAATTATGGCCATAGGATTTTGTTCTACGTGGCTCATATTTTTTCTTTGGGCAGGTTAGTGCAAAGCACTTTTGAAGACCTAGAAGATGGTGGATGCATTAAGGTGACCGAGTATTCTGTGGAACCTCTGATGTTGGGATCAATAGCTTCCCATTATTATCTCAGCTACATGACCGTGTCAATGTTTGGATCAAACATAGGACCAAATACCTCGTTAGAAGTTAGTACCGAACTTAAATTACTCTAACATGTGTTATTTTATTTAGGTGTGTTTTTTTAATAAATTACCCTTACATGAAAATAGGTTTTCCTGAATGTTCTTGCTGGTGCTTCTGAATATGATGAACTTCCTGTGCGCCATAATGAGGTAAGCCACTTGTTCATTTTATGTGTTTTTGGTTCAAATGTAGCATAAAAATCATGAATCATGTCAAATTAACCAAGGGTATATAATATTCTCCATCTAGCATGAAGATGAATGTGCACAGGATTTGGAAGGCTACTTATTGGATTGGATACTAGTTTTGTTGCGGTATGTTGAAATGGTGTAGTATTAGACTAGATGGATGCTTTTGGACCACACACATGTTTCCATTGTCCACCAAACAAAATGCAAAAGATGGCTTATACGTGACATAGTTTCACATTGCTTTTAATTTGGAAGGTGATGCAGACCACATTTTGAATGTTTTAGTACTGGAATACGCATTTCACTAAAATGCATATGAAAGAAGAAATTTTGATTTTAGGGTAAAAAAGCTTCATGCATTTTGTGCATCAATGCAAGCCAAACAAACTTGGCAGGTCTGAATTATTGAAATGTGTTTTAAAATAAACACATGCGGGCCAAATGTGCTTTTAGGGTAAAAAAGGCTTCATGTTGGGAAGATTTTATAAGTACTCTTCAATAAAGCAGAAGACAATCTGAATTATTTAGGCTTTATTTTTAGGGTTTTCTAAAATAAAGAACAGTGAACAAGCCTCTAGATCACATGACAGGCGGTGGAGATTCACTTTATTTTTGTATCTTAATTAAAATGGTCAATGCGATTAGTTGGGAGCCACACATGCGAGTCCACGTGACGGTGGTTAATGGCAGGAGGTCTTTGTGAACTGTGGTTAGTTACGGCAGTTCAGCATTCTTTGTCCCCCTCGTTATCCCCCCCTCCTCCTATCTCTCCTTCCACCCTTTTCCGGGTGGTGTAGGTTGCTGCCTATCTTCCCCATTCTTTTTTGTTCTTTAGATCCTCCATCAAAATGCTATGATATTTGTTAAAAGATATGACATGTTTGTTGATAACCACAAATCTTAATGCATAAATTAGTGCGTGTTTCTCCAATCCTAAATGATTAGAGAACTGGTGCTACTCATAATTTTCATTATAAAGTTTCTCATAACCTGAGTCCTTTTCCCAAAAAACACAGACTTTTACAAGGTTTGACTTCCGCCATATTCTGTATAGCACTTTGTTCCAATATATAGTGGAGCTACAGGTAAACAGACGGTTCACCCTCCCTAATGTAAATGGGAAGAAACAACAACCATTTTTTTGGTATTAATGATGATGTTATTTATCCACGAAAAGATTGTGTCAAATGGTGGGTATGCATACTAGATATTATTAGGCTTCACACTCTAGCTACTTGTAGACAAGCATGAAAGATATGTTTGATCCTTTACGTCTACCTCTAATTTCAACAGCAGAGTAAAACTTGTAATTCGTCTACTCATTTTACCTGATGTATACAGAAATACATTTTGAATGTATTGAATACATGACCATCTAAGCCACCATGCACCAGTAGCTGTAATCTTGTACCTATTTCAGATTAAATCAAACTCCTTTTTATCTCTAAATTCTAAGGATTCACCCAATGAGTCGTCATATGATTTATCTATTTACCTTTTTATCATTCAGGAAAACTATAATTCAGCGTTATCTGAAAAGGTGATGTACAAAGTTAACTTGGATCAGCTTGATGACCCACATGTGAAAGCAAACTTACTTTTTCAGGTGAGTACTGTCTTCAAGATTTATCGAAGCAATCTGAGGACTTCACTTTTTATATTAGATGATGCACATTCTTTTTTCTCCCCTAATATCTTGTGAGTATTTACATCACAGGCTCATTTTTCACGATTGGAACTGCCTGTGACTGATTACTACACAGATCTAAAATCAGTTCTGGACCAGAGCATACGTATCATTCAGGGAATGATAGACATATGCGCAAATAGTGGGTGGCTTGAAAGTGCATTTACTTGTATGCATCTTTTGCAAATGGTTATGCAGGTTATCCTTGTTTCACTCTTTGTTACTTCTATATCTGCTATCTGTTTCTGTCAAATTCCTGTATAGATTCCCATAGGGGATGAATTTTTTTGTGGGCTGATGCTTGGCAGATCCATTGTCTGCCCTTGGGACCATGATGTGGGCATGACACAGTTTGTGGATAATTGGTTCACTTTCTCATAAACTCTAGGGTTTTTCTAATGGTAGAAATTGCGTTCATTCTTTCTGTCCTGATACCTGCTTAGTGTAAGGTGTGTGTGGAAGTTATATTGTATCGCATTTCATAAACGAAATACAGTGTTGACATCCTTTATTCTGATATGTCTGGCAAAGTCATTGATTTCAACATCAGAAGATCCTATCTGAAAAACATCGACTAAGTGTGCACTGCAGGTGATGTTTTGGAACTGATGGGGGTTCTAGATGACGGCAAAACATGGTTGAACAAGCTCATTATTTGTGCTGGAGAAATTTCAGGATGTAAAAGTTCAAGTCATTATGTGGCATGAGGCTGGTGATTTTGATGAAGTAGCAGGCAGTTATTCTTTCTCTACAGTCTATAAACTGGTTGCATTAACCATCTAAGCTTTTGAGTCTGCTTGTAACAAGTTATTAATGTAGATGTGAATGGACTAAAGATCTTATGTGTCAGATTGTCTAAGACCATGGTTTTAAGATTCATTAAATTAGATTGAGTTGGCCTAAAAAGGGTTGATCTTCTGCTCTGCTTTTGACCTTTCACATTCCTTAGTCTTTGAGAACAAAGGTTACGGTAGAGAAAGAAAGTAGGGAGTGAGAAGAAAGGACCTTCGGCACAATGGAGAACAACATGGTAGAGAAAAAATTAGACCTAATCGCATGTTCCCAACTTTGTTCTGCACAGTAGCCTCTGAATGTCATTGCTACCGCAATGACTAATGCTACCAGCCATGGCCGTTGTGAGCATGGTCTAAAGAATATGTTTAGGCTTTCAGATAGGCCAAGCCGAATCGTTGACTATGAATCAACCAAGACGTGGCCAATTCTGTAATATAAGGTAATTATGTGGTGTATGTATGCATGTACATACACGTGTGTGTGTGTTTCGTTCTTCCTTTTGAATCGTGATCGGAAAATGTAGATTCCAAACCGGAAAATGCTGAACTGGGTTGATAATGGCTGATTGTGTAGAGTATGGATGTGGGTGTGTGGTGTTATTACATGCAAGGGTTTTAGCGAGATCATCTGTGTTTTTTAGGTTATTAATCGTATAGAGGTAATACTTTTTTTACTTCCCCTTGGTTTGGATACTTCACTGAATATCCTAATGTTATTAGAACTAGTTCCAAACTCTTAATTGAGGAGTGCAATTAGTTCAGTTGTTGATACTAGGTATGTTCCTATGTTGTTTCTGTCTTTCCTGGGTTAGGTACAAACTTTTCGTTGTGACTTGTCTCCAAAGTGATTGTTGCTTCAACCTGAAAAGAAAAAGGATTACAACAAGAAGATCTGTACCCTTTTAAGGTAAATCCCACCAGAAGGTTCAAGTCTCTGTGGCTAATATTCGCATGGGGGAAACTATGTTTTGAAAAAAACCTGCAAGTTTATAATTCAATTTGCCGACTTCTCGAGGATCCACAGACGGGTTCCCGTTTTTAGAATATGAAGGGGAAATATGGATTGCTGAACTCCATTTTCTGGGTGCTATAAAGAAAATGAAGTTCACTGAGTTGTGAACTGAAATCTGTAGAGAGTAGGTCGGTTGAGATCCCTAGTTTTCGATCCAGTGAAGTGGTCTGATAGTTCCGAAGCTCCTCTTGCGTTTTTCTTTTGCAACAGCAATAGCTTCACACACAAAAGCTCCATTAAGCCTGTTCATTACATCCCTCTGGGGTACTTCTCTGATTTCTGCATGACCTAACGTGATTAATATATATTTTCTGAATATCATCCTGTTTCTTGTACAATTTCTTGATAGTATTCATGGAGATAATTAGTGGATTGCCGGATATGAACATCTGAAGGAGACTGTGCTTCAGATGATATGTAAAGCATATGAAGACGGTGATCACAAAGTGTAGTAGAGCAAGATTGTTGGAGTAAAATGTTTTCATTCAAGGGAATAAATTTCCCCTTAAAAATACTCAACAGAGAACTCGCCACATGTGTAAAACTACGACTGCAAGGTTCTATGCTATGTTTTTTTGTGGGATCTCCATTTAGGCCATTGATCTTCTCGTCGTCACTTTAGGAGTCGCCCAATTCCCATGGAGGATTTTTCTCATAAATAGCAATATCCTCTGAATAGATAGCGCTGGGTGTGGTATGGTTTATCCAGAATTGGAGGAAACGATCTGAATTTCTTCAATAAAACATTTTTACTGGCTCTCCTGAGGGCAATCTGATGGGACAGTAATGAAGTGTCCAGATATCCCGGGAGCACACTTAAGATTCAGCTGTGATTGCTGAGTTAACTCTAGAGGACCTCTCAAAACTCAATTCGTATTAGAGATGTGTATCTATTGAGTATTGAGTATTCTTCTCTACATTTATCTCTGGCTGGTTTGGAAAACTTGTAGGAATTTCTTTGCGCCAAGGACCTTTTTCCTTTCATGATTTTTTTATGTTCTTCTGTTCCTGAGGAATAAGTTAGCCCGGTTCTTTGAGCTGCCAGCTTGTTCCCTCTTTTTATCTTCAAAGGTGTTGAGAACAGTCTTGCTTCTAAAGGCATGAGTTTTCTCAACTTACAGAAAATGGGCATGATCTACTTGTTTCATGTTACAAAATCTTACTGATTACTTGCATGGAAAATGAACGAATTTGTATGCTGAAACCGTAGCTCTTTCATTTCTGTTAATTTTCCTGTGTTCAGGGTCTATGGTTTGAGGACTGCTCGCTATGGATGCTACCATGCATGAATCAATCTCTCATTAGTCACCTCAGAAAAAATGGTATTTCTAGCATACAGGAACTACTGGATCTTCCTAGGAAGAATCTGCAGTTGCTTCTTCAACAATCTTCTGGTCCTGATTTATATCAGGTATTTTTATTGTCATTTTCACTTGCTCAATTTGTTTATTTAGTTAAAAACATACTAATTAACAATATTTTTTATGACGGGTGAAGAATATTCAGGAAAGGTTTAAAATCACATCCATTACTGTGCGGAAAACACTTTTTTGGGGATATCATGGTTCTGCACATAAATTTAAAAAGCATTTCCTTCTGCCTCCCAAAAGCCTCCATGATCTCCATTCGCGGATGTAATTTTGGAATATTTCTTACTTCCAGAGGCCTTCTTTTTGTTTTATCCTAGTGTCGAACCTTATGCATGGCAGAAGCGCCATCAAATTGTCTAATGATTAAAAATAATGTTACAGCAAAGCTTTATACTCTGTTGTCAGTCCGATTCTTCTCTTTTGGGAGCAGTTTTTGTCTGGTATGGAACAGAACGCCAAAATAGGCATCATTAAATTTTGTTTTCCTGAATCAGTCCAAAAGTACAGAACAAGGGCTCTTATCCACTTTCCATTCATGACTTTTCTCTCCTTCTGCCGAAAGGGATTTATTTTTTCATTTTGATGTAGATTTCTTGATTCATACACTAACTAGTGAATGATGCGTATCACGGATCACTAATTCAAATCATCGTAATCGGTTTTCTATTTCTGCAGGATCTCCAGCACTTTCCACGTGTTCAAGTAAAAATGAAGCTTCCTAAGAAGCATATTCAAGGGTCAGGGAAACGGCATCTCATCATTAATTTGGAAAGGAAGAACTTAAACCCCACATCAAGAGCATTCACTCCACAATTCCCTAAGGTTTGCTTCCCCGGTGCCATTTAACGGTTGGATCAAAATACTCAGGATCCTTCTAGTCCAATGAATCAAATATTTTTATAAACACGATCTAGTTTAATCGTCTAGGGATGTGACAATTTTAGATGTAGATTTGAAGTATTACATTCATGTTTGTTAATGTTTCAAGAGAGATTGACTCCTAATGAACATAATCATGATATTTGGCAAAGAGTTAACATTCTTTTTTAGAATAGGTCTATTAATACACTTTTTCACGTTTGATGCTCCTATTGTTCTTGCGCCTGCGCGTTCTAACCTGTCTCTATGTCATGATACATTTTGACTGCATTTTCTTGTAAATCGTACACTCGGAGTTCTGTGGGTAATAGATCCTCTCCTGCTGTTTTTCGTCTTCAAGATACTGACTTCTTCTCTGGGTACTCCAATGGCCATTTTTTCCTCCCGACGAAAGGAAGAAAATCTCTTTGTGAGCGCAAAGATTGAACGAGTCTGAGATATTATCGAGTTTCAATGAATTTCCCCTTTTTGTTTTTGTTCGTTTTACATGGTAGCGTCTATCAGACGTAGCAGGACCTTAAGAACAAGTGGATAGCACAAAGCATATGAAACTCGATGGTACATCTCAAACTAGTGCAGTCATCAAGAATAAGTGCCCAGATGACCAGATTAGTGGGTAAATGATTTCTGAATTAACTTGTATGAAAAGCAGCACTAGTCAGTGGGCTGTTCATACATCTATCCTTTTAAATGTCTAGAGCCAGTGGGTTTATTACATATTCCAACAAATTACATGAGAAAACAATGCCCATGCCTAAGACAACGGTAGTTTCGAAATCAAGCCATCTCTCTTCCCGGGAATGAAAGGCTCTCTGCTCTTCTCTTGTCAGCCCAAGTGGAGATGATCCATTCTGATGAGTCAACCCCTGTGGTGCATGAATGAGTGAATTTCTTGAGGCCAACTTGCTGAGTCTCCCATCAGTAGACTACCCAGTTTGTTGAACGATGGTCTTCTCCTTCATTGTCTACCCTATCATGGTGGAGAGACAGAACTTGCACTAGGATGGGCATGATGGAGTATTTGAGACGCACTCAGTTTTATTTTAGGCTCTCTTATAAACCTTGGAAATATAACAAGTCGAGAGGAAGGTCAGGCAGGGTATTTGTGACCCAGTTTTTTACGCAATTAGGAGTGAGATCATTTATCATTAATTATTTCAATTTATTGAATAATATTTAAAATTATAGTTGACAGATATTTATAAAATTGCACCGTAGATAATCTTGTTTAAAGGGTGAAATTGTAGTCTTTGAGACTTACTAGTTTCCACATTATGGTTTGAAAAATACTCGGATTAAAAATGTGAATGGCATCTTTGAGATCTAAGATATTGAACGTTCCCTTTTGCTTTGTTCGTCTGAAAACCTAACGAGATGAAACTTCAATAAATCTTCCTCCAAAAAGGAAATGAAGAACTGCAGCAGAAAGCTCCATGATTTCTGTGAGAATGCAATTTCTGATTATGTTTGCTGTTTCCCTTTCCCCGCATGTAGTTTATTTTTTCCTGTTTGAGATATTTTCTGGCCTGATCGCCAACTGTGCTCCGATGAATCCCGTTTGCGCCGGCCGTCTTCTCGTTGACCACGCACCTTGGCTGTTTCTGACTTTTCCCGAGGGTTTTGATTGTCCAGGTGAAAGATGAAGCATGGTGGGTCGTTTTGGGCAACCCCAACACGTCAGAACTTTTCAGTCTGAAGAGATTGAGCTTCTCCAATAGCTTGGTTACGAGCATGGACCTGCCGCAGGAACCGGCTGGTCTGCAGGTGAAATGTCTTGCCTGTTCTCAGCTCACAGCTCCTCCCGCCTCCACACCTACCCAACCTTGCTCCTCCTCATTTCAGGATCTGAAGCTGTTCCTGGTCTCCGATTGTTACATCGGATTTGATAAAGAGTACACCATCGGTGACCTTGTCTGAAAGTCATAGGAAAGAGAGATTCTGCCCCGGCATTCCCAGGCTTCCAAGAACTCATTATGCGAAGGCCCTCTGAACCTAACTTGGGATCCGGTATGCCTCCCCTTCTTCTCTCTCTCTCTCTCTCTCTCTCTCTCTCTCTCTCTCTCTCTCTCTCTCTCTCTCTCTCTCTCTCTCTATCTATATATACATAAAATAAAAAAATAGATAATAATAAGATACCAGATGGAAGGGGTGAGAAAAATATTTTGTCAATGTACTGCTTACTGGAATGAGCAACGACGCGGGAAGGACACGTGGAAACAGGCCCGCCAGAGCTCACTAAATATCTGCCGTTCGAGCTCGCCATAGCTGGAACCTCCGAGCTAGAGTGGGGCCCACTGCGGAGTTCATCAAGCGTCGACTCCCAGACGTGGAGTGTGGGTCTCTCGGACGAAGAGACCCGAAGCAACGCACAAGGTCGTAGCCTCGAACTAAGATTCTCGTACCTCCATGGAGGGAACTGGAAGATTCATTGCGTTAGCAAAGGGTGATTTGAATTTTCTCTATGTTGATGTTAAATATTTTTATTTTATCGAATTAAACTATTCATTTCAAGTGGTACATTGACTTTTCTATGAGGGTTGATGTGGATCTTATCCTAAGAAAATAAAAGAAAAACCGAAGAAGGCGCTGCCCTTTCTTCGGTCAAATTAATTAACTTTACTAAAAGTCTTTTGTTCGCACTATACCCGGATCGGACACAGTATCCTATTCTGTCGTATTCAAAAAAATCGAATATCCTCCCCCGTCCAATATTTTTTCTTGGCGCGGAGTAAAGAAAAGTATGATCCAGTACCATTTTTGCCCTCCCTCTGGCGGCCGGAGTCCGGGGAGTACCCACCTCGTGGGTGAGACCGGGGGGGGTGCACGTGCCTCTCAACGGAGCAGCTACCGGTGGGTATATTCAGCGGGTGGGCAGCGGATGGACCTTCGACTCATTAACCTCGTACCTTCATGTCAGCGCTCGACGGATCCACGGCACTCTCTCTTACTCTCTCCTTCGCGCAGGCGTCAGCGGATGTGACGGATGGAGCGAGCAGGGAACCCACCCTCACATGGGCGGCTAACGAGGAGGCTCAGTTTGTTTGGAGGGCATTCCAGGAGAGAAATATACTTTAGGATGTACACTCGACGAAGATCGGGATCCATTGAATAAGTACTGTAGCGTTCAACGCCAGGAATCTTTCTAGTTATCCTCGGATTCGCCAGTGAAAAAGCACCGGCGTGAAGCTGTGGCCACAAGCACCCGGGCGGCGGCGACGGTGATTCGTGACGGCCCATTTTCCCCTCCCCGCTTAGATCGTACTCGGCAGTGCCAAAAGTTTAGAACTTTAATCTCAAGTTTCACAGAACTTGGGGAAGATTCAGCGGTTCCGTTCCATAAAAGCAAGAACAAGTACAGACGTCGAGGGGAAGGAGCTACGTGGGAGGCGGAGATGAACAAACATAACGGGAATTATTGAATCGAGTACAGACGTCGTCCAACAGAACTGGCCTTATTTATTTATTCATTTCGCGGCGGAGTAGGCGTCGAGGTCTAGCCTGGGCACGGGGCGGACGCGCAGGGGGACCGCCCGCTGCAAGGTGAGCCCGTAAGCCTCCTCCATGTCGAGCTTCTCCGGTCTCTCCCCCGGCGGCAGCTCCCAGTCGAAGGCGTGAACCAGAGTCGCTGTCAGGAACTCGACCATCCGCAGGCCGAGCCTCATCCCGGCGCAGATCCGCCGCCCCGCGCCGAAGGGGATGACTTCGAAGTCGGTCCCCTTCACGTCGGCGTGGGCGTGGTCGCCGCCGGGGAGGAACCGCTCGGGGCGGAACTCGAGCGGACTGGGCCAGACCGCGGGGTCCCGGGAGATGGCCCACACGTTGACCAGTAGGGTTGCACCCTTGGGGATGTGGTACCCCTCGATCTCGCAGCTCTCCGCTGCCATGCGAGGGAGCGAGAGAGGCGTGGAGGGGTGCATCCGGAAGACCTCCTTCACAACGGCCCGCAGGAAGGGGAGGCTTCCGAGGTCCGAGTCCGCCACCAGCCGGCCCTTTCCCACCACCGCGTCGATCTCCTCCTGGGCCGCTTTCAGGATCCTCGGGTGGCGGATGAGCTCCGCCAATGCCCACTCCACCGTGCTCGACGTCGTGTCCGTTCCCGCAGTGAACAGGTTCTGCAGCAACGGAGGTTGATTCATAGATAGACACATACAGAGAGAAAGAGAGAGAGAGAGAGAGAGAGAGAGAGAGAGAGGGGGGGTGGGGATGTACCAGAAGGAGGGCTTTGATCTCGGTGTTGGAGATGATGCCGCCGTCTTCGTCAACGGCCTGGCCCCGCATAGTCATCATGACGCTGAGCAAGTCCTTGCGGACGTCGTTATCACCGCCGATCCCCACGGTGGCCTCGTGCGCCTTGATGATCCCGTTGAGCATGCCATCGTAGCGGCTGTGCAGAGACTTCATCCGCGAGACGACACCCTGCAGGTCCAGCCACGACAAACACGGCACGAAGTCTCCGACGTTAAAGACCCCCGCCAGCTGCATCAGCTCCACCACCATCTTCTTAAACTCTTCCGCCTCCTTCCCCAGCACGCTTCCAAACACCCGTCTTCCCATCATCGCTCTCGACAGGGCGTTCACCGCGCACACGTTCACCTCCTCGCCCAGGTTCGCCATACCGCCGCCCTCGCCACGCGACAGCAGGGCCCGAGCCAGCTGCGCCGCCTCCTCCTCTCGTACGTGTCGGAAGTTCTCCAGCGCCTTCACGGAGAAGAGGTGGACGGAAGAGATCTTGCGCAGCGTGCGCCACAGCGGCCCGTACGGTGCAAACACCATGTCGCGGTAATTGTAGGCCACATGCTCCGCGCCGGAGTTGGGTGGCCGGTTGGCGAAGTTTGCGTCGTGGGTCTTCAGGAACGCGGCGGCTATGGAGGCGGAGGAGGCCACCACGGCTTGCACGCTGCCGAAGCGCAGGCTGAGCAGGGGTCCGTACTTGCGCGACAGCGCCGCCAGTGTCTGATGGGGCTTTCCGCCGAGCTGGTGGAGGTTCCCTAGGATGGGCCACCCCTTGGGACCTGGAGGCAGCGGGAGACTCCGTCGGCTCAGGGAGAGAAAAGACAAGAGGCAGCACAGGAGAGCACCAACAACGGCGGTGCCGAGCAGAAGTAAGGAGAGGCTACCCATGGCTCCCTATCTCCAGGACTATTGCCCGGAAGGTTCGGCGATATTATGTACATCCCTTGGCCATGGTGTTAGGCATAGACTGCTCCGCTCCTCCCTCTTCAGGTGACCTTTAATGTCCCTCGTACTTGACACTTGTCGACGGTTGTGGCCTATAGACGGCGGAGGATTCATAATGGGCGTAAGTTGGTGGAATGGAGGATTCCTGTATGGACACGTCACGCGAAATCCAAAAGCTTTCAGGTCCCTGTAACTTGGTGGACTGGACGATTCCAGTATGAACTATAATATTAGGATCAAATTAGCTTTCATGTCACTGTAAATCCAATAGGTTCTTAAGGATCTAAACTGTAATAAAGTTTCTTATCACAATATACTCAGAGTGGGTCGTAGCTGAACCCCCCAGAATAAGATCGTACGATTTGAAGCAAATGGGCCCGAAAAGTTAATGAAGTAAAATTATAATTATAAAATGTGATAAAATGAGAACAATGAAAGAGTGATGGCGAGTTGGGGTGGGTCTGGTAGGTAGGAGCAGCGAATAATCCCTTGGTCCATAGGAGTAGAACCCGGGGCATTAAGAGGGATTTGACTTTTTGAGCGCTATTAAAGTAGATGATAAAGAGCGGCTGCTGATGCAAGCTGAGTCAGGATTAGGAAAAGAGGCCACTTATTAATGGGCCTGCACCAACGGATCACCGCTGACCCAGCAAGCATTTAATCGAGCAGTGTGGTGTAGTAGTTTACAGGCAAGGCTGGGCAGACCCATGCAGAAGCCAGCCATTCGGTGCTCAGATGCTGCACCATCGAAGGGGAGGAGGGCCTGCAGGTTCCTCCCCTCGCAGCCATGGAGAACTCGGGGATATATGCAGACGTGAAGTTCGCCCACTAGAAGAGGTCTGCGGGAAGGAGCTAGTCCTCGTCGCTATCGTAGACAAAGGCTTTCCGGCGGTGGGTCGCAGCTTTCCTCGCCGGAGACTCGCCGTCCGACTCGAATCCCTTCCGTTTGGACCCTCCTTCCCGGACTCTCCTCCTCGGCTCCTGCAACGAGGAGAAGCTCAGCGATCTGGTCCAGCCAGATTCCAATTCAATGGACAACATTTCTCGATGTAATGGAGGAGGTGGCGAACCTCTTCTTCGTCTTCCTCCGACGGCGCGCTCGCTCCGGCGGCTTCCTCGGCCTCCGGCTCCTCGTCGGACTCTTCCTCGCGGTCTGATTCCTCAGCCCTCTTGTACGCCGGCGACCTCTCACCTTCGTCTCCGTCGCTTTCGTATTCGGATTCCTCCCTCTCGCTCTCGGAATACTCCGCTACACGCCTCGACGAACGCACAGCAGCCGATGGCGGCTTGCGAGAGCCGTCTCTGGCCACGAGGTTCTGGTCGGGGAGAAGCAGGTCAACCACAAGGATGGATTACCAGTAAATAGCCTTGGAAAGGGAGAAGAAGCTCCGAGAGGGAGAAAGAGGAGCTCACCCTCTTCGCACTCATTATGCGCCGTTCAGCCTGCGCTTCAATTTCCATGTCTTCCTCAAAACGATGACGAACTGCAGCCTGTCTGGATGTGGCATACTCCTCGCGCTCGTCATCCTGAGGAAGATGAACACACGTCAGACGATGGTGATGGGATATGTGACTACTCAGGGATGATAATTCTTCTGGGAGATCTCATGAAACAAGCGGTGAGGATCATGTGGAGTCAACGTGACCTCTTCCAGCGCATCCTCCAAGAACCCTGGAGAAAGTTGCCGTCCCCTCTCAATGGTCGGAGCGTACTTACGGTTGACCTTTTCTCGTCTTCGATGGAAAAGCTCATTGGCTCTGATTGTCTGGCTTTCCGCCTGACAAACGAAAGAACAACTTCATCAACGTCCACGATAATTCCAAAAAATAAAAGGGCAAACGAGCACCTTCATCTGAAGAACAGGAGTCTGCAACTGATAACTTCGATTCACATGATTACACACAGAACACGCGAAAAATCCAGAACTTGATACACGGTGAAGAGAATGTTTGTGTCTCGTTAATGGAAATGTGTTTGCGTCAGCTGAAGGGGCCCTCCTAAGGGGAAGGCACCAAGGATCCACACAGATTCCGGTCCTAAAACCCAACCGAAGGAAAAGAGTTTGAGCACACCCAAAAACGGATTTCACATCTCAATCTCTTCGATTAACATCATTTTAAATCATTGAAAAGGAAATCACTGAACTACATATTTTGCACTGATTTGCCACACAAAGACCCAAAAATTATGAGCATGTTACGTCTCAGCTCTTGGTGAGTTTGCTGCTCCTCAGGAATCCTAGTGATCAATATCCCAATGATTGCAGGTACCACAGGGCGGGTCGTCGTCAAGAATCATCTCATGTGAATGGGGGTGTGAAGTGTACCGTTCTACGAGTAATGCAGAGATTTAGGAATCAAAATGTGTGACATGAACCAACGGAAACTCATTTTGCAGGGATTACTTAGCAACGGTGTACACGATGGACACAGGACGCAGACGATAGACAGAGCTGCCAGAAATATACAATAATCTCCTAGCATTTGTCCTGAGATATGAAAAGCGGAGGGTTCCAGAATTCATTCTAAACAGAGAACCGTCTTCAATATAAGGAAAAGGATTAACAAAATGAGAAAAGGGTGTGATTTACTTAAATAGCATGGATGATGGTCCCTGCCTAACGATGAAACCGCCCAAAAGGATAAAGGAATGATACCAAAATAATAATGATATACACTCAAAAATAGGAACAGGGAAGGCGGAACACTGCATGAATTATTTGTAAGTAAATAAGAGATGAACCAGCTCTTGAACTACCTTTTCTCTTTCTTCTTTCTCTCTTTCTGGGTCAATGTCCGTGATGCAATTTTTGACCTTGTAGACCTTTTTATGCCGGGAGTCAACAAGAGCCGTCAACAATCGATGGGACTTCGATGATAATGAAGATGGCATAAACCTCATCTTTTGTAGGAGCCTCCCTTGTGATTGCAGAATCCCCTGCCCGGTTAAAGATAATTAAGAAGAACACAAACTAGAAAAGAAGGAATAACGAAATGAATCTACAATATAATATACACACGAAAAATAATTATTACCTCGCAAAAAACCCCATTCAAGAAGAAAATCGGGATGATGCTCTAGGTTAACTACCTATCCTCAATATTAACAGAACATAAAGCAGAAAAAACTACCCAAGATAAAAGATCACCTTTCCATGACGAAGAAAGAGATGAGTGTGATCATGTTGCGATCCCTGAACAGTTATGTCAAGGACTTCATTCCCAATAAGTAATTGTAAGCTTCCATCTGACCATCTCACAAAACGTGCATTGCTTTCATACTGCAAAATATGATAATATGTTTCATTTTCTGTTTCAGAACATAAAGTGAGATAGAAAAATCAAATGACCAAGTAAATCGTCTTAAAGCAAAGCGAGGTTCTGAAAAGTAGGTTTCAGCATATCCACTGAAGGTGAGAATTTGGTGAAGAAATTTCCATTTGAGGACTTCTAGCATGCCATGGCCCTCTATTCGGATGTGCTAAAGTGAAAGAGTTGGGTGCAGAGGGTATTCCAGAACACACTGGAATACACTTGTATACCCCTTTTTTTTAAAAAAAAATAATAGAACCACAGAGTTAGACTTTTTGAGTGTGATATCACGAATAGAAGAGCAACCTTTCAGTGTACTTGTGATACACTTGTACGGTAATTTCAGCTGTACTACTTATCGTAAGGCTTCATATTATGCATGTTTGATCAAAGCCAGAAGAAAAAAAAAACCACCCAAGATGTGGAACCTGGCTCACAATCAGACTGGGCCAAAGTTTTACAGGGCACTAACCAACCAACCCATCCCTCAAAACACAGAGGGGAGCCCCCTACCCCCACCCACCAAAATCATGGAAGCCCCTATTAGCCAAGAGGATCTTCCGGATGAGACCAAACTTCAAGAACCAAAGGTAAGGGTCAGAGACTGTCATTATCATGACATTTTAAAAAATTGAAACTAGGTGGCAATTTCACAAAATCAAAGCAACTTAAAAAGGTGTCACAGGGAAGGTGAACTTACAGAGGTTGTACCATCACGATTTCGGACACTTCTCCAGCGCACAACATTATCCTCTAGCCGTATGCGCTTCTTAGTCCCAGACTCATCCGTCACAAAAACATCCTCTTCCACGTATGTTTTAGGATCAAAAGGCTTTGGCTCTATGCCCATAATGTTAGAGACCTTGATCATGTTTAACTGCAGGGCACAACAACCATTGACACAAGATTGTTACCAATCAGAGAATGAACGCCTACAAAGAGGTCAATGTCAGTTGCGAAATATTTACAATCCTAAAAAAGAAACCACGCAAAAAGTAGCAAATTTTTGCAACAATGATGCCCTAAAGAATCGGAGGTGAAGATGCATTATTAGGTGCTTCATTACTGAACCCTGACTGGGAAACAAGGACTTGCTTAGATTATGAGATGTTTTTTGTTTTGATAGCCATAGATCAGGCATTTCTCATGTTTGTTAGACAACATAGTCTCATTTTCCATTTTTCACGGCCAAATATTAGTCACTCAGTCAGACCTAAAGAATCACAGAAAAAAGTTCAAAAATAATAATAAAAACTCATACGCATGCAATTTATTACAGGAAAAATAATGACACCCGCAAAAAAAATGGTACATAAACAGGTCCCGGACATGAGAAAAAAAATAATGACATGGTGAAGACATTCAGAGTCTTTCTACTGAAACAGGTCCCCTGGTTAGTTGCCTTAGAATGAAATTTAACAGTCAAATAAATTGAGGAACGCGCACCTTCTCGGGCCGACCAGGTGGTCGATGCAGAGGAATCTCTATATCCAGTGGAGGGCCTACGGGTTTTTCCTTCATTTTGTGCTCGAGGTTCTCATCGTCAGATTCATAGTGACCATCCTCATCAGGAATCATGTCTTCTGGCCTCAGATCCTTCTCGTCACTCTCCTCCCCTTCATCAGGAGACCTCTGACATAAGAAAACAGTAAGTTAAGAGGTGAATATTTCGGGCATCCTAGCACATGTTCATCAGACAGATTATGGCAGACATAATTTTGCATAGCTTTGAAACTTCGTTGTTATTTGTTACTGTTGGTGAACCATCAAAGTGCACTACACTCACGGAAACAAAATAAGATACCAATATTTCTACTTCACTGGTTCCAGTACAAGAGAACAAAATAAAAGAACTAAGCCGCACAATTCGTACTCACATGCGAATCTTGCTCGACTTCATGTTGAGATTCATAGTCAGCTGCTTCATCTTCATCTGAATCCCCAAGAATATCACGAACTGCGCGATCTCTTTCCCTGGTGATACACAGAATAATCGTAAATTCGCAGAAAAAAGAGGCATTTGACATTAACAATTTCGTCATATATGCCAAACAGTATTTCATGCAGGAGATTTTTATGCAATACAACCGAATGAAAGCAAAAGGTACCCGGCCAGAATAAAAGAAGCTAGAGAAAGAGCATAGATCTTTCCTCTTTTATAAAAAAATGTATTTTGCATAAATTTACGATCTGGAAAAAGGATATCTAAAAGTTTTTATTTACTCCTTAAATTGAAAGAATCGAGTCATACGGTTCAAACAGGTCAATAGGGTATATGGAAAAACTAACTTGAAAAGCTCGGGAAGGGTTTATCATCAAGCATAAGAAGAAAACTGCGCACAGAGTAATACGACGTATTCATCTAAACTAGTTGCTTCAATCAGACCTCAACACTTTGCTTCATACCTGACTAAATCTATTTCTACCATTACACGTACTAAAGCAATGGGTTCTGTGCAGTTATAACAATTTTTTTTCCGTTGAAGCCAGCATGGGGTTTCCATTTTCTGGTGTAGGGTGATCCGTAGTTTCTATTCATTCTTCATCAAAAAAAGGTTCATAACAATATTATATCGCATATACAATGAAACACGAAGTTATGTGCCGTAGTTTCATTCCTAACACTTCGTGTCAATCGCAGGGTGCAGTTTCCTTGTGTATATCTATGTGATTTTAAACGATGTTAATGTCATTTAAGTATAGATGGATAGTAGCTGATGTATAACAATTTTATGCCATGGAAATCGCACATTATTCAATAAAATGCACATATATGCATTGAACTTCTTCACAGGAACGTTTGGAGAAAAGTTCATTTATATCCCAAGCAAATAACTTGCATTTCTATCACTGAGAGCCTACAAGCCTAGAGCAACTAAAACTAACTAATGAGATTAAAGTTTCACTATTTTTGAGAAAATCATGAAGAATATTTAAATCTTTAGAGAATATGAAAGAATGTACGTTAGAGAGATGAGTTATACCTTGGTTTAATAGCTTGATCAACCTCTTCGTCTTCATTGTCAGCGTAATGGTTGTCTGCGGATCTCTCTGAATCACTTGCAACTACTTCTCGCCTCCTGCCTGTCATTACCCTTTGGCCATAACCATGGTCTTCACTCTCTTCATCTTTTCCTTCGCTTTCCAACCTTTGATCGCTGACTTCCCTCTCCGGGGAACTCTGAACCCTTTCCCCCTCGCTCTCTCCCTGTTCAGGATATGTCTCATGTAATTCTGCTTCACTTTCCACATCACCCTCCCCTCCCCTCTCTCCCTCCACATCCACCTCACCCTCACCCTCATTCTCGGGCTCGTTTTCACCGTCCTGAATACAAATAAAATAAAACAAGACTCCATTCAGAAAAAACCAACAGTGATGATCTTCAGACCCTCAGCAGATGCAAAGTAATTCACAAAACCATCATGTTGATGACGACCTTTGTGATTATTTGGGAAATTTTCTGGAAGTAGAAAGAAAATCAAAGATGTACCAAACATGAAAACAAATACAATGAACCCTGCTTAGATGTAAAGGCGCATCATTAACCCATGTTTCTGTCGAAACAGTTCGCGAAACCAAATGAAATAAAGGATTTTTCTGTTGAAGATATAATGAATTTATGATAGAGTGAGAAAGTGGACTAAAGCAAGGTGGAGAGAAGTGCACTCCAGCTTGGCAGGTAAATATCTAATAGTCTTTGACATTGGCAGGTGGAGAGAAGTGCACTATGTTCTATTTTCCTCTTAAAGAAATTGTTTCACTGTCGATAAATTCCCACCACACCTCTCCCGTTCATGGGCTTCACATTCAATCCATTATCAACTCTGCTAATACCTGTAAATAAGAACTAAACCCTCCCAGCAAAAGATCATGACCACCGTCTTCTTTCCACTAGATCCGTTTGTGAGAGAATACCCACTCTCATAAGGCAATCAACGGAAACTAGAAATCTATGCAGCCAGGGAATGAGGATTATCTCTGAAACTAGACCAAGTAAAAGTAGAATTAGGTACGAACGCAAAAGAAAGCTGCTTCAGTGACGAAGTTAGAGAAGTTACCCTTTTCACTGACATACATTACATCTCCTGATCTCTAGGCAAATGCAGCCTCTACACTAAGTGAACCCCCAAGAACCAATTAAAAGTGACCCGATCAGCATTGTTCCTTCAATAATTCCTCCCACAAAACCTTCTTACCTTGGCTCTAGAAAAGGGTCCATAGATACCAGAGAAATGTCGTTCAAGTCAACGAACAAGTTCTTAAAGTCATAGTTCAAAAGGAGCATAACCCCTTTGGACAAGCTTTCAGTTGGTAATGCAACACTTTTCATTAACATATCACTCTCAAACTCCACAATAAACACAATCCCTCAGCGATTTGAGTTTCCTGTAAGCATTCAATGTCGACTTTATATCTTCACACAAATTCCTTCACCACACTTATCTGTTCCTTCCCATACGATACCCTAATACTCCACGAGATTCTCTGCATAGATATAAGATATGACTACCTCCCTCAACTTCAGAGTAACTGATAAATGTCTAACCAACTCTTGCTATCAGCACCCAGCAGAAGCAACTTGCTTTGAACCTCTGGAGGAGAATGGCAACACAAGATGTGATCAGGAGGCAAAGAAGCATAAGGAAAACAAAGAAAACTATGATTATAAATGGGCTTAAGAGGTGTTTGTGAACAGTGTTATTTAGGTGCAAATTGATGTTGGCTCAATGTTTTAATGCTGAAAAGTTCATCATCCTAATTTTTTAAGTTTTAACCTGAGGACTTTCTCAGTTACCCACCCTGCCTATGAAAATTTTCGTTTTCATACAGAACGTTTCCTTCGCAAAATTTCTAATTGACGTTTTATGCTAATAAATGAAGATTCATCACACATTAACGATTTTTTCTCAAACCCTTCCAAAATAAGGCCCAACTTCCGACGGGAATTCTAGGAAATAGCTTTTTCCTGTGGTAATGCCTTTAGATTGGAACCATTGAATAAGTTAACATTCATCAATAGAAGGAATAAATAGGCGGATCGCAATTGAGAAAAAGTTGTCTCCTAGAGCCCTTAAGGCAAAACTATATGAGGCCTACAGAGTCACTATTAAGAGTACTTTAACAACGCATAGCAGTGACATCAGGGGATTCTAAACTAACACATACCAAACTAGGGCAGCCTTCCAACAGGGAGGCAATTCACACGCGTGCGAAAATCCTGGAGTTGCGATAGGCATGGCAGGCAGAAAGAGGGATAATGAAACGATATATATATATACACACAGACGAAGATTCGTATCGTTGTCTGTAGCTTTTAGACCTAAAATACTATCTACCAATTATCTTCGTGATTTTGTCGAGGAAAGGGAAGAGGTTAAAGATTTACATCTATGATAAGAGGCGAACGAGGGAGACTTTCACAACTAAACCTTCCCGTGCCCAATCAAATCTATCACAGACACAATGTCTTTCACCTTGTATCTCCGTCGTGAGGAATAATGCGACAGATAATCACCAAAAAAACGTCGCAGGTACCAATAGGAAAACCATTCCATAACTTGCGATAGACCAGTTACCGATGGGTAGTTAGCGCGCTGAGCCGCCGCCTCGTGCTCGGAGTCGACCTCCTCTTCTTCCTCGTCTTCGTCAAAGTGCTCCCCAAAAATGTTCTGAAGCATCTGATTTCTCCCCATCTCCCCCCCCATCTCGACCCACCTCTCTCCTTCGCCCGATCCTTTCACGCCCTTCCCTTCGATCTTCTCCCCCACCCCCTTCCGTCCTCCCGCCCTCGTCTCCCCGGCGCTCCTCCAGCCCCGAATCTTTACGGCCCTCGGAAGGTCTCTTTACTCCAAATCGCCACAGTCATGGATAGGCTACGGGTCAGCGAGTATGGACGGTAGAGATTCGGCCTTCTTCCCGGCTCAAATCGGCTCGGATCGACCGGTCGACTCGGCGAGCCCCGTTCTCTCAGGACACAAAGATGGGAAGGTATTTCTGCAGGTAGATATACCTTTAGAAGAGTTGGAAGAAATATATATATATATATCATAATAAATATCCCAAAATGTCACTTTTATTTTTTTACTTTCCATGAATTTATTATCACTCCTCCCTCAGCTCTTTACTCTAGACGAGATAATTTATCAGAAATTAAATAAAGAATTTATCCGAGCCGACCCGTTCCGTCCAGCTGAGTCGATTGGAGTTCCGAATCCCCGGGTCGTCCCGAGTTGGGAAAGAGCGACGGAGGGTTTTTTTCTTTATCAGGGTTTAAACCCTGACGGCGGGCTAGCCGCCGGAGCTGAGGCCCTCGACCTCACAAGGTGCGACCGTGGCGAGTCGAGGCGGAGAAGGAAGTGGGATATCCGACCTTTGATTTCTCGGTTCTTTCGGTGGAAGAGATGGGTAACGGCGGCATGGGAGAGGAGGCGTCCACACAGGTGCAGGTCCGTTTTACTACGAAGCTCCCGCCGCCTCTGAAAGTCGCGGCTAGGTCTGTTGCCGTGCCGTCCAACCTGACCAGGATGGGCCTCTCGGAGATCGTCAACCATATCCTCAGCGTGGGTAAGTGTTATGTTCGCGCTTTACAATATCGTGCTCTCCCCTTTTTGCGTGGCTGTGGCCGTTGAATTTTTTCCGAAGTTGTTTACATTTTTTATGTTACCCTGTGCTTACTGTCAGGGGACTCTGACCACCAGCCTCAGCCGTTCGACTTTCTTGTTGATGGTGAGCTTGTCCGAATGCCTTTGGAACAATTTTTGCTAGCCAAGGGTATCTCTGCGGTAAACTTCTTACTTTTTTCGTTCTTATTTTGCCATCTGTAGTGTTCTTTTTTAAGCATAAATCGGTTTTTTGTACATGTTGCTGCCTTTTTATCCATGTAAGTGGTCGTGGAGGAAGGTCATTCCTGGGACTGTTTCTTTCGTGCCTAACAATCTGTCTCAGCTTCTTAGGCTTATTGTTCCATCAAACACCCGAACAGTGAATAGCGAATTTGCATTCAGAACTTGCAAATGTTTCCCTTTTCAAAAGGTTGAGGAGTCTCCAGTGACTGCTACTATTAACTAGACTGAAATGCCTTTCGAAGTTTTAACTTTTCCCAAAAATTACAAATCAAGAAAGAGGAAAAATAAAAAAAAATACTCAATGACTATTTCTTTCATTTTTTCCGTCATGAGATATAGATTTTCCTAAAAAATTTGTCTATACTTCTGACATTTTTTAAGGCAGAATTTTTTTTCTCCTTTTTTTTATCCTAGTCGATATTATATAAGTGGACTAACCTGTGAATGCTTACATTTGTGATATTTTTACCTTCTAACTGTTTTTCTCGTCTTTGATTGTGCCTTAGATGTTATTTTCGTTTTGATAAAATTTCTTTCAAATTCGTAATTGATATATTGTTAATGTATTGCAGGAGAAAGTACTTGAAATCGAATACATAAAAGCTGTCATACCTCGCAAACAAGATGACCCATGTCCCCATGATGATTGGGTCAGTGCGGTCGATGGCTCAAATAAACGGTATTGCAATGCTATTTTAATTGTTAGTTGACATGAATGCCCTATATTATTTCCTTTTCATTCTTTTTTTTCTCCACTCCGTTCCAATTTACTACTTTATGGACGCTCTATTTCACTTATTTTTTTGGGGTTGCTATTTGTATATAGCATGGATCATGTAGAGTAAAGAGAACAGATAGCTGTAAAGTACAACAAATAAGAAAAATACAGACGTTTTTTTATCATCTGAAAAACCAGGTTAAGTAATTTGTAATTGTAGTGATGGCTTCTCCCCACATGTTCCCCGAAGTGACAGGTTGTCAATAATGACGCAATGCTTAAGATAGATGGGTAGATCCCATCAACATGATCACCACAGTTTCCTAGTCTTTATTATTTTTTTTATAACAAGATATCATTTCATTACTGATAGAGGGGGGATTCACTTATCCCGTGACAGGCCGCATTATCTCTCACAAAGAGGGTCGGACCTGTATGAATTTCAGTTCTTTATGATGCCACGAGTATGTTTTTATCAATGAAATAATATCTTTCAAAGGGTGGTAGATCTGTGTGGTTCTTCACTGTCCATTGTGCGACCCCATGTCGGTTTGTGCCCCAGCACTTTAGCCACAATGGGGTTGGACATCGTCTAAATGGACATTATATCTTTCTGTCACAAATTCTGATTCAAAAATAAATGCTTCCTATCCATCATGCAAGCAGTAATAAAAAGACGTATGTATTAATGCTTGATCAGCTAAAGGATGTGTCAATGTTTTTTTATGTTCAAGTAACTGATGCAATAAAAAGAATAACTTTGGTGGCCAAATGTCCCAGTACTATTGTCCTATTAAAATCAAAGAAATAATGCTAATAGAAACAGTCTGGGTCTTTGTATGGAACTTGGTAAATACCATGCAGTTCTTGTTACAGAGCCTCTTTCTTACGTCATTTAGCTTTTCAAGTTATCTTGCATTCAAGACTCCTATCAATTATATTCTTCGGGAACCTCTTTTAGTTGAAGCCGTTAAAACCCATGTTTAGAAAGTTTCGACATCAGGCGTCTGCTTTTTCAAATTTTTTGAGCATATGTATCACAGAGTTCCGATTTGAATTATTGACGATATCCTTCTGATTTTTTTATCAAGCATAGTTGGAGGTACTGTATTTTTCATGTCATCATGGAAAGTAGTTCTAATTTATTTTTAGTCAACGTACTTTGTGTTGAGTTCCTTTTCGAAGTACATGTGGAACCCATTTTATAGCGGGACCTGAAGTGGGCATACTTTGTGTTGGCGAACTTTAGTATTTATCTCAATTCCATATTCGAATTTGTCTTATAGTCTTATATTTGTCCAATTTATGGTTTTGTCTAATTGGTATAACCTTTTGAATGCATGCCGTGTTCGTGTTCTACTTTGGCTTGTCTGTGTCTCGGTAGTATGTTGATTTCTCCTTTCTTTTATGCTTTCCAAACTCCTAATCGCAAAACGATGATTAGTCTTTAGTTAACTTATTTGTTCCCTTATAAGCCCTTCCTTTTTTTTCTGAAAGTGAGCTCTTTCGGCTTTTTTTTGTCAGTGCACAATCTGTATGGATTTTTTTCACATTTATGTTTCTTTTTTTGTGAATTTTTTTTTCTGTACAACTAAGTTCTGCACATGCCTCTGACAGGTTCATATTGACAGGATGCTATGATGGTTGTGCAAGGTATGCATAGTGTGTAGATTTTATTACTTTGCAGTGTATTGTGACCGGGCAAGGCACTTCAGAGTGCGTAAATTTGATTACTTTCCAACATATAATGCTTCTCCTGATGATGAGTGACATTCAGTGCAAGAAATATGGTGTTCATAGTTACATGTTATTTAATTATTTGTTTCTTTTCATATTCTTGTAGGATTTGGCAAGATGGACTGTCTACTCATGTTCTTGAAGGACATAGTGATGCAATTACATCAGTCAGCATCATCAATAAGAAAGGTTGTTCCAAGTGTGACCCAGATCCTTTTGCTGCTTTTGCTATTTTGTGCAGACAGGTCTTTTGTGGGACTTGGTCTTGCCGGAGTCTGGCAGATGTCATCAATAGGAATCTTGTTATCCATCAAACCTTTTATTTTCAATAGCAAAAGAATACAGAATTGTTGCTGTGTATTTTATTATGTTTGACGATGGCACAGTGAATTGTACCAAGTGTTGATTTCCCCGTTAAACTTGCCCATGTGAGAACTTTTGGGTAGACCTATATGAACAAGTTGTTTTTCCCCTTTTTATTTATAAAAGGTGGTTGTTACAATATCCTGTAAATATTGATGTATTCTTTAATTCTGAAGAAGACTTAATGTGCATTAATTTTTCCATACTCGTTACTGGCAGAATCGTGGATGAAACGGCTTTAATGAATCCAAGATGTAATCCATTGTCGGAAAGATGTGTATCCAATTCCTCACCAACTCTTAACATTGGTTTTGTTTTTGTGTTATGTTACAGATATGGAATCCAGTAGCATCATATATGTTGGTACTGCTTCAAAAGACAGGACATTGAGGTTTTGGAAGGTTCGGGTTCTTTGCTCACTATATACTGACCTTCTTTAATATTTTGCATCAGATTTTTATCCTTTATGCTGTTTAAAGGTTGATGCAGATGAGCCTTCGAAGAACCTGAAGAAGGTCGAGCCATTTACTGTTCTAAATGGTCATACGTCGGCAGTACAAAGTATATCGTCTGAGCCATCTGGTGACATGGTATGTTCGGGATCCTGGGACTGCTCCATCAAGTTGTGGGCAGCGAAGGAAGCTGACGTAGAAGATGAATCAGTGTCATTGAAGAAGAGGAAGTCAGATTCTGATGCGTTACATGAGAAGTCTCAGCTGGAGGTATCCATGGCTTTACCTTGGTGCATATTTGATGACGTTATTTTTTCAGTGTGATGCAATAATGTTCATACCTTCATCCTTTCTATTATGCATCTTCTTTTGGTCTCTGAGATTATGATGATCAAACGAAGATCGTATTTAGAGTTTTCTGCTGCAATATTGTTTGATTTCTTCACTCTTACCAGTCTTCTTCCCTTCTTGCCCACTCTTGTACGAGGAGGGCTCGTACAGTCCTTTTTCTTCCTTGCTTCACTGCCCTGAAGATTCTAGTCTCCGTTCTTCCATAGTTGTCTTCCTTCACTTCCCGACATTGCCTTCTCTTGATCAACCTGGGGCCACTTTCATAACTCCTTCCCTTCACTCCAACCATGATGGATATTTTACAAATGCACTGGATTTTTTCATAATATTTCACTAGAAAATGTATTGGATGTTTCCAATTTGTTGCCTTGTACATTGCAGTTGCTTGTCTATTCTTTCCATTTATACCCCCCCTTCTATCCTCTCCGATATGCTTTCTAATTATGAACAATCTTTGTGTTAACTTTATGATTAGGGCAGCGCCATATCCACCTTGAATGGACACACACAGTGTGTAGCATCAGTTGTTTGGACAGAACGTCAGACGCTCTATTCTGCTTCATGGGATCACTCAATTAGGAGATGGGATGTCTCAACTGGCGAGAATACCTGGAACATGGTACGGAAAATTTTCTATCTTTTTTCGTACTTGTCGTGTATTTTTATAGACCAGCCTTTCAAAATGTGGTTTATAAGATTGATAAAAACTAATTAGTCTGCAGATTACATTTTCATTGCTTGATCTATGCAAGTAAATTTTATGGTTTACCTAGGAATTAAAAACCAATATTTGCATTTCTAAAACATGTCATTTCCCATGAAAAACCAGTTGTATTTAATCAATATGAGTGAGCATTACCCCCCAAAAGTTTTTTGAAAATGTGCCGAAACTCGCAAATATTTTATTTCTTAATTCGACCCTAAATTGGTCAAGTTACCATAACTGGCACCATTGTTGTCAAAGTGTTTATGAACTGATAAAATCAAAAATTGAAGTATAAATCTCTAGTAAAATAGCAGTACTGTGGCGTTTTGTGAAGGTTTAAGTTATTTCTGTCTCAGCAAAAAGATCTCTTTCGATATAATCTAAACCTAAATTCCAATGATTTGTCGAAAATAGTGATGAGAACTCCATCTATTTCAATTTATCTATGATGAGTTGTTCTCCAACGTCACAGCAAGGCCTCATCTTCAAGATTGTAATTATTTTAGATCATAGTTCCCATCATAATCTGCAGTCAAGCATGTTCTGTCACCCAGGCTGTGAGGCAACACGGCGGTGCGTTGCTCACTCAGGTTGCCCACAGGACTTGTGTTCATGCTATTTTTGAAGAATCTGGAGCAATCTACATAGGGTTGACCTTTCTTGGATTTTTACTATTCTAGAAACCACCGCAGCATTTGTAATCAAAATCCAATAATCTCCTCGTACCTGCGAATCTTTGCTGTTATCATCCGCGTCTATCATCATGTGCAGGTGTGCGGAAAAGCCCTGAATTGCCTGGATATTGGAGGTGAGGGTTCTGCCCTGGTTGCTGCGGGAGGGTCTGATCCTGTCTTGAGAATTTGGGATCCACGAAGACCAGGTCAGTTGACCAGATGATCCATCACCCTCTCCCTCCCGGCGAATGAATCTTCACGAATGTCATTTCCACAGGAAACATCGCACCTGTGTATCAGTTCTCATCACACACATCGTGGATTACTTCCTGCAAATGGCATCCAAAATCATGGCTTCATCTAGTTTCCACCTCCTATGACGGGAAGGTGATGCTGTGGGATCTAAGAACAGCGGTATTATATAGTCTTCCTTCCCTCTTGGAACCGATCCCAGGCGTCCTTGGGTTGATCTGATCTCTTTTTTGGCTTCTTCTCATTGCAGTGGCCGCTGGCAGTCATAAACTCGCACTCAGACAAGGTAAAAGAAACACAGCTAGGGTTTCGCGTTTAGTCTGCAGCTTCCTCTCCTGAGCTGTGCGTTGACCCATCTTCTTCCCTGGCCCAGGTGCTGTGCGCGGACTGGTGGAGAGACGACAGCGTGGTCACTGGCGGCGCGGATTCGAAGCTCTTCATTTCTTCAGGAATCAGTGTTTCCTAGGAATCGAAAGTGAAGTACGCATTCTAATTGTTTGCTAGCATCTGAGGGAGTGGGTTACCTCAAGATTCAAAATTTTGTATTGCGGGAAACTATCTCGTGGTTGACTTAAATTATCATATAAATGAGAATTTTGGCCATTGTGGTACTTTTTTTATATAACTTTTTCCCTTATATGACCTTACTGCGTCGTCTCGTTTGCGTTGTTGCGTTGACCTCGCGCCGTACTCTCTCTCTCTCTCTCTTTCTTTCTACCCTCCTGCGGGAGAGAAGCCCACCTTCCCGTCCGGATGGTACGTGAGAGCGGATGCTAGTTGCTTAGGCTGGAGGATCGATCGGAAAGGAGGAGAGTTCTTCGCCGGAGCGCTGGCTCGCCATTCCCTCGCCTCGGCGGTCAAATTGTCCGCCTCTGCGGGGGACGTCCGCTCGGGGAGGTCTCTCCACGCGCACATCGTCAAGTCTGGGCTTCTGAATGTGACCTCCATCGCCAACCATGTCCTGAACATGTACAGCAAATGTTGTTGTTTCTGCGATGCCCGGCTACTGTTCGACGAAATGCCCGAGAGGGACGTGGTCTCCTTTTCCACGCTGATATCCTCCAGCTCTCGATCTGGGGAGCCCGGACTGTCCTTGTACCTTGCAAAGGAGCTGCAGAGAGCAGGCTTGGAGCCCAATGAGTTCGTCTTCTCAGGTGTAATTTCTTCTTGCTCAAAGCTCCGTTGGATCTTCTGCGGCAAGCAGGTGCACGCCCAAGCCGTCGTCTCTGATCTTGCGTCGAACCCATTTGTTAAGGCATCTCTGGTCGACATGTACTCGAAGTTCGGGGATCTTCATTCGGCAGTCTCCTCTTTTCGGCTTGGCCCAGCTGGGGATCCTGCCGTCGTTAACTCTATGGTCTCTGGGCTGGTTGGCTCGGGTCTATATTACGAAGCTCTTCGACTGCTGAGAGAGACATGGAACAGCTCTGATTCCTGGTTCACAAATTACACCTTCGTCAGTGCAATCAAAGCCTGCGGAGATCTGCCCCAAGGCATTGGAAAACATCTGCACGGTCTCCTTGTGAAGTGTGGGTGTGACTCAAACTGCTTTGTGGGTGCATCTCTCGTTGATATGTATGGCAGATTTGGGGACGCGGATGGCATGGAAAGGGCCTTCCACTGTGTTACTTGCCCTGATCTTGCTCTTCAGAACGCAATAATCGTCGGTTCCACACAAAATGGGTTTTACGACATCGCACTGGAATACTTCGAGGAGCTGAAGTTGGAGGGATTTGCCCCGGACGAGTGCACTCTTTCAAGCGTTCTCAAGGCCTGCGGTGGCCTGAGACTGATAACTCTTGGAAGGATTGTTCATGGGTTCCTTGAGATCTCCGACCTCCGACATAACTTGGTGGTGGATACTGCTTTGATTGACATGTACCTGAAATGTGGGAAGGTTGAGGAAGGTCGCTCCGTATTTGATCGGATGCAGAAGAGGAGCGCCATAACATACAACACCATGATATCAGGACTGGGGCAAAACCAGAGGTTTGAGGAGGCAGCAACCCTCTTCATCCACATGAACAGAGAGGGGCTGGCCGTGGACCTCGCAACCTTCGTCGCTGCAATTGGCTCGTCCCCGGGGCTCGGATGGGTTCTATATGTCTGCGCCATCAAGTGTGGGCTCGGATGGAACCCCATGGTTGAGAATGTGCTCTTAGATAGCATTCTCAAAGATGGAGAAATAAAAGAGGCCCTGGATTTCTTTCACCAGATGGAGGACCCAAATGTTGTCTCCTGGACTACAGCCATATCTGGGCTCACTCAATCTGGTTTCTACACGGAAGCACTGGAGCTTTTTAGAAAGATGAGGTCGACAGAGACAAGCCCCAATGTTTTTACTTTCTCAAGCGCCTTGAAGGCCTGTGGGAGACTGGCCGATCTTGAACAGGGGAGAAGCATCCATGCATGTCTCCTAAAGCATGGTCCCGTTGGCGATGAATACACCACCAGTTCTATCGTGGACATGTATGCGAGCTGTGGAGCTCTAGAGGAGAGCCACAGAGTCTTCCATGGGCTTCCCAAAGGAGATGTGGTAACATGGAATACCATGATCGGCAGCTACGCCAGCCATGGATATGGCCGGAAGGCCTTGGAGCTGTACGAGAAGATGGTGGAGGAAGAAGTGAAGCCCAGCCATGTGACTTTCATCTCTCTTCTATCGGCGTGCAGTCGCTGTGGGCTGGTAGACGAGGGAGTTCGTCTGTTTGAGCGGATGACTCCCGACCACGGAGTCAACCCTCGCATGGAGCATTACGCATGCATGGTTGACCTTTTCGGGAGGGCCGGCATGCTGGAGAAGGCCAGAAGCTTGATCGAGAGCATGCCATTTGAGCCCGATTCCTCGATCTGGACCGTCCTCCTTGCTTCCTGCAGAGTCCATGGCAATGTGGAACTAGCAGCGCAGGCCAGAGACCATCTCTTGGCGATGGGGGGGGAAGATAGCCTCACCCATGTCCTCATGTATAATGTGTACTCTGAGGTGGGCAACTGGGTGGACGCAGAGAAATCAAGGATGAGAGTCGCTAGTGCGGGTGCGAGGAAAGAACCGGGCATCAGCTGGGTGCATACCAGAGATAATCATTTGCAGAATATGATAATAACCTAACATCTGGAATATAATCCAAACTCTTGTTGCCTGCATCAGAGAGAGCAGCTTCCTGCTGGTACCCGTCCGAAAAACATGAAGTAGAGTGAAGGTCTACGGTAGTTTACTTCGTGGTTTGATGGGTCAAACGGAAATTTATGTGGGTTTTTAGTCAAGATGATCATTTGGAAACTAATGGGAAGACATTCTCCCACGAGTCATCAGCTCTTCTCGTGATGAAGCAAATCTGTCAGGAACTTACTTGCGGAACTGCGCGTGCAATGGGTTTTTTCTTTTCTTTTTACGGCTTTTGTTAATATTTTCTTCCGAGATTTAGATCTTTTGCTTGATCTTATCCGTGAGGGAAATTTTGCATTCTGCGCAAGAGCTTAGCCGAGCCTCATCTCTGGATGATTACAAGAAGAGGCATAGCCTAGAACATATCTCTCTCTCTCTCTCTCTCTCTCTCTCTCTCTCTATATATATATATATATATATATATATATATATATACATAACGCTAGCACATTGCCATTTTGGGCAAAACAGATCTACTAATTCTTTTATTCCAGTTAGTAAGAGGGATCTTGAACTAAGAAATAGACCCTAGAAGCTAAAAGAGGGTATCCTGAGCAATTGCAAGAATAGGGTTCATTGATATTCCTGGTATAGTAGATGCTATCACACATACAGTCATACTTTTCGTGAAAAAAGCCCAATTGAAGGGGAGGGTTTCTTCAAACAAGGAGCTGAGGCAACGATTCAATCAAATGATATTGAGCACAATTGTTGTTATGATTGAAAATACAGAAAATGATTGAAAATCAAAAAGGATTGATTTACGTATGTTATATAGTATAGTAATATAATAATAATAATTCTATTTTATTAATTTTTATTAGATTTTATTTAAAATATCTTATTTTTTACATTATTATATAATATAGTTTACCTATATTACTATTGTACTTCTATTATATGGATATTTATTGATACTTATTGATTTTTTTTGGGGTAAATCAATTGATCCTTGTTCGTAGACAAAGCTGATTCGGAATTGTCTTTCATTCCAAGGCATAACTTGTATCCATGCGCTTCATATTAGTCTGGAGTTCGCTCCCAGCAATATAGGCAAAACTTGTAAGCTTTACTGGGTACGCCTCACATACTGCCTTTGGGCAACCCTCTCAACAACTAAGAGACCCATTCGAGGAACACGGGGACTAGTTGGAAGTAATGAACCTCCCCATATATATATATATATATATATATATATATATATATCGAGAGAGAGAAAGAGAGAGGGAGAGAGTGAGACTTAAAGGCCGTCTCTTGGAGCTTATAGTTGATATAAGGCTGGGCTTGAAAATTCCCGGGCCTGTTGGCCTCTTGATCTGTCCTGCAACGACAATGTGGGACCCAACGGGAAGCCACCTAGCCGCCGCTCTTCACAGAAGTCTCCTCTTCCTCCCGACGGCGCCCCCAATATTTCTTTATACAGACAGCCGCCGCATCCCTTATCTGGAAGCAAGCTGAGAGCAGACAAGCCGCAGATACCTACCGAACCCAAGTGGACCCACCATTTGGATTCTCCACTCTACCCAAGCTGTCTTCCTCGTACGGTCGAACGGTCGTTAGATATTCAGGTGGGCCCGGGACGGAGACGCGCCGCCTTTCCCGCTCGGCCTGCCTTTCTTTAATTGGAGGATTTCTAGTGGGCAGCAGCGTCACATAAAAGAGCTGAACGAGAATGAGTTCCGAGCATGCTGACGCCAGGAAGCAAAGACGAGAAAGAATGGAAGATGCTGCTATTCATCTGATGACATCAAAACGGACGGCGACGATCACTTCTCGCTCTCTCTCTCTCTCTCTCTCTACACCTCCGTCTCATTGGTACTTCAGAAGAGGAGAGGGCGGAAAAAGGTACCCATTTGAAAACGAGGACACCCGCGTGGAAGAAGCCATCTTCAGAGTCGTCGCCTCCCTCCCCCATTCCTCGTCCCTCTCACGGCGGTGGCGGCGGCGGAGATGAAAAGAATCAGCCGGCGGATGGGGGGGAGGGGGGGCTCAGAGAGAGAGGCAGGTCACTCCCTCAGGTTGACTTCCGGGCATCATCGGCAGGGCGGCCACGTATCTCTGGGGGTATATCCTCCGGGGGGTGGGGGTGGCAGCGGCCGCCGCCTCGGAGGTCGTCGGCAAGCTCTCGACTCCTCCGGGTTGACCCCGGCTATGGAACCTAACGAAGCGGTTGACCAAGGAGAGCCTCTCCAGGTCCTGGCACTCGACTCTCACGTCCGGAACCGAGGCACCGCTCTCCAACCTGCAACATCAAATAAATGGAGGAGGGCAGTAAAGTCTCAGGCGGAGAAGTACCATACGGGGACACACTAAAACCAGGTGAAGAATGGAAGCTCATCTTACCTTGATAGATCACCTTCCATCTTCCTCGCTCTGGCGATGAAGTCCTCTGCAACTTTCGAGAAAAACCCGTCTCCGTCCCTTTCCGAGGTCTCAAGTCTCTCAGACGCCCTAGACAGATCAAAGAGGGTGGAGCGAATGGTGATCAAAGAGGGATAGCTCTTGTCTGAAAATATCTGTCACTAGATAGAGAAGAAAAAGTGTAGGAGACCAAATGGCATAGAGATGAGACCCAGAACTTACAGATCAGCGCCGCTTGATGGAACAGTGGAGCCCCTTCTTGAGCTTGACATGCCACCGCATGCACGCCCTAGAGCCAGTCTAGCAGCAAGGTACGTCGCACTGTCCTGATGTAAGTTGGCATCCGAGCAAAGGATTTTCATGGGCACAGCAGGAAGCAGCAGCTGCATCAGCTGAGTAGTCAATATAAGTCTCCTACGGGCCCGGGGTCCGTACAGTATATCCTCACCCATGTCAACTTCATCGTCAACCTGTTTGAAAAAAATAATTCCAAAATCATCCTCTAATATTTTCTCTTAGATTTTTCACATCATCCCAAAAAAAGGCCCTTCCGGCGCATGAAAAGCCAAAAATAATTATACTATTGGAAAAAAATAAAGAAAAGCTTCTGGCAAACCTTGTCAATCAGTCTATTTGCAGTATGTGCCCAGCTAACTTCGGCCATACTGTCAACAGGAAAACTTAAGAATTTAGATCCAAATAAGAAAACCTGAGAATGAAATGCCACTAAACCGGTTCTTCAAGAAACATTTCAAAAGCATGGAAAAGGGTCAAAGACAAGTAGAAAACTGTCTTTATTTTTGTGTAAGACTACCTGACACTCGGTAGCCTTGCAGATTCGTGCGTGATTTCTTTGTGCCAAGGTGAGCGTTCCGACAATAAAGGTTTATGCCTCTTTGGTCTTTGGATCAGATCATGGTCAACAGCATCCGCAGGTGTGTGAAAGGGGGAAGGATGCTCGTTGGCAGCAGCAGATAAACTCCTTCTCCAAACAGATTCAACCTGATCAGAATCATTCATTTTCCCAGCAGAACTAGGCACGTCCGTGCTGCTGGAAACGTTTGGAAAGGACAAACGCTGGACAGCAGCTCCTGCAGTTTTCTGATCACCTAATGAATTGTACGTGGATAAAATCTGCTCATTTTTTAAGTTTTCATATTGATCAAACCATGACGGCGCCATCTGTGGATCAATCCGGGAAGGTGAGATTCCTGCTGATGGAGATGAGTTGGAGGTGATACTAAGACCACGAGGTTGATTCTGAGAATCATTAGGACTGATACCAGTCAAAACCTGAGATTGCACCTCTTTCCGAATAACTTGAGAAGGTCCAACCACACTCTCGTTGGCACTGGCCTCTGATGAGAAACATAGCATCTTGGTATCAGATGGAAACGGACTTTGACTACCACTTAAATTTAACTCCTTATACGAGGGAACTCTAGCTACAGCATTATATCCGTAAATTAATGTCTGAGGTGCTTTCCCAGTCATTTCCTGGGAATCAGGAGCAGAATCTGCCGCTTTCAGCCTCTTCCCAAGCCGTTTGTTGGGGTCCGACTCAATTGCCTTCATTGCCTGAACCTGTTGCAGAAGAGAGTAATTTGGATGCTGACCATCAGGTGATTTTAAACGATGGCTGGGAGAACCAATATCACGGCCAGAAGAGGCAATATTCAACAGCGAAGAATGGCTCGGTTGCTTTTCAAGGTGTGAACCTTGCTCGAGCTTTGCCCTACCAATGTCTTGCTGGTATAACTGTACAAAGGATGGAATGGCCAAAGAAGAGTTTCCAGCAGCAGAATGCTTTGGTAAAGATTCTCCCACTTGAGTGGCACCAGATCCATGTGGAGAAATATCTGACCTCCCGGACAGAATTTGACGCACAGCATTCTCTTTACTTGCCTGTTGCTCCCCCACGGTACTATGTTGAGAATCTATTGAACAAGTAGCAGTACTTTGTCCTTTCTGACTCCCTCGATCGTCAGACCTATTTGACAACCAGGGGCTTGTATCCAACGGGCTAGAGCGGACAGACTGAGATAAATTTGGGCTTGGCTTGTCAGGTAAGCGCCGCTGAGCAGATACATTTGTCCATACATTTTGCAGCATAGCGGAGAATGCTCCCTGCTGGGACACACCAGGTCTGACTGAAGGTTGTGAAACTGACCGTACACCCAACCCGGGTATTGAGCTTCTTGGATGAGAAGCGGACGTGCTTGTTGCCGGAGGTAGGCCCATGTCCCCGGAATATGGATGGGTCGATGGAGCTTGGCGAGTATCAGATGGACAAGCTAGCCTGGAAGGTGCAACCTGACCGGCTACACCTGGTAACAATACCTGACTAGGTCGATTTGCTAAAGCTTCACCATGTATGTCTCTGCTAAGCGAGCCATTGGTCAGTCTGCCATCAGAAGGATCTTTTGTGTGTACATCGGGGTCAATCTGGTTACGAGAAGGCATGTTCACTGACTGTTCTGTTGTGAAATGTCCACTAGAAACAGAGAGCTGTTGTTGATGCTGTTGCAATTGTTGCGAGTCGAGTGGGAAGAAACGCGGGCTAGAAGAAGTAATCGACGTTGTCTGAGAGATTTCCTTGCCAGGCTGTTCAGATGAGTGCGACATATTATTCAAAGTTTCCCTTTGAGGAGTTTCATGCATCGTGGTCAGAGATCGAACGGAAACTGATGTAGTTGGATACATCTGGTTTTTCTCTCCTTGCACAGCTGAATCAAAATGCCTTGAATTATGATCTAGAACAGCTTTTGACAGCATTGATTGATGTTGTGATGGCAGGGACAAGTGTAACCCCATCCCTTGTAAAGTGGAAGGCTGTTGTGAAGTAGATGGCATACCAGAAGCGGCATCAGACCTCTCAGATATCATATTACGATTGGAAAAACCATGACTAGCGATGGAGTTGGTATCCCTTGATTGGTCCACCTTATGAAGAAGTTCGAGCATATTTTGACTGCAGATATCAAATTCAAAACTAATGTCAAAGGATCTCACTTGTTGCAGAAGAAACATATGGGAATTTCGTCATCACAAACGGTAAACTCTTTCCGGATATGGAGACAGCGAGAATGCAAATGGTAAACTCTGGAAACACCAGACTTGAAAACCAACTAAGGCGAGAAAGCCAACCCAGGACCCTAAGGACGGGTAAGAAAGAAGATGATAAAGTCTCGGAGTAAAGATCGCATAACAATAAAAAAGCTAAAAGAAATATGAATTTTTAAAACAAAAAAATGATGAAAATCACCTCGTCTGACCAGTTCTGTTTTGTGCCAAAAATGCTGCAGATTCATCAAATGAATCAGGAATGTTAGAATCACGACTGAAGTTATTGCCACCAGGGTGTCCCTTCTCCGTTCCCTTTACATTTCCTTGGGAATCAAACGAATTCTGCAGGAAAGAAGAATTAGCTTGGACCACATTCCCAAAAAAAATAACCATTGAAAAATAATCAACATATAAATATTTCTAAAATCATCGTCAAATTCAAAGAATAGCAATTTACCTTCTCTACATCCCTTGTGCTGTTAGATGCAGAACGACCAGCAAACTGTGATGGCCTGATATATCCTTGGTCCTGATTCTTCAGTCCATGAGGTGGCATATGGGACGTTCCCTGTGCATAGAGGTTACGTTTTGGGGTATCAGGTTCCGCGTTATCCCCCAAATTTCCCATCGGGTGGAATTGAAACCTCCTAGGACCTGAAGTACTTTGACCAATGTGTCCCGAGGCATTTCCACTGCCACTAGCAGGACGCGATGGAATTCCGAAAAGTGTGGAAGCCTTAACCCTCCCCAAAAATCCGGAATCAATACCCTCACCAGAATGTGAATTAGCAGAGATGTAACCCTCATCAGACACCTCTTTCTGGACATCCTTCTCCTTTCTTCTGTCATAAACTTCAGCAGAAGCCTTAGTGGAGACGTTCATAGATGATTCCCACACTTGAGAACTGTTATTTACCGTATTCTGGTATTTTCCCACATCCTCGTTCCCTTTAGATTTTCTAGAATAATCAGATGGCACATGCAAACCATAATCAGACTGATGCGCTGTAAGAGATCGTTGATTCATATCCTGAGTTGACTTAGAATTATATAAATTAACCCCAGCAAAGGTACCCATATGAAGATCCCCAGTTTGCACCTGGGGAATACCCATTTCGGATTTTCCCAAACTAAAACCACCAGTCGAACGAGAAATACGAGCAGACTTTTGATTTCCATCAGTTTTCCCCATATTTCCATCGTGCTCCTTTCTTATATGCATGGCTCCTGTAGGACTACTCGCTTGGGACTGCTGTGCAGGACTTCCAAGATCTTGAACTTTTAAGGCAGCGTCCCCACTCGATTCATTTATTCTCCAACCATTCATCTTATTGTATAATTGTGTACCAATATTGTACGAGGGCATATTCTGTTGCTGAGCCCAGGTGTCCTGCATGTTCAGTGGATTTGACCTCGCTTCTACTGGCACAGTGCTTGCCGGTTGCTCACATAATTGCCCAGTCCAAGTACCAGCTGAGGTATCTCTAAAATGCATTTGTGGTTCACTGCCCCCATGAAACTGGGAATGAAGTTGACTCTTATCTACCTGACTGTTGGCATCCTTAGATGATTGTTGAAGACATTGATGAGAGATCTCTGCGTGCAATTCACGATCACGATTGTAAACAGATTTAAAAGAAGGCTGATGGAACATAGTAGCAGCTTGATCGTGTGAACTCACATCCGTGTCATCAAATAAAGGGAAAGGTCTAGGAGTTATAGAAGATTCACTTTGCAAGTTTTCAATCAAACTAGTTTGTTGCTTCCCATAGTCGATAAACATTGCAGGACCGTTCCCACTGGAGTGTTCTTTCTGCTGAAAGCTCAAGCCATTCCACTCGTGCTGCAATCCAGTGTCACCGCTAGAAGTCTCAGCTACAGCTGACTGCATGAGTGCACTCCAGCTACCACTCTGTAGAGATGGAAATACGTTAAAACTATTATTACCATCTAGAAGGTTTCTGCACGCGGCTCCAGAATCAGTATTACCACTGCCAAATGATGCATTCCAAGGACTATCATCGTCTGCACTAAACAAAAGTTTCTGCTCTGTCGCGTCCAATTTAACCAGTTCCTGGGCCCCAGCCTGTGCTGTTTTCTCACGTGAGCTTCCTGTCCAATCTGCTCGTTCCTGGCTACCTCTAAAATCCTGAACTTGAATGCTTCTTCCCAGGCTGTTCAACTGCTCAAAATTCTCAGACATGTTTTCGCTTCTTACATTATGAACGGGAAGCTGGTAAAACGAAGCTTTTCCTGGGAACCTCTGATTAACAGCAGGATCATCTTGCACATTCATTTGCCCCTGAAATAAACCTTGATCACTATGGAAAGAATTAAAGCCACTGAACTGCATAGGCAGTTTTTCAAGTTGGTTACCAACAGATCTAGCCATTGTGTCAGCACCATCATTAGATAGAACTTGAAAGCTGGAAAACTGATTCGATGAGGTTTTATTGCCAGAAATAGGTGTACCATATAAATACTGGTCGACTTGTTGTGGAGGATGTCCAGTTGACTGCAATACCTGTCCCTGATCCTGTGGATAGACGACACCATTTGACAGCCTGTGAACACTAGTACCCCCCACACTCTGTGTCCAGTTCATGTTTCCAGCAGCATACATTTGTGAACTGCTTGGCGTCCTTGATTCACATCCCGTACTCCCACTTTGCCATGCGTATTTAGGTGCATCACAAACGGGCATGCCATTTACCACAGGGGGCAATTGATCAAGAGCTGCCTGCTTCGAAAGAGAAGAAAGTTGGTTTGGTGAACTCTGCTGCCATGCTTCCTGGTCCAACTGATGAAACTGTTGCTGCCTCTGAAACTCTTGGAGCTGTCTATACATTAACTGCTGTTGATACAGCTGCATATCATTGTAACCAGATTGCTGTTTTGACCAAGATTGTGGCGTGCCTGGTTGCCCTTTCATGAGTGGTGATTTAAGAGCAAGAAATTCGAAATCAGGAAAAATGTCGGAAATGGTGGCTTTGAGGAACCTCTCATAATGTTAGCATTGCATCGAAGTAAGCTTCCTTGGTTTAATTCAGCAGAATGCAAGCCCACATTTCTTAAACTATGCCTATCAGGCATTGTCTTTTCTTCCAGATTCCCCAACTCATTAACTTTGAATTGAAGAACAAAGAATTGTACAAAACCCTTCCAAATGTGAAGAACTTACAAACATTCAGATCCCAAAGTTAACTGAATTAGAAGGAAAACTTGAGGAGATCGCCTGCTATTTCCTCCCTGGCGGTCTGTTGATTCAAACAAATAGGTTAATAGAGAAAGCATACACGTGAGCAGCTCATCAAAATTAACAGAACGTGACTTATGGCCAAAAACGTATCATCAGCTCATGTTCAAAAATCATCAATAAGCAGCAAAATTTAAAGCGTCAAAGAGAGAAAATAGGTCACCCGACTATCATTAATCAATAAGAGGCAGTTTTCAAGTGCAAGGACAATCTTCCTTGTCATAGAAACTATAGACTTTGTCTGCTCCTTGCCACCGAGCTAAGTACATCCATAAGAGTCCACGGCATCAACTTTTCTAAAGGAACGATAAAAATGCTAAAAGGGTTAAATTTCAAGTACAATCAGTTCGCACTGGAAATGACTTGGGAACCAAATTGCTGTATTAAGAAAACAGTGATATGAGGTGGGGTGGATTGTATGTTCTCTGCCATTCATGAAGTTTACCCCTGGCATAGGCAAGGGTGATTGTATTTCTAACGTGAGGACTCCATAGATAATTTGGCACCAACAAAAATATCAAATCCAAGAGGATAGAAAGAAACGCATCAAAAAGTACTTTAAGAAAATAGAAGTCAACAGAATTAAACCGCTTCCCTTGTCAGAGAATAGAAAAGAGAAAATATCTTGGAAAGCAAGAGTAACCCCATATAACATTCAGACGGTGGAAGTTTTGTTCTGGTACACATTCATCTCCTGAATTTCAAGCTTACTGAACCCCGTGATAATTTAACTAATGCATACACATTCGGGGATCCATAAATGTGCACAATAGACAAGGAGAGTTTTTTTCTGGACTGGGATATGTAAATACAAGGTATCGACCGTTAGTTGAGAAAGAAATGTGAAAGAACCAGTGCATTGATAGAGAATGAAAAAAAACATGTACTGCATAATACCATCAGAGTGAAATCCAAAAAACGGGGGAAATAATCCTTCTTGAACATTTCCCCACAAAGTGGTGAAATACGAGCAGGAAAATTTCTAGGATACGAAAGCTAAAACTCCAGGAGGACGGCCTATTTCTGAGATTCAATTATAAGCGTACAGAACTCAAATGAAGAATAATACAAATCGTATTGAAGGGGCAACAATGAAATCCATACCAGGGTATCTACAAGAACATTTCCGAGCACAACGCTAGAACAACCCGCTAACCTTGAGCAAACAAATATAGAAAACTGTTCAAGGTGAAAGCTACATAATTTTAGCAAACACATCCGGTCTGAGAAATCCCTACATATCCTACGGACTGTAACTCCGCAAGATCTCCACATATGTTTTCCCTCTACGACCTGAGATTACGCTAGGAAAAGAGGTAAAAAAATGATATACAGTTCGAAAAAAGAGGCCCTGAAACAGGAATCTAAATACTACAAAGGAATCCAAAATGTAGGAGATTGATCAACAAGTCAGCTCTTCAACTGAAATTTTCAGAATCGTCTCCAAATGGGGGAAATTATTGATTACTGTACCAAATTAGGCCACAAGGACCCATTCAGATCGGCAAACAAGCAAGAAACTGTGGACAACAAAGCAGAGAACGCTGAAACTCTCGTCCAACAGACGCCCTTAGCCGGATAGGGAGACGAAAATTAGGTACCGAGGGAGCCTGACAAGGGATTAAGGCTTACCGGATCAGCAAAGGCACCCCGAAATGGCGATCGGAGCAGATTAGGGTTAGGTGTACCCCCCAGCGCACGAAGTTGAAGGTGGTATCAAGCTGCTACAACCTTAGGGCTACGCGAAAAGCAGGAACCAGAGAAGGAAGAAGTGTTCCGTTACTTTGTTTTATAAATAAATATGTACGCTTTTCCATCCATAGGGGATGTAGCTCAAATGGTAGAGCGCTCGCTTTGCATGCGAGAGGCACGGGGTTCGATCCCCCGCATCTCCATATTTACTGCCTTCTTCAGATATATGTTATTTTTTAGTTTTCACTTTTGTCAGGAGTCATAAATATCGTCATATTTATGAGGGCTATCCCAGAGAATGCAACAGCGAGACCGCTCCAGCCTTCCCCTCCTTTTTCGACGTCGTCCCCTCCATGGTCATTTCCAAATACCCCGTCTTCTCCCGCTTCATCCTCCGAACGCACCACCTCTCGAGCTCCTCCTCCGGTCCCGACGATCCCTCCGCCCTACTCCGAGTATGCACGGTCCTCTTCCAGCAGCAGAACTCCAGCGACGAGCGCCTCCACTCCTTCCTCCGCGCCATCGACTTCGACCTCTCGCACGAGTTCTTCCTCCAGATCTGCAACCGGTTCCCCTGCTCGTGGCGCCCCGTCCTCCGCTTCTTCCGCTACGCCGATGGGTGCTCTACCGATCCCCGCAGCCGGCACTCCTTTTCCCTCACCCCCGTCGCCGTCAACAAGATGATCGACATCATTGGCAAGTCCAAGAACATCCAGCTCCTGTGGGACTTCCTCGGAGAGATGGCCCCCAGGCAGGGGCTGGTGAATCTGAGGAGTATGCAGCTGGCCGTTCGGGCCTTCGCCCAGGGGAGGCAGATCAAGAAATGCGTCGGCGTCTTCCACCTCTTTCACTCCCACGGGCTGTCGCTCTGCACTGTGAGCGCGCTCAACGCAGTGGTCTCCGAGCTCTGCTCTCGCCGGCTCGTTGACGAGGCCAAGGACGTCGTCGCCAGGTTGAAGGCTTCAATAAGACCTGACGGCACCACGTACAGCCTCCTAGTCGTTGGATTCTGCCGGGCAGGGGACCTTGTCAGCGCATCCAAAGTCTGGAACGCCATGTCTGATGATCGATTAGAGCCGGAGATGGCTGCGTACAACGAGATGATCGCGACATTCTTCAAATTCAATAGATCCGGAGAGGCCATGGCTATTTTCGAGTGCCTGAGGAATGGAAAGATGAGCGATCTGGACCTCACGATCTACAGGACCGTGATCTCGTGGCTGTGCAAGGAAGGGAAGATCGAACGACCTCTGATGCTGGTGGCGGAGATGGTGAAAAGAGGGGTCGGAATTGACGGTCCCACACTGGGGGCCCTAGCGTACGGTCTCCTCTGCAGGAAGAGGATCAGCGAAGGTTACAAAGTCCTGCAAGTGACGAGGGGCGAGCCCGATATCAGTGTGTACCATGGTCTCATCAAAGGCCTCCTTCGGCTGAGGCGAGCAAGAGAGGCCACCCAGGTGTTCAGGGAAATGACTCAAAGAGGAATTCGACCCTCCATGCACACCTATATCATGCTTCTTCAGGGTCTTCTGGGACGAAGAGGAAGGAAGGCCGCCGACCCTGCGGTCAATTTCGAGACTGTCTTCGTCGGTGGCCTGGTGAAGATGGGGCGGATGCTGGACGCCACCAAGTACGTCGAGAGGTCGATGAGTGGCGGCACGGAGGTCCCCAGGTTCGACTACAACAAGTTCCTTCGAGACTTCTCCAACGAAGGTGGCGTTGTGATGTTCGAGCAGGTAGGGAGGAGATTGAAGGAGACGGGGATGGTGGATCTTGGCGACGTTTTCTTGAGCTATGGGGAGAAAATGGTGACCAGAGACAGGAGGAGAAGTGCTCCCCTTTTGGACGACGAGCCCGAGTTGGACTAAGCCTGGCGCCCCTATTGGAGCCATGGCTGTCAGAGAACATAAGTGATGAGGGTTCTCGTTCTACCGCCACACTAAGGTGTTTGATGCAATGCCAATAACCGATTCTCGATTAGGCAGTAACCCATCTATCATCCTGCTCGAAGGGCACGCGCAGCCGGGCCCAGCGAAGATTCCTTCTGGTCGGCACTTGCGGGGGGCTCCTTTGACTTGTCTCCGTTGACTTCTCGTTATTATGGTTTGCGTCAACGTACAGCAAACCCTGAGTGGACGCTGCGAAGGCAGTAAGAAGGCGAAGCCTAAAATTTCCCCCTTCCCAGCCAAAACCCATCAGAGCCCAATTCCAGCCCACATACTCACCCAGCCAGACCCATTGACATATCCTGCGTAGTCCGAGTTCGATTTCTCTCTTCTCGTCACTGCACTCTCAAGATTCGACGACTGGTCTGAAGCAGAGCGATATAAACTATCAGCGTATCCGATTGAGGAGTTGCGTTCGACCATACGAACACTGCAAATAGCTACCATGTGACATATCTTATCGTACTCCATCATCTATTTTTGTTGCATTTTTTTTCCAGCAATGCACGACGTAAATTGAAGATCTATCCATCCCTCTCAAGTCGTGTGTTAGCAAGTCACAAACGCTGATAGCTGTATTCCAGGGGAATCTTACTCAGGCTGGTTTAGGTTCAAGGATTGTCAGAGCCCTTTGTACTGAATGGCAAAACCAAGGCGGGAGAAGTGAAATAGGACGCAGGAAAGCGTTACCCTTATCCCATGATCATCGTCTGGAGTTTCATCATCAAGCGCAAATTACAGCACTCCATTTAATGCTCCAAAGGTGCGCTCGGATTCAACATGAAACTGCAAGTAAAGAAGTTGCCCAATCTGCCTCCCGAACTATCCTGAATTTCCTGGACTGCTACCCCAGAGGAAGTCAGAACCAACCACGACGCAATGATGATATACACAGAAGAGAGTCAACCATCGTTGGGAAAGTCAGCGGGGTGGAAATATCTTTAAAAGCGTGAACTTTGCCACCATCGTGCTTATTACCATGTGAAAATCTGGAGGTGAGGCCATCCGCAGCCAGTCTGCGAGTAAACCAGCACTTAACACCGTGGGTGGGTCAACTAGTTCTTCAGAAACACAGAATGAAGTGAAGAAGGGTACCTCAGGCATTGTTCATGCTGTAATCAAGGTTGAAGAGCATCTCCCTCCGGAATTCGCTGCCTAGCCTGTAACTAAGCTTTCTCGCCAGTGACTCCACCTGATCATTACTGTCAAAGTCCAGCTCCCTCACACATCGCCGCCGGACCTTTCGGAGGACTTCCTTATCAGGGACAAAACCAGCCTCCACCTGCTCCAAGGTCCGGACTAAAGGGTCAGTTCTGACAGTTTGCAGAAATAACATATTAGTTATATGCCCCTCCTATCATTGAACGAGAGGAGGTGATGGAGGGAAGTCAAACCATCTCATCGATCACAGAGAGTGCGGCTTTCTGATCCTTATTCACCAGATGGGCGTTGACAAGCAGCAGATATGTTGTCGAGTTTGGCTTCACACCCAGACCGGTCATGTGTTCGAAGACCCTCGAAGCCTCAAAAGTCTGTACGCCATTAGAACACACGATGAGCCCCAAATAGGAAATGGGAAACAAAGAGCCCTTGAAAATCACCATCAGATGCTATCCAAATGTGTCCCAGAGCAAGCGCTGACCTTCTTGACCTTTCCAAAGGCACTCATCAGAGCATTGTAGGAATGGATATCAGGTGCCAACCCGAAAGTGCCTGAGATAGCCTCGAAAGTCTGGTAGGCGCGATCGAGGTCCCATATGTTACCGCAACCTAATATAACACAATTCAGAGCGGCGACCGATTTGTAAGGCTGATCAGTACGGCTTAGGTTTTCTAGCTGGAAATAGACCTGAGATTTTTACATAAACTAAAATTAGTATAAGTATATACATCGCAGCATAGAATTATCACCCTGAAAATGACAAATTTGGAGACCAGCTTACTGTGTCCAGAGTGGCAAAGCCATTCTTGCAGCATGCAACGACCAACGGATGCAGGGATGTGAACGGAGAGAAGAGATCTTCTGTTCCAGGAGATTGCCCATATGCTGTTTCAAATTCATTCAGGGTACTGAAAGCCCGCTGAAGGTTTCCCAAAGAGGCATGAGCGTGGATTTTTCCAAGGTAAGACTCTGCTGTAGGCAGCCTTTTACCACGCAAGGAACGCCTAAGGATCGACCAAGAGGCATCCAAGAGAGAGGAGTTATACGTCCTCGCTGCAACACTAAGTGCTGAGACTACCAACCCTTCGTCTGCAGAGAGGAGAACGGGCGGCCTGGCGTTCTCCCCTCGAACGATCCATCGGGCAAGGAACTCCAGAGCGAAGTAGCTTAGTTTACTATGGTCAGCCTGAAAGGCGACATCTGCAATGTAGTTGCACAGAGCCCAGGGAGGACAAAGAGCCTTGTTCTGATCCATTGTCTAGAAATAGACATATTTCCATATGAGTAGGACCCCTTAACAAAAGAGATAGAAAAAATGAAAAGGTATCTGACTGACTGCAAAGGCAGTGTGAGAACTAAGGACGACCCTTCTAGTCAGAAGTTACAGGGTTTTGGAGTAATATGAACCTTGTTGGCAAGATTTGGGTCAGAACCCAAGATGGGTAGAGTATTGTCGCAAGCCACCATGGAGGAGATTGAGAAATAGGGGGTGGTTCAATGGAGTAAATATTAAGGCAACATTGATTCGGTAAACAGGGGTAGCTGAAAGTAAATAATTACCTTGCATTTCTCTATCACAGATGTCAATGCGTCCAATCTTCCGGCACTTATGCAGCTCCGTACACAGGTCGTGAACACATTGATCGACAACACATGACCATTTTTCAGCGCTAGATCTATGTATTTCAACGCCGAATCAATCTGATTCGCCGAAAGCAGCAACCCAGTGACCAAGTTATATGATTCGTCATCGGGGAAGGAATTGGTCCCTGTCTGCAGCATCCTGACGTCAATAAATAGAGAATTCATCATAGAAGCGGATGGCATGATTCAGCATTTGAGAGAGAATAAAGCTGATCGGAAAACTATCTATTCACTCTCAATGGGAACAGAGATCCGCCGTCGTCCAAAAAGAACACAACGAGCAGAGATGGCACAAGATTACCTCCAACAGTGTAGATTGAAGTTTGAGCATTCCAACGTCAAAAAAAGGGATCACGAACAAGTCAAATGCAGACAAAAATTGCAGCCCATCTGTCCCAGCGACGATAAAACCACAGGCATGGATCAAAGTATGGGAATATGATTTAGAAAGACTGTGATGAGATGCCGATTTTCAGTTAAATACAAAAAATTGAGGAATTTCTTCGCTGGAAGTCTCGGAATGAAACCGATTATGTCTTTACTCTGGACTATAACAATTCCCTACCTTGCAAGGTGAAACTGAGAATGATGTGGACGATCAGACAGAACGAGCAGATTTCATCTGATGCATAAAATGCAGGAAGAACGTACGTTGAAGATAATTCATGAAGACCGAATCCTCGAATAGAAAATGGAGCAAACTGATGGCAGAGACTGGGAAGATTTTTCGGCATTCGGCCAACCATCTTCCATTCAAAAGAGAAGCTCCCTTCTGAGTCTTGTTTTTCATTTTAATGATCTGAGAAAATGGGAACGGGTACCTCAAATGGATACCAAAGACCAGACAAGGAAGAGGTTCCCTCACCGATCAAGCAGCTTCTGCGCAGCTTCACTCTCTCCAGTCTTACACATGGCTTTGAGGACCAGGTTGTAGGAGGCAGTATTGGGTGAAACCTCGTACTCCTCCATCTGCGCCACGAGGTCTAGAAGCTCCCCGGCAGAGGCGTCCAGCATGAAGTTGGCTCTGAGATAGTTGTTGAAGAGGTCCACGTCGGGTCTGTTGGGCTTGCCATTGCTGTCCAGCGTCCGGATCCAGAACTCGAACAGCTGTCTCATGTCCGACCACCTCTGCGTGGCCGTCCAGTCTGCGAACACGTTCATCAGGCTCTCAGCGTCGAGCGTCTGCGAGAAGGCCTGGATCTTCGCGGAGCTTGTAGAGGCTGAAGAAAGCCCCATCCCCACGGGGACGAGGAAGGAACCCGATGTGCCGAGGCTAGGACTCCTCCAGTTGTTATCCTGGTACAGAGGACTCCCCGAGGAAGGCCTTGGCGGAAGTGGAGTGGGCTCAGAGGGAGCGGAGGGCTCTAACGGCTGCGGCTCCTGAGAGAGCGAAGGGGAAGAGGAGATCCGGCGAAGGCAGGTGAGATTGAACGTCCTAGAAAACAGCACGCCCACCTGCCCCCGCCCCACCGTCGCCATCTTCCCCGCCATTGTCGAGCTCGAGCCCGAGCTCGATCGACGTCCACTGTTCCTCACTAGGGTTTAGAACGGCGGTCGCCAGGAAATGGATACGAGGACCGGCCTTTCTGTCTGATATCGGATTTCGACCTGGTAACTAAAACCTCTCTCTCTCTCTCTCCCCTCTCTCCCTCTCTCTCTCTCCCTCCTCCCCAGTTCCCACTACCCCTAATTAGTCTCAAACATTTTCGCACGATTATTCTCTGATTAAGACATCACGCAGGTCAAACTCATTATCAACCGAGTTAAATCCAGTCTCTTTGGAAAATATGATTTACGTGCTGCAATTTAATTTAAAATCAATATTTTCATTCCCCAAAATAGAGCAGAAATTGATAAAAAAGACTACTCGAACTAATAAATAAATCGATAATATATAGTGCCTAGACCGCTTCATATGAGTTAAACCCGGAATCCCCAAGCCCACGTCTCGCATAAACAAACCCCGTTTTGTGCCAGCTATGTAATAAAATTATATTCTAAGATTTTATAAAAAAATATTCACCCTTCTTCACAAAGAAATCTAGAATATCTTACTAAATAGAAAAAAAATAAAGGAGCAAAAATGAGGATTTTATATCATTCAGATGATAGATGGACTCGTATTGGTTATTTGTCATCGAATTTAATTTTATGGAGGAGAAAATAATTTCTTTTTTCTTGAAAATAAGAGCAAGGTAGAACTTTGTACGAGACCATTTGTAAAATTCGCATTTGAAAAAGTGGAACGTGCAACACACGATTGGACTGGGGAGTATTTCCCTCATTTTCCTTAATATCGTGTCACAAAAACAAGCCTGAAATTTTGTTAAAAAACCCTCTCTCTCTCTCCCTCGCTTTCTCTCTCTAGCCTCTGTGTATACAACGGTCTTATACCTGGACCGGAGAAGAAATAATTAATAAATGCAACTATTTTGTCCTCTTCATTCCGGCCTACAAAGAACACTGAAGATTATTCTACCACTTTACTCTCCTGAATTAAAAAAAAATAAAATCAAGAAAGCTTTAGCTGCATTTCGTCTTCAACCATCCCAAATATTTCGTCTACCCTGAGAATGAAGGCAAATACATCGCATTAGGTTTGATATACGAGGAAAAGGAGAACTGTAAACCATTGAACGATACAAAAATAAATAAAAAATATTAGTAATTACTATAGATCTAGGAAAAAATTGAAAGTATTAAAAAAACCTAAAACCCGATGGTCAGAATCAATAATTTCCGCTGTTCATGTATGATTACCTCATTATGTCAACATTCACATCTGAGATCCATGCTGTTAGATAAACCTGCAAACCATACGGCATAGCCCATAAACACCCATTAAACTGAAAGGAGACCCTCGGCCAATCATCCCAAGGTATTTACAGAAAACTTTGTACAATCACAGTAATAATCATTATAATCGTTCCACATTATTCGAAAAAATAATATCACCTGGTGTAAATAGATGTGATCTACTCTACTTGTATTCAGTTAGTTCTTCCTCATATGAGCTAACAGCTTTAGTATAGCATTAGATCGCACGACAAACTCCAAAAGTCAGCTCAGAAGTAATACTGTTGTCGGACTAATCTCACATTGTTCGTGAAAACAATGTGAGATTCTAACGATCAATGAAGAAAAATAGTTTTAATCATAATGATCAATGACTCTGAATTAAATTTTGTGCCACTCAGAAGGGAGGAAGCCATACGTGCAAAGTTTCTCGTGTTGGGTTACGATTGATCTGCTCTGTTGCAGGGTTATTAGATTGGAAGCCTCTTATTCTTGGCGGATTTGGCTGAAATCTCTCCCTGCAAAGCAGATCGACCGTGTTTAAGTCGTTGAATTCTCCCTCATAAAGCTCAATTGACCAGTTTCGTTCGTCAGCTTGAGCTCCTTGAGCATCTTGACATGCAATAGACAGCAGCTGTAGAACAATCAACCGCTGAGCAAGAAGCAGACACCAGAAGTTGTGAGATGTAAGAAAGAATTTCCAAAGGGGGACGAATCTATTGGGCACATCCACAAAGATATAGACACTAGATGTTCCATGAATGGGTTGGAACTGGTTACCTTTAAGCTTATCTCTACTGCAAACATGTCAATAAGCTCCTGTGCCAGTTTCTCTGAAATCGTTTGGAGATCAACAAAGATACGATTACATTGTAGAAACTAATTGGTAGGATGGATTAAAGAGGAAAAAAATTGTCCAAGTACCTCAATTATATTAGGGGAAATCAAGTAAAATACATTCCATCGAGGAAAAGATAAGTTAAAGATAGTAGTGAGCGAAATTATCCTGAACTCTCAGATAGCACGAGATTATACTGTATGACAAGATTAGTTGCTATATGTCAATGGGTCTTATGGAAAAATGAACCCTGTTTCTATCCACGTGATATTCGCCCATGTACCTGGCATCACTGGAACAGACTGGCCTTGGCAGGCAACTAGAGATAAACTTCACCAAAGTCTAGGGCTTTTTGTAGATATAATTGGCCCATCAAAGAAAACAACGATACTCCCTCCAAGTAATCCAATCATACGGAAAATATGAAGAGTGATGCTACCTTTTAAAGGAAAAACCATATTGGTAAACTTACCAATATAGGAAATTTGATACAGGAAGAACAAAGAACAGATAAACTTACCAAAATATGGTAGTGCCCATGATGTGAAAACTGGAACACCCCCACCATCTCCAGGATCATCATTGTCTTGAGAGAGTTGACTGAATTGTACAAGTGGAGAAGCACTGGATCCCTTCAGATAACATCGCATGGAGTCACGTGCCTTTGTAAATTGAGACACAGCATCAACCTGCAGAGAACCCATGATCGACAGGGGATCCAACATGAGTTACAGATTAATACTTTGGAGCTATGGAAAAATACGATAATTACACATAAAAGAAGGGACTCTTTAAATGTGTCCCAAACATAGTTCAATTTGAAAATACCTCGAATTTGGTATCATAATTGACATTAAGAAACCCGGAGAACTATCACAGAGAAGGTTGATAGTATACGGTGCTCAGAAAATGAAAAAAAAAGGACTAAACACAGAGTGTTGCCTCATCTAAACCCACCCTTTCAAAATCGATTTGGTAATACAAGGACAGGAAGAATCTTTGGTCAAGTGAGAATATGGTGAACAACAGAAGGGCTGAACCAAAAAAGAGAAACCCCGGTGCTCTACTTAATATTAATGCTGGTACCAATATTCCAGAGGAGATTAAACGATATTAGCATATGAAAGAGAACTATTCGTCGACATAGTTATCACACTATCTCAAACATAGGATTTTAGAGATATGAGCGACATTGGCGCCTCTTCCAATGCATTCCATATCATCAATGATCCAAATATATCTAGGCCAAGTCCTGGAAATAAATCCAAATTATGCCGAAGAATACTGTTTCTGACATAGTATATAGTTGAGCATGCTTACCAGATCCTTGTAAGAGGATAAAAGCTTTCTTTGGCATAGTTCCTGAGTCAAAAGAAAAAAATCGAAGAAAAGCATCATCAATTATACGAAAAACACTTCACAACATTTTGAAGAATGTACAAAATTAAAATTCAGAGCGAGTCGCAGAGGATTCTCTTAGGAATTCTGTAGAACCCGGCATCAGTGTAGGATTAAATTTTTTTTCCCAGAAATGATGGCTTCAGAGAGGAATACATAAGGAAATATGTGGATGGTTACTTCACTAAAGTACTATCTTTCGGACCTGAATAATAATTACTAGCCAAAAAAGTGCCTTATTTTCAGCAGAATTTTGTTTCACCTGTATTCATGTATTAAGCTTCGACTTATCCTTTTCACCTCAATGGATATAAACCTCCGCACCTTCTATCAAAATTGTTTCTCTCTGAAAAGTCATTACCAGTTCTTCGTGCGTGGAAGTTAAAACTAGAGTACGAACTCTTGAAAACTTTTGTCTCTCCTCGTCGTGTACTATTGAGCCCTTCTTAGAATGTGGACCTTGCTCACTGAAATCCTGTGAATATGAGGAGGACTGTTATTTAAGCCATCAAACCCTCCAAAATCAGGCGGGAATGTTCGTCGTCATTTCTACGGAAGTGAGACCTTATTCTCCTGTAAGGCTTCTAAACTATTGGGCAGAGAGTCATGTCGGTAACAATCATCACTGAGTGAATAATGGCTTCTCGAGTGATAATACTAAACACCAGTGACGCATATACAGCATACACGCCTCCTCGCGAGCTCATTGTTCATTTTTAAGAAATAAACGATGATTTACTTCTCAAACGCTCCGTGAACGACGCGAGGTGAAGTAGTGATACCTGCTTCCGCTCCAACTTCTCGCAAGCGTTCTCCCGAATCATGGGCATGTCCTTGAGCACGCCTAAATTCATCTCCGGCATATACCTGACCTAAAAAAAACAAAATATCGTCGACAAAGGAGCTCCATCTCCCAGCCATGTCCAACGGGTACCTCCACCCGAAATTAAGCAAAACATTGTGATTCTTCCTCGAACTCAATACTTGCCTCCGAGAAAGGTAGGCGTTGACTAGCGCAGTCGCGCTAGCCCTCCCCTCTGAGGACGCCGAGACCCACCGCCCCCTGCAAGAGACCAGTCTCGACCACTGGTTCCTCAGATTCCGTTGAGCCGCAGGCCTCCACAACCGCGACCTCGACGAAGACTGAGAGCCGGCTACCAAGTTGGTGCCGGAAGAAACGACAGGTGTTCGAGCTTCGGGCTCTTCTCCGCCGGCATGGGAAACCGGAGATTCCATCGCTGCACCACCGGGAAGAAGACGGCCCCGAAGATGTTCCTCTCCACAACGATCCTTTCACAGTTCGCCGAAAGCCGACCGTCAGATAAAATACTCCGCGGAGCATGGTACATACTGCTTAATGGGCCGCCATTTCTTATTGGTTACTGCGGTCCGACTACTAAAGTGGGTCGCATTATATTTCTGCGGGAATATGGGAAATTATTCTAGAAGTCCTTTTAAAATTACACATTTGCAGTCTCAGGTGATATTATATTTTGGTGTATGAGACTTGGAAATGTCTTGCGTGGAGTCAGAGTCAACACACCAATTTTAGCTATTCAGATCAGTCAAAGGTTGTACGATTTAAACGTTCGATAAATATATAAAAAAAACAGGTCACCGAGGATACAGTTTAATCGATAATTCATTCTTATTTTAATCAAATATCCTCCTTATTTTCTTCTCTTTTTTTTTCGTCGGATGGAACTCTGAAAACTGGAATGTACTTCGGATCACGTTAAGTTGTTCTTCCCTTCATTAAAAAAAAAAACACCTCGTAGTGGGACAAAAATCATTCCATTAAAAGGATGATTAACATATTTAGAACATTTTCGAGTGAAGAATTGCACGATTTTTTGCGTTGTTGCATGGAATGGTCAACGATCCATACGTAGATACCACGGCATTAAGTTCGACCGACTCTCGAAATAATCCTCTTAGAAGAGTACGACACGAAGGAGTTCTCGAGTGATCCTGTCCTGGTCCACGGTTGACCCCATAAATCATTGGTCAAAGCACGATACAGAAGAAATCTGCAACCGATATCTGCTTCTCGAGAAAATTACACCGGAAGCAAGAAAAGCTCTCTCTCTCTCTCTCTCTCTCTATATATATATATATATAGATATAGATATAGATATAGATATATAGATATATGTATATGTATCTAATTATCTACCGGGAGATCCGTAGAGCTCTACTAAAACCCGCAGGGTGTCGACACAAGTCCTCAGCCGGATGATGTAGTTGGCCGTCTCCTCGAACAGACGATCCGCCACCGCCGCGGCGTTTCCGCCCCCGCAGGAGGGCATCAGCTCGCTCAACGCCCGCAGCCTCTGGGAGACCGCCTCGTCCTCCGAGACGTCCCACCGCCGGCGGCAGCGGCGGCGGCGTCGCTCCGCCTTCTTCCCCTCCCTCGCTCTTCTCTTCATGCCGCTGCTGCCACCTAGTTTCTCTTGCGGTGGCCCTTGAGAAGTAGTAGGAGAGGAGGAAGAAGAGAAGCCCTCCACGTTATGGAGCCTCGCGCTAGCCCACGCGGGTGTCAGATTCTTCCTCTCGCGAGGGCCGCGCAGGGTGCCGGAGACGGCGGCGGGCCCCGCGCTTTTTGACCGGAGCCGGCGCCCGGCCGGCGCGCGGGGGGCAGAGCGGGTCAGCAGCGCCGCGGCACGCCGGGGGACGACAAGCGGCGTGCGATGTGAAAGAGGGCCCCTAGAGGCGGCGCCTCGTGCCCAACGACAGCGCGTTTGGGGCCTCGAGGCACGTGGGAATAGCGCGCGGCATTCAAACAGCAGTACGGACGAGGCAGACTCCCTACTCGACCTCACGTGTGGCCGCGCCTGATTCAACAGTCTCCCCCCCCTCTCTCTCTCACACACACGGTCCTACTCTGCACGAAACAAGCAAATAAAATAATATAAATTGCCCATTTATTTTCACAGCTGTTTACTTTTTATCCAAATGGCATTAAAAGTAAATTCCTATTTTTCAGATACTAAAAAAATACAATTATGAAAATTCTGATGAATTTCGTTAGGTATTTTTTGGTTTCAGCCCTCCAAAAGAATAGTTCCAATTCTTTTATACTGGGATCCCAACGCTCCACAAATTTTCACTCTCTATTTTTTAGTCAATTTTCCTTTAAAATTATTTATTTTCCATTTTCCGGTGTTAAAATGAATAAATTGTCTTTGTTTTTTCAGTGGTTAACCTGAGGTCAAATAAGGTGATTCACCGGTTGTTAAATAAAAAAAGGATACGGAATTAAAAGAATTAAAATATAAAGACGAGCAGAGGGTGGTGGGATATATTAATAATTATAACACATTAATTAAATACAGTAACAATTTAATATATCATTTTAAAAAAAAGGATATTTAGTTAAAAAACGAGAAATATTTGCGTGAGGGTGTATGCACCAAGTTCTTACCAGTAATAACATGGCCCGTCGCCGAGTCCAAGTCTAATTGGGCCGACTTATATGGGCTTCATTTTGACGGCATGGCCCAATACAATTTTGGGCTTGCCCGGCCCATGCTCAGCCGAAGACTGACAATCCTCCTTGGAGTCGGGCGACGCTGAGTGGATATCCCATCCATCCGTCTTCTTCCGGGCATTGAAGGGCCGGATGGGTCCCCCTTCCGTGGTGGTTATCCGAGCCCGACGAAGATCCGAATCGGTGGAAGTCGGCCCATTGTCTCAACGGCTACGATTTACTGGGATTATCGTTCGGACGGGGATGCTTGTGGGGACCTCGTCACAGGCTTGTTTTTCTCTCGCCTTTTTCGCCGTCCACGTTCCATCAACCCCGCCGATGAAAGGAGTCGGTTTTTCTTCTTGTTCTTCGTCTTCATCTTCGGTTCTTTCCCGTCTCTTTCGGGGCGTTTCGACGTTGATTCCGTGTCCGGCGTGGACAAGCGGGTGAGTTTAATTGTTCGTGCCCTCTGTTCCTGCTGCTTCTCGTGTGATATCCAAGTGGCTGCTCGCACAGGCTACGCCGGTTGATGGGGGCGATCGCCGTGGCGATTTGACAAAGTTGGTGGGTTTCCCTCTAATTTGGGCGTGAATTTTCCTCTCGTCGTCAATCAGGGCTGGTGGGATAGTCGTTCGTTCTGTCTCGTAACGCTTCAAATCGGTATTTTTCAACTAGCTTCGTCAATCACCGGGATTCGTCAAATTCATCTAGTTTCGGCTATATTTCTAGTGTAATCGTCCGTATACGAGAACCACCGGTTCTGCCGTGTGTTTATTGCCAGTGTTTCTCCATGGCAGGGGTTGGGATACTTGTCTTGTTCATCCGAGCAACCAGAAGACCTTGTTTAAACAACTAGCTTCCTTGTTTTCAGAGATTTATTAGGTTACTATGACTCCGTAATTTCGTTAACTTTCAGTTGGATGAATTTCCAATTATGTTCCACGTGTATTCAGAGAGCTCTGTAGCCTAATCACTATTTTCTTTGATAAATTTAACGTCGCCCAAATTGTGTCAGGGATTTCCCGTTTTAACTCCGATTGTAGTATGCTTTCAGGGGAGTCATCTCAACGGGTTTATTTCCGATTATCATGTTATATGTCCATTCTTACGTTCAAGTTTGGCGTCGTAGAAGAGAATGATGGGTCTTTTTTCTCTCTCTATTCGGGTAGATGCCTTTTTACTCTGTCTCAGCTCGCACCAGCGCTATTGCAATGACAGAGCCAGGAGGTCGGTCTGGGGAAGGAATTATTTCCATCGAAAGAGGAAAAAAAAACAAAAAAAACAAAAACTGATTGCTCGTGCCTTAAATATATAAGTCGGGAAGGACTGAATGTTTAAAAGGCATGTTCTGTGAGCATATTCTAAAATTGTGTACCGATTCTTCAAGTTTTCCCATTGATAGGGCTGAAAGTGGGTCACAGTCTGCTAGCTCCTGGTTTCAGTTTTCTTAATAGTTAACCATCTCTGTGCTCTTCATTAAAATAAGTATCGATTCTGTGATCTTAGCATTGTTTTCATTTTTTTTATGGGTATGAGGCTCGGACATGATTCAGTCCTTTATTTGTGGCCATTGACCATGACAAGGAAATCACACCATGCATTGGACATTGAAAGAAGTGCGACTTCCAATATCTAGATGAAATGTGATGTGGGGCAGTTCTGTTTCAATAGATCCGTGTTGATGAAATCTGTCTTTGAAGATGCCCCATAAAATTTCAAAGCATAGATAACATCCTCACACTGTGATGTGGCTAGTTTCTATTTCCACTTTATGGAAGCATCTGATGGAAGCTTTCAGAATATTTGAAATCAGCATGTTTGGTCGTCATGGAATGTTTCCTTTCTGTCATTGCCAGTGCACTGTAGCCGTCCTATCATTGACTCATAACCGTGCTTTAAAATATGTTTTATCAAGTTCATGTTGTTAAACGATTTAGTGCTTCAATGTTCTTTAAACCCATGGCTTGCGTGTGGCGATTAAAAATGTGCGACCGTCTGGGTACCTCCACGGTGATTCAACCCTGAATACACTAGCATGGAAAATTTCTCTTGAACGAGAAGTATTTATGCTAATTAAAGCTAAAATCCCTGCACCCTGGATCTTTTTATAAAATGTCATAGTTAGATTGAATGGTCGGAATTCGATGTTGATCCTCAGGTTAGATCACCTGTCTGAGACTCGTTGAATTTTCTGGTCAATGTTACCTGCTCATGCACAGGACACCAGGATAGCCAATAGTCAACTAAGGTTTGATTTTTCCATCTTTACATTGAAAAGGTACATGAAATATAATTAAATCTCCGTTAGGCATCTTTTCCATGCATCTGTGTGATGTCAGCTGGTAAGATGGCAGGATTTGGCGGCTTACTCTCCTGAAAATTTCAGTTGAGCCAGATTATCTTATCTCGCCTATGCCCATAATTTTATTTTTCACTGAAAATTTGTCGGCTCTATCTCCGTGCTCATCGATTCTTCTTCCCCTGGGAACTCTTCTACAAGTCATTCTTTTAACGTGGATTCATCCACAATTTGCTAGATCAATATTTCTATGCTGATCATTCTTCTACGGAGACGTGGCTCTCAGGTTTTATCACCACATCGTGCTACAAATCTAGCATGATCTTGTCACCAGTAAGCATTTGATATTGAGACCCGACCACACATGGTTTCAGACCTTGCTGATTACTTGTATTGTGGTAGAAAATTGCCATCAATTTAACATCGAGTTGCAGAAATTAAATCAAATCTTTGGGCTTCCAGTTGGGCGTGCAAAGGTTATCCTACATTATTAGTTATTCTAAAATTATTTGTACTTCCGATCAAGTACTTGGCCTTCATGTGTAAGTTTTTCAGTTTTCTGAACCCACCCATCGATCTTGTTTGGGTTTTTCTTCGGTGTTCCTGTATTTTATCTATTTAATTTTTGGGGGAATCAAAGGTAGCTCTTCCTGATTACACATGCCAAAGAAGATAAGATTTTTTTTCTTCTTTTCAGGAAGGTTCTCGGTTCCTGAACTTCAGTTCTGTTTACTGCAAGGAGGTTTCGCCTGGTTCTTAGCGACCAATGTGCAAGAATGACTAAGGACTGGACGATTGGCGAGGTTCTGAAGGTAGTGTTTCCTCTTCTCGATGGCTCCGAACTCGCTTCCTGCATGCTGGTATGCCGTCAATGGCGGGACATCGCCAGGGACGATTACTTCTGGAAATGTCTGTGCGCGAAGAAATGGCCTTCCGTCTGCAAGAGACCGCCGGCTTCCTCAATGAGCTACCACAAGTTCTTCCAGACCTTTTCGAGGGGTCGCCCGTGCCAGCCTCTTCCTCCCCCCAAGCTCTCCTTCAAAGACTTGGAGTTTTACATCGACATATGGTCCGAGCGGCGACTCATCTTCTCCGAGGCGGTCCCTGGTTCAGTGCTCCGCGCAGGGATAAAATCCCCGCCGTCGGGGATCTCCGACAGCATGAAGACCTACCTCGAAGGACCCAACTACAAGATGATGATGCCGGTGGAGCCGCAGTTCACCGTGCCGAGGGAAAATCCTGTGAGCGTCTCCGTCCTCGTCGGGCGCAGCGACAGCAAGAAGGTGGCCTCCATCGTCGGCCAGGCCCTGTTCGACTACGTCGACTGGAGCACCTTCAGGGCGCTGGCGTACGAGTTCCTGAGTCTCTCCCCAAACTACCCCTTCGTCTCCGGGGTAAGGGCGTGGGTCTCCCTGCTGTTCATGGCCGGGGCGGGGGACGACACCGCCCAAGTTTTCGGCGTCGAGATCGACTTCTGCGACGCCGCGAGCTCCGAGAACGAGGTCCTGTGGCTCCTCGACATGCTCGACTGGAAATAAGCCCCCCCCCCTCCCCCCGGCTCTCTATCTCTATCTCTCCCCTAACTGTAAATAATCAACTCTCTGGGTCTTCTCCTTTGCGAAAGAACTTTCATCTCTCTGTTATTATCTCACCTCGCAGAAATATTATGGTGAATGGCTCCATCTTTGGTATATGCTTTAGAAGATTCATTGTATCACCGAAGATGGATAGACAGCTAGCTAGCTAGATAAATAGTACGTGGATTAATATGTAAGGAGAGAACCACAATCGAGGCGAAGGGAAGTGTGGAGTCTCGGCATGACTTTATTAGTGCCATTGCGTGGCGTATTACCTCGTGGGAAAGCAACTGGTAGCGTAATGTTTCGAATAACTCCATTCAGATTGCTGACTTCCTTCAGACAAGCGACGACTGTCTCTCTCTCTCTCTCTATATATATATATATATATTTATTTATTTACTTATATCTATATACATAGAGGATGCAGGATTGGACTACGTCGACGACCCCGGTTATGAATAGTTTTGTTTGGTTACGTAATGCATGATGTCTCATATCAAGGTTCCTCCGTGGTTTCTGCACAGAATGCTCGACAGCCAATAAGTTTCCCGGAAGTAGTCTTGGCGGGGATATCTCATGACAGAATGCCGACGCGTCCTACGGCCAAGTTGCGCTGTAGGGAGAGGGAACAAGATCATGGGAAGGGATAGGGCGTCTGTGAATAAGGAAGCTGCTGAATATGAATGCGTGTGAAAGAGAGACTTGTTCGCTTCCCAAGACAGATTTCCCAGCGAGGGCGCTTTGTCTCGCTGTCCGTTCTCTCTCTCTCTCTCTCTCTCTCTCTCTCTCTCTCTCTCTCTGAATCCTCCACGCTAGGTTCCGACTCCCGTGATAATATTTTTCTCCCTTGTACTCAACCTAACACTTCTCTGTCATCATTCTATGTACATATATCTTCCGCCCCTTCATTCCCTCTCCGCTTCGGAGAAGTTTGGGGTAGCCATGGCGATGAGAAAGGCCTTCTTTGCCCTCCCTCTTCTTGCTTTTCTGATCCAGGGATGTCTGTCGGCGGATCCAGTCCTGAATAGGGGCAGCTTCCCAAAGGGCTTCGTCTTCGGCACCGCATCTTCGGCCTACCAGGTGGGTTGCCCTCCTCCTTCTTCCTCCTCCGGCAAGCCCAGAGAAATCTCTGCGCTTCTCTCTATCCTTCCTCTCCACCCACCACGCATCAGAACCATTAAAAAAACCTCACCACCTTCGGGGTTCCAGAGGAGAGAGACGAATCCCACCAGCAACTTGTTGCTTGGCGTCGCCTCCGCTCCTCCTGGTCTCCATGGGAATCCCCACACCGCTGTCTTCTAGCGTGTGCACCTGCTGCTGGCTCGAGTTGGCCGTGACTCCATGCGATGTACTCACTCATTTTCTCTCTATTACGATCTCTCTACACAGTACGAAGGCGCAGTGAAGGAAGACGGGCGAGGCCCCTCCGTCTGGGACAAATACTCCCATACCTTCGGTAACTAAGCTTCCTCTTTCACCTTACTTCATTTACGTCTCGTGGGCTTGATACCTCTCTCTCTCTCTCTCTCTCTCTCTCTCTCTCTCTCTCTCTCTATTCTGTGCTGGTAGGCAAGGTAATAGACTTTAGCAACGCCGACGTCGCGGTGGACCAGTACCATCGCTTCGAGGTAAGAACCCCAACCCTATCGCAGTGAGACGGGTTTTTTCGGGTTTCACCCTCTTGCCTTCGTCTTGAACTGGAGTTCTTCGACAGGAAGACATCCAACTCATGGCGAACATGGGGATGGACGCATACCGGTTCTCCATCTCGTGGTCTCGTATCTACCCCAGTAAGCTCACTGGACGGCTCCCGCATAGTCAATTCCCATCCTTTCCTTTTCTTTTCTTTTTTTTTACTAGAAAGCCTGAAAATCTACTCTTGGGTAGATGGGTCCGGTGCGGTCAACCAAGCCGGGGTAGACCACTACAACAGGTTCATCAACGCTCTACTGGCCAAAGGTTAGAAACGGTGAATACTGGTTCACGCCGCCGTCCGGGAGGCTCTGACTCTTCAACGGATATCTCAGGAATACAGCCCTACGTGACCCTCTACCACTGGGACCTTCCACTCGCGTTAGAAGACAAGTACAAAGGCTGGCTCGACCGTCAGATCATGTAAATATCACTTCACAAAGATCATGGATAGCAGCTTATATGAATTATCTCACCTTTGTCATATATTTATTGCAGAAGCGACTTTGCGAATTACGCGGAGACGTGCTTTAGGGAGTTTGGCGATAGGGTGAAGCATTGGATAACGTTCAACGAACCCCACACCTTCTCGATACAGGGCTACGACGTCGGCCTCCACGCCCCCGGGCGCTGCTCCATACTCCTCCTCCTCTTCTGCAGGGGCGGGAACTCGGCGACCGAGCCCTACATCGTCGCACACAACGTACTCCTCTCTCATGCAGCAGTCGCAGACATCTACAGAACGAAGTACAAGGTGAGAGAGAGGGAGCGAGAGCGAGCGAGCGAGAGCGAGAGAGAGTGAGTGAGAGAGAGAGAGCGAGTGAGAGAGAGAGAGAGAGAGAGAGAGAGAGAGAGAGAGAGAGAGAGAGAGAGAGAGAGAGAGAGAGAGAGAGAGAGAGAGACAGAGAAGGTGTTGCATCTGATAAATACTTTTTCCAAAATTCTTCTATGATGATAGTGTCCATGCATCCAGATACACGCACACACACTCTGTCTTTAACTAATAATAATTTACGTTGCATCACTATCAGCCATTGCAAAAACTATAACAAACGTGCCCTTTTCCAGGCGACACAGAACGGCTCTCTTGGGATAGCGTTCGATGTGATGTGGTACGTGCCTTCTTCAAATGCACCGGAGGACATCGAGGCGACTCAGAGGGCCCAAGATTTTCAACTCGGATGGTGATTCAACTCCGCAACTGCATTACCCTTTTTAGCAATTTCTCATTGATCATGTTCTTCCTCATTTTGCCCATTCCTGCCGTTCAAATGCTGGCTGGGATCTATCGATCCGCATAGTAATTTTTCAGTGTGCAGGTTCATGGATCCGCTCTTCTTTGGGGAATATCCGAGCTCCATGCGGACGAGCGTGGGCAGCAGGCTACCCAAGTTCAGTCCCCAAGAAGCTGCCTCCGTGAAGGGTTCTCTGGATTTCGTGGGAATAAACTATTACACGACATACTATGCGATGAATGACAAGAGGAAGATAGTCGGCGTTCTTCTCAACGATTCCTTGGCCGATTCGGGGGCAATCACAGCGCGTAAGTTTTACCTGGCTGCTCTCCGACTCCACTTGGAACCCTCACCCTGATCCTTATCCTCTGCGTCATTGCAGCCTTCAAGAATGGAAGGCCCATCGGAGACAAGGTATCCTCCCCATTCTAGGCCTTAAAGATGCATGTTTTATGCGAGAAATGGGCGTAAATTTATCGACTGAATACCTCTCGGATGTAGGCTTCCGCTATATGGTTGTACATAGTGCCGGAAGGATTGAGAAGCTTGATGAACTACGTCAAAAGCAGATATGGCAGCCCGCCTATCTTCATCACGGAGAATGGTAGCAGCCTCTCTCTCTCTCTCTCTCTCACTCTCTCTCTTTATCTGTCCATCTTGTTCTGTCTCACGCTCGATATTCACCAGGCATGGATGACCCGAATAACCCTTTCACCTCGCTCAAAGACGCCTTGAAGGACGAGAAGCGGATCTTCTACCACAGCACCCACCTCTCTAACTTGTCTGCTTCTATTAGGTAACCAACCTCCCCCATCCAGTGAACAGTATCAGACTGTTCCATCGGCTTTCTCATTCCTCTGTGTTGACATGTAAATATGCCGTTCATGTTTCGTGTGTTGACTGACGTGCAGGGAGGATGGATGCGACGTGAGAGGGTACTTCGCGTGGTCACTGCTGGATAATTGGGAGTGGGCGGGGGGGTACACGTCCAGATTCGGGCTGTACTTCGTTGACTATCGTGACAAGCTGAAGAGATATCCCAAGAACTCCGTCCAGTGGTTCAAGAAATTCCTAATGCCCACCACATGAAATAATTAGCGCCCGTGAAGGAAATTTGGGTTGTGGTTGTTGTTTTTTTTTTTCCAGTTACTTCCAAATTCAGCACGTGTATGGAAAAAATAATAGATAATATAATAATATGGAGATTGGGACGTACATTAAACAATTCAAATCCGATTTTCCAGCTCGATATTTACGAGGAATATTTATGATACCAAACATCTAGTAGTTCGACATTCGGTGTCGGGCCTGGTGCGTCCCAATTTCGGGAAGTTCTGGGACTCTACCCGTTAGCGTGGGAGGTCGGATTGGACCGTTTGGGATCACGGCGTGGGGGAATCAGATCCCCTGTCAGAGAGGGTCCACGTCATTCTCCTTCGGATGGAGTAAACGAAAGCCTATATACGTAGTCTTGCTCGAATTATTTTCTATTTTTGTCCAATAAAAAGATTATGGTCTTATCGTTGCGACCCTCCACGCTCTCTCTGTCGTACCGGGGAATTTGTTTCCAATGCCGTTTCCTGACAGGAGTTGATGTGATGCAAGACAAGAGTCCAATCTACAGATAGTGGGCCCGTCAGGTGACTCGAGCTCGGCCCAGACAGAGTTGGGCCCATAATTCCACAACATATCTATTTTTACTTATTTATTTTGCTTATTTCACATGGGAGCCTATATAAGGCATGTCCCTTCGTCCTAGAGGGAGAACACTTGATTTTGGAGTAATAGAGTTTCATATATCATACACTTGATATATGAAGACCCTGACGCCATAGTTGGGTTGGTTGAGAGGATACAGTTGCTGCCGGTTGGAGCCGTATCTCATCAATTTCTGCCTTCCAACCATTCAGTCATTGTCCTTTGCCATTAGCCGCCGTCTGTCTACCTTCCATTATTGTTCACTGCCATCAGTTGCTACCATTTTTCACCACTGCCCTTCCTCGCCACCGCTGTCTTAACCCATTCACCGCTCACCGTTGTTCGACGCCACAACCGAGTTGTGTTGTTGTCGTCTGTCGCCCATCCTTCACTCATCGCCATCGTCGCTGCTGCCTATATCGATGTCATCTGCCGCCTATTCATTGCTCATTGCTCATTGCCATTGACGTCACCGCCATCTGTCACTACTGCCACCATCCATGTGACCCCCTGTTCTACTGCCACTGCCGCTGGCTTTCCTTTTGCTGCCCACATGACTTATTTGTTTGGCCACTTTCCTCCCACCAATTAGGATTTAAAGGCCACTAGTTCGTGATACTGCGAATTGCAGGCCTATAATCAGTCTGACTTGGCCTGACCCGACTTCCCCACCATTGGCCAACCCAATTGACTTAACTGCTTGGTTCGAACCATCTTAGAACCTTGGTTCACACTAGCTCATCCCGCCAATCAAAATCCTAGCAGAAAAGCTGGTCCCTACCAGCCTGCTCCTTATTTAGTCCATATGATCAACATGTTCAGCTTGGTCAATACTCGACTGATTTGGTCAATGGTCAACGGGTCACACTAGGTCAACAATCAAACCTCTATGACCATAGTCTCTTAAATGACTTCTTTCAATGATTGGTTCTCCTACATCTTATGCCTAGTATTCTATACTCTTTTAATATTTTCTTCTTATGAAGATATATTTTTATAGGATAACCACATTTTCACATTGAGTAATCATACCTAGTGATAAGTTAGATTTGTTATATAGATTTTGAGACTTTACGTTTGGCAGTTTGCCTAAACCACACAATCTTAGTTTTGCTTTTTGATCATGGATGACTTTGAGCCTATTTTAAATTTCTCTTTCTCCTTCTTGAGTTTCTAATGTTATTTATGGTTTATGTAGCATTTATTAGATCTACTCCACATCATCATTATCATTTGCATCATGATGTCTCCCCTTTCTCAAGGTGAAATTAAGGCTCCTAGAGATCTTGTGGGACCTTAATTGCCTCTATTAGTGGCAAAATTTTATTGTCTTCAAGTTGTAAATCAATCACGATTTGCAGTTCAAAGTAGCTAAGATTCATGTGTTTGAGTGATCTATGGAGAGGGTGTGCAAGCTCCCCAATGCTACTTACTAGGAGATCACATCTTCCTTTGTCCTCATTCATGGTGTCTTGTGGCATGTGAACTCTGAGACTGCTTCTGTCTAAAGAGACTACTAGTGGTGGAACTAGGTCTATCGACCAAAAATAAGTCCTCAAAAATGTAATTAGCATTGCAAACTAAATGTGAATATTTCCTAAATTGAGAGTATCTTCACCATCAATTATTAGAGTATTTTAGTAAAAATCAGTTAGGGTTCATCTGCCAATGATTTCTAGAAATGAAATAATAGGGTTTGATGGCAAAATATTAAGAAGAATTTGAACTAATAGTCATGATAATTAAGGATTTTCTTGAACCAATCTTAGAAAATATATTCCTCAAGATATTAAAATGGGTTGTCAAAACTAAAGTTTGACTCTTTATATTTGTAGGGCTGAAGGGTGTGATGCAAATAACACCAAAGGTAAAAGCCAAGAATTTTGCACTCATATCTCTAAATGAAAGTGGAATAATTAAAAACTCCAAAACTATTAGTTCTGATTTAACAAACTAAGATTCTTCTCTTAGGCACAAAAAAGGTTTTTAATTTTTTTTAACCAAAAAAGAGAAACAAAGGGGAAAAAGAGGAAGTTGGTGTGACTCATGAAGGACAAGATCTAAGAAAAGTCAAATAGTTGATTCAGACATCCTCAAAATCCAAACCTATTATGCATAATACTTGTGATTCTCTTGTAATGAGAAGTATATGTTGGGTTTGATGTGACTATGTGAAGTACTATAAGGGTGGAGGGTGAATTGATTTCCTACGTTTTTTTGTTATATTCTAGTGTTATACCTGCATGTATATGTGTTGATATATGTTCTAACACAATTTGTTAAATCTATATGCAAATTCACATGTGTCTCTTTTTTCATCACGTGCTCCCTTTGGTTTCTCTCTCTCTCCCTTACTCACTCGCTCATAACTATGATAGATATATTTCTATAGTGATTTCCTATTCTTTGGGCTAGATCTAGTTTTAAAGGATCTCTTTACTAGATTTTACTATTTTTCTTTAAAAATATAACTGACTTCATGGGCTAAGCTCTCCTCATTTATTATTTGATCTCCACAAAGATCTTACCCCTCACAGACAAATCTTCACTATTAGTACCTCGTGCTAAAGTCAATAAATAATTTTTCTCATAAATGTTTTAGCTCTGAACACCTCATGCTTTAACTTAACCCTTTTTTCACTTGGCACTCAAGTTATCTTATGACTTGATGGAGAGAGACAACCTTTTGCTTGAATGATTTGTAGATTGTCGTATATGATTGAATAAGATGAAGTATGATTATCTCTTTGAGATGTGTGGTTGCTTTGTTATAGAAGATTGAGTAGAATCTTCTTCTTGGCTTTGAGTGAACAATGTCGATGAAAATATCTTTGTTGACCATCAACTACTTTATGGTACCAAGCTTTCTACTCTTGTATTTGTTGTCATTAATATTTCATTTGAAGATTCATAACTAATCAAAACATTTTCTCTTTCAAGATCTTACTTAGAGGAGATCATTTGACTTGTCTTTAGTCCACACCTTATGTTGATGAGTTACCATCTAAAATTCACACTTTTGACATTTGGTCCACTTCAAGTCAAATGTTTTCACTTGTAGGTGTATTGGAATTGATAATGTATCAAGAGATTCATAAGTAATTAGTCGATATCTTTATGATATTGTTGTTGAGCTTGTTGTTTTATTTATAAACTTTGTTAATGTGGAGGTCTTTCATAGATGATCTTTAAAACTATTTTTAGAGATTCGTGACACTAGCAAGTGATCTTACTTTCAAGACTAAGTCAAAGTTGTTTGCTTTATTTTGTCTTTTTTTCCACGTAAGACTCTGATGTGACACCATGCAAGTTACATGGTGAAGAGTTATCAATTTCTTTCTTTGCTTTGTGTAAACGGTCAAAAACTAAGTTATCATGTAGGACTGAGATCAAATCTTATTGTAGTCATTGATCATATTATTTTGTTTTGAATATCTTACCAACTTTACACGTGATCATTATGGTGATTTTCAAATTCAAATGATTTTTAGACATTTTTCACACTAACACTTATGTCTTCACAATGTTTAAGTGACGTGTTTGAATCTCATATGTAACTTTACTTTTTAACAATATATATATGACTTTGTCACACATGTTGACAAAAGTTATATATTTCTAGAATACTTCAACAAAGAAAGATATCTCAGAGGTGTGACTCATTAAATTCATTGTTAGTCATAAGATTGTGCACATCATCATCAACATATGTAAGTTGAATATTTTTCAATGATATTTAATTTGTGATGTAAACTATGATGATGATTCACTAAATTATTTAATAACTTATTCAAAAATAATTAGTAAATAAGTTTTCAATTATATATGTCAAAATTAAGGACGTCTACAATATATTTTGAGATAGTGTTATTAGCATGAGCTATAGGTTCTATAGATTGATGAAGACATTTAAAACTAAAATCAAGATGAAGCATACACATCTATGTAAAAAAATTATGAGAAAAGAGACTTGTTAACATATAACACAGATTAGAGTTGAGTTATGCACTTTTATATTGATGATTCAGTTTATCTCTAATTACAACTTTCTTGACTTCAATCTCTTGCCTAATGATATCATGAAAAGCTCTCTTCTCATTATTTGAACCTTTTAGAGTTATAGAACACATTAGATCAATGGTTTATTAACAAAAATTGCCACATATCACAAATATTAATTTCGTTTTTCATGTCTCTAATAAGGAGGGCTATCCAATAAGTACAAGACAATCAATGTCTACTACTACAACATAGACAATCAAGATGAGAACATGTCATGAAGTGTGACTTAAAAAGACATAATAGAGACATGATAGAAATCATATGACATATACATTCTAGTCCAATATAGACTTTCCAAACTTAGAGGTCACTTGGAAGGATGCATAAAA